ACAAAATAATAGGAACACCTGTGAAAAAATGAAAATATTTTATTAATAAGGAGTTGGGCCACCTTTGGCCTGAATGACAGCTTGCATTCGACGTGGGATTGACAAATAAAGGTCTTGAACAAAGTTCATTGGAATTTGCAGCCATTCCTCTTGCAGGGCTGTCTCGAGTTCAGAGAGTGTGCGTGGAGGAGGAAACCAAGCACGAACTTTTTTCTACAAAAAACCCCACAACGGCTCAATGATATTGAGATCAGGGGACTGAGGACACCACGTTAGATGGTCCACATCATCATTATGCTCATTTAACCATGTTTGAACACAGTGAGACGCGTGAACAGAGGCGCTGTCATCTCGGAACACAGGACGTTCTCCCGGAAAGAGTGTATGAAGCATAGGGTGAAGATGATCTGCAAGAATGCTTCTTTAATGGTCCCCTTTGACCACCCCCTGCAAGACAACGAGAGGCCCCAATCCACGGGCAGATATAGCACCCCACACCATCACCGAACCACCTCCATGTTTCACGGTTGGAACCAAGCAGTCAACATGAAATGTTTCTGTCGGCGTTCGCCACACGAACACACGTCCGGTGGGCTGGAATAGTGTAAAAGAGGATTTATCAGACCAGATGACTTGTTCCCATTGCAGTTGTGTCCATTATAGGTGGTCTTGGCACCACTGTAGTCTCTTCAAAGCATTCCGCGCTGAAACTAACGGTTTTGGAATAGCTACTCTGCCATGAATGTTAGCAGCATGCAACTCCCGTTGAATAGTTTTCATGGATACATGGTTCTGAAGGTAGGTATTCGTCTCGGATGTTATCACCGGGAATGTAGTCTTGCGTTTTCGAGCGACTATCCTCTTCAACACCAGTCTATCACGGTCTGACAACTTCGACTTCCTGCCGCTGTTGTGCCTCGCCGAAGCCACCTTACCCAACTTTGTGTAAGCCGACAGAGTCCTTGATACAGTGGTCCTTGAAACACCTACAAGGTTCGCTGTTCTGGACACGGACGCTCCAGCCAGGCGAGCTCCGATTATCGTGCCTCTTTTAAGGTCAGAGAGGTCGGACATAATCTCGTTTTACTAGAAACAGATATTTCTCATGCAAATCTCACACTGCCAAATGCTAGACACATACCTTCCCTTTCATCACCACTAGGTGGCACACATTCTTGCGACACGTGCCCGCCGCTTATTGGACGGTCGAGAACGACTCCATTCTTTCACAGGTGTTCCTATTATTTTGTCCTATACCTGTATATATATATACTATATAATAACAGGGCTAGATCCCTGTTATCATTGTTGTATTCAGCTTTAATAATTCAGTCGTATGCCATAATAAGTTATAAAAAGGTTTATTTTAAGGTAGGCTGGTGGTTATAACAGTTCACATCCCCACTCCACAAGGGAGGGGGTGTGGACAAAACTCCGGATGGTTCCGGCAGCCCTTTTATGGAATACCTTATTCAGCAAGTGACATGCGAAAACCATCGCTCTCGCAATAAATACTCGCAGACTTGGAGGTGAAAAGGCTCAGTCACTGCATAGTTTGTAACTCTACGCACCATCGATAATCATTTAATGCTTCCTAATATGGAAGTGAAAGACGGACAAGATTCTAAAAATAACTCCTGCTTTGAAATATAAATCTAATTATAATTCAATGGTATGTTTTCAGCCTTGAAGTCCCAAAATGGAATTTCTACACCTATTCTTTACCAAAGACATTTTATGGAAACGAAAGAGTTTTAATGTTATTAATACAAAAGTATTTATAATTTCTGTATTACATATATATTTACTAATTTTTAATTTTGTGTGTAGGTTGTGCAATAGTACATCAACTGGTACGGACAGCTGCGATTCAATGTGCTGCGGTCGTGGTTATAACATCTTCACATTGGAAACCTACAGTCGATGTAAATGCAAATATTACTGGTGTTGTTATGTAAAATGTGAAGTTTGCAGGACTTGGAAACAGGCACAGGAGTGTAACTAGATCCACAACTTTTTCCTACTTCTAAGAAGTGAAAGATTGATCGCAATCGATGCTCTTCAGATTGGATCAAGAGAGCCTCAAGCAAGAGATTTGGTTCAAGTGAAGTTTTTACTTTGGCCCGGTTACAACACAGCACAAAGTATTGACTAAGAGAACTTCTACAACTCTAGTGTCATCAGATTTTTCACCAGTAGCACATTACTTGAAATTTGACTGAAACGAAATGTCAAACATTGTAAATAATTCATAGAAAGGAGAGAAATATTTTTTTTTCCTCTAAAGAAAATACAGAGTGCCCATTCAAGTCCGCATCCTTCTTAACACTCAAATGGCTGAAGCAATAGTCATAAAAATTGTGTCTTGTCAAGTAATAATATAGTGGCTAAGCGCCACAAAATTTGATAGCTTATCTGGTGAAAAGTGCGCAGTTAGCGTTACTAACTTGAAAACGGTACGAGATAGGGGGGAATGAATTACAAATTTATAGAGCAGTATTGATTTACTACAAATAGACACCTTGTGGACATTCATACTTTAAAAAATGTATATATAACTTGCATATTTGTTTGTTAGTAATATATTACACGACTTGACAAAAAAAATTGTAGAAATAAAAGTTATCACAAGATAACTTTATTTTCTATGTACAATAAAAAAAAATTTAAAAAATCACTGAAATTAATTTTCGATCTAATGATCAGGTCTTCACGTTTTGGACTCAATCTTAATGGTTCGAAGGGGTGATCTCAAATATGCCAATTAATTGAAGCAGACGATATTTTAAGTTACGAAATCAGACGCAAAATCCCATTTTCTCTGAATAAACATGCATCTTTTTCGATAGAATTAGATTTCTGACCTCCATAATATAGAGGGTTACCGCAGTTTCGAAAATAGGGTCCCAATAGTTCGGTCATCATATCTTGAGAACTTTTTTAAGCGCATCGAAAAAATTTTGCTCACAATTATATAATTCGTTTATCTAAAGATAATTCCATGCGAAAAAATAACTTTCAGTAAATATTCATTTTTTTATTTACTAATAGTAGGGAAAATTTTGGGGGTTTTTTTTGGTTAATGGCGGGCATTTGGGTCTATTTCCCATTGGCCTCTGAAATGCCAGAATTGCTACTCTCTCATCATTACCCAGTGAACACCTATGGCTAAGCCACGGCGGTGGAGTAGCGCCGTCCACGTCATACAACCACAAACCCGTTTATAGGGCTGTTACATTCACACAGAAGAAAGGACATAGAACAAATAGAGAGAGAAAGAAACATCCAAGCCATGAGCGGGATTCGAAACCGCAACCATCGGCTGCGCAGTCAAGCACGCTAACCACTCGGCCACCTGGTCGGCAAATTTTGAATTGCAAGGTATACAATTTTTCAGATCTTTTTAAAGAATGTAATTTTAAATGGCAAAATAAAAAAATTGAGCGAAACCGAATTTTAAAGAACACGGAGACAAAAAAATTTCGACTATAATTAAATAAAATTACAAAAAGAATAACAAATATTTACTAAAAGTCATTTATTGCATGAAATTTTCTTTGGCTAAACGAATTTTATAATTGTTTGCGAAAGTTTTTCCATTCGCTTAAAAAGTTCTAGAGATATGGAGAAATTTGCAAAAAATAAATTAAACATATAGGAGTCCCATACTTTAAACCGCTCTTCGAACCAACTATTGGGACTATTTTTCCCAGACTCCCTATACTTTGAAGATTAGAAGTCGTAATCCGTCTGGGAAAAAAAGCAGATTCATTCGATACAATTCTGTTTTCTTGTCTGATTTCTTATCTTAAAATATCGTATGTACTAATTAATTAGCATATTCGAGGTTAGTTCTGGGAAAGATCGAGTCTCAGAACGTATCGATCCGCCCATTAGGTCATAAGTTATTCAGTGTAACGTTTTTTTCCCCCTGCATTGTACAATATATAGACGAAGTTAGAGCATCGGAAATAAAGGTATCTTGTAACAACTTCGTTCAAAGATCATTTTTTCAAATCATAGTGTATGAAAGCCTAAGAAACAAAATTATGCGTCTTTCTAAAAGTTAATGTTCACAAGGAAATTTCTGTTCATGCAAATTTAATAATGTTCCACATTTAACTTCTCCCCTCTGTCTCGTTCCGTTTTTAAAATAGAACGCTAACTCCACATTTTCCCACCAGGGGGCAGTCTCATCCCACGCATGGCCACTTTTATAGCTTTAGGACATCGGGATATTTAAAAGAGTGGATATCGACATTAGTGGGCACAAAATCACATATGCGTTGGAACTCACACATCTTGAAAACTTTCCGGACTTATAATGAGAACATAAATTCTAATAGAAATATGCGATGTTCTTATTCATATTTCAATTACTGATATATTAAATAAATAATTTTGTTAACATAGTTAGTGCCATGACATCACGAGTTGGGAAAAACAAATGTTAAAAAATATGGAAAAACGCGTTTTTCATTTAAACTATTTTGAATATTGTTATTAAAAGCCTGATTAGTCCTTAATGTATAATAATCCTTCCAGCTATATAATAAACCGGAAGGGCAAGGGCAACTATCCAAAAAAAAAAAAAAAAAAAAAAAAAAAAAAAAAAAAAATCGTAGATCAAGAAAATGTCAATGATAATCCTTTATTTTTGTTTCCAAATCTTAAACAATTTCAGTGCAATTCCCAGTGAAAAGTTTTAGTGACAGATATCAAAAAAGAATGCCATGTATTTTTCAATGGAAAATAATGACCCAGTAATTTTAGGTAAATGCACTTAATTGGATACCTGAGACTGACGTATTCTTGACCCATGGCGATGACTATGGTCACTGAGACTGGTTTTCGCTGGAGTCAGCCAGAGAGAAAAGGAATCTTTCTCTACTATCCCTAGAGTTAGCCCTAGAGTGAAGAGAAGCTACCCTCCCAGAAATGAGTTATTCTTGTTTCTATAACAACAGACGGCCTCTGACTTTGTGGCGAGGGAAGTTCTTACTGTAGACAAACTATAGATAAATTGTGGCATTTGTCGATTCAGAATCCAATCAGGTTTGAACACACACTCGTGACGTCGCTTACAGGTATCCAATTAAATTTGATTTAAATAACATTGTTAGGCATGATACCTTAACTTCTCAAATTGCAAGTACCAAATTGTGTAAAATTTTCCTCCATTTCAATTACATTTCTTACATGATACCAGCTTATAAATTCAATGCAAAAAAAAGTTGTAACTTTTATTAAATTTTTTTTTTATAAAATCATTTTAACAAAATACAAAAAGGGCATTATTTACTGATTTTTAACTTTTGTTTTAGAATTTCCCTTAAAAGAATTTTATGTTTTTGTGCAAATAAAGAGAAATGAATAATTTTTTTAAAGTCACTGATCTAATATTTGCGATTTTTGTTGAAAAACTGGGGCACATTACATTGAATTTTAAACCTAAATTTTAGAAAAATAATAATAAATAATCTAAGAGTTGAAACATTATGATATTTCAAATTCAATAAGGATTTTTAATTTTTCCTAAGATTGAACTTCTTGTAAAAACTTTCTGGTGCTTTGACTGTGATTATTTTAACAAATTACATCTACAACAATAACTTTAAATAAATTATTTATTAACTCTCCAAAAAAATAAAAAAAATTCAACTAAAAAAAAAAAAAAATGACAAATTTTGGGCAAATTAAATATAAAAAAAATTGAGTTTAAAATTTGTAAGCATATTTAAAAAGTAACTACAGGCATTCAGATCTTATGTTAATCTTATCTAACTATACAACATTCATTTATTTTGCCAAGTCATCAGATTTTGCAAATATATCTTTTATTGTTTAAAATTTCTACAGACATTTTCCACAGCCTGTGAAGAGAAGGAGGGTGCGAGGGATAAGTTTTCGTTAAACTGCTCCACTGTAAAGTGTTCGATGGGCTAGCAAATTATATATATAATAAAATAATAAAACGGAATTTTAGTAATCATCCTCAGAGATGTTTCCCATCATGCAGTTCCCGTGGAGCGTAAATAAATTACTACTACTACAGCTATTTTAGGAAGGCTCAAAAATAGATCTAAATAATTACTTTATAACTAAGTTTTTATTTCTATAAAAATACATAATTATTCTAAATGAATGCTAAGCATATAACTAATTATTTAACACTACTTAAACTATTACTTAAGACAACCTAACAAAATTAATATAAACAAATATTTAAAGTATTGCTAACTATTTAACCTTACTTAAATTATTACTTAAAACAAACTAACAAAATAAAACAATACAGATGACTATAGCATTGCCAATTTAGATAAAGAAATATCCACGTTTTCGGATAAAAAAAATAAATACATATATCAAAAACAAAAAAAAATTGCCACAAAATTTAAAAAAACTAGTTTTTCCAAAAATAATTCGTTTCTAAATAGATTTTTTTTAAGAATCTGATACATTATTAAGTCCTAGGGGGCGGATTAATTAAATACTATTTTCGCTTGCATCTTATTGTGCATGAAGCTGATCGTTAAGGTATAAATCATTTAACAGATCCCTTTAACTGTCATTTATAACAGTATATATGTATTTGTTTTTTATAACTGTCGTTGAACAACTGATCCAATTTTTGGGTTTACGACTACTAATGTTCAACTCCGTAGCCTTGTAATTTTGAACCCAATAAAGAAGACAAGGGAACTCCTGGATCAAGTATTAGGAGAAAATTTGCCTTCGTGGAGCAATTTTTAATGGAATTAACCCGCGTTTGCATTACATGGAGAGGAAGATCACGAGAACCTTCCACCGTTAGCCTGACGGCAAAGGGACTGTAATCCATGATCCGTCTACCACTGAGGATATTCAGGGGTGATTGTGAGCCCAAGTCGAAATTCCGGAAAATTTCTTGAGTTTAAAAACAAAATGTTTAAATTGAAAAAAATTTAAAACAAGTGTTTTTTCCTTTTTCTCAATATTTCTTAGTTTACTTAAAATATATTTGAAATTTTACACATACCTATGACCTGGAAAAGTAATTTAAATTTACAAATATGTCTTTCTTTCTTGAGTTTATGATTATAATAACTATTTACTGATAAAAAATGAACATTAATCATGAATATAAGCTTGCTTATAAAGTAGCTGAAGGTTATAAAGTATCTGGCTCTCCCTTACAAACGAATAAAATAAACTGTGTTTTTAAGTTCCGCCTTTCAAAATTTGATTTCCGGAAACTTCTGTGATCAATGATTTTTCGAAACGTCTGGACCTTCGATCTCCGGAAACTTTCGGATCACTGTTAGCAAAAAATTCGGAAATCCGGATTTTTTCCGGAGCACAATCAGCACTGGGGTATTTCACATCAGTACTGTGGTCGGTGCAAGCCGAACGTGGATTCATATCCATCAGCCATCGCTGGGATTTGAAACCCATTCTAGTCATTGAAAGGCGAACGCTCTATACCCTGAGCCATCGTGGCTCTACAATAGTATATTACTGTTATTTGCACAAAAATATTAATTGCAAAATGGTTAATAAGATTAGACCACCTTTTCAAATAACCTTATTTTAAAATGTAGCACAGAAATTACATTCAAAAAAACAATTATCTTAGTTTTAAACTCCTGAATTGAAATAATAGGAGTAACTTTAAATAATAGGAGTAACTTTAAATTAGAGATACAAAAATAATTTTAGAAAAACAATACCATTCTGACTTTATTTAATTTTATGATGATTACAACCAAAACAATATGGAAAAGAATGAGGAAAAATTGGATCCCACCACATGATTTTCCGGCCAATAAAAATTCATGGACAACGATGGAAAACTATGACACCATCATGAGATTTTTATCTATAGTAAGATTTAGTTGTTATTATTACTGAATCGCACTATTATAGATATTAAATTAAGACATAAAAATTATTCCATTTAATGTATTATTTTCTATTTAATTTAGTAATGAAAAAAAACATTTTCAATATTTTGGTATACAATTTTTTACTCATTCTTAACAATCTAATTTTAAATAAAAAACCAAAATCTTTAACCAATTTGTTCAAATATTTTCCAAATAATGAACCAAAAATATAAAAATTTAAATTTTTAGATAATTTCAATTTTTAAGATAAATTGAATAATTATCATTAATCATTGAGATTGCATCTTATTTCAGATTTATCTAATGCAATTAAAAGTTATGAAGTTGTTAAATTTTTCATTTTGTGCCCAGCACATATTTCTTGATTTTTAACAAACATTCTCTGAGAAAAGAAACATTTATTTCACACACTGAGAATTTTTTGGGAGTTAAGGAGATAACACAGAAACTAAGAAATCTTTTTAACATATTTAATAATTTTGAAGAAAACAGTAATAAAAGTGGCTATTTTTTATTCCAAAAAAATATATCAAACTAAACATGCGTGCAATGTATGTAGTCATGTTTAATCTTTGGGTTAATCACAAATATACATGTTTGATGAGTGCTGACATCAAGTTTAAAATAAACTATCGCTAAACACGCTTCTGGATGTATGAAATGAATTGTTTTAATATTTTTTAGGCATTACTTTCGAAAACCTTAGTTCAAAAATATATTGCACACGAGAAGTAGAAGTCGAAAATTCACCCAGTCATTTTGGCCGAGTAGGAAGTAGTTAAAAAACAAGGAGAGTTAGTACAATTGCATTGTTATATAGTTCATTTCTTTTTTTAATGCATGTTCTTACAATGGCAATAAAGAGTTCTATTAATTAAAATAATATTTGGAGAAAATAATGTAAAGATTGCTAGACATTGATGGAGACCATTAGTTTCAGGGAGAATAACAAAACAATAGTGAGCAAAATAAAATAAAGAAATGCAAAAAAGGGAAAAAAGCATACACTCTGAATAACTTTTAATGAAATTTACACATACTAGGTAGGACACAAACTTGATGGTTCACGGAGGTGACCTCAAATAAAAGAAGTATACATAAAATTTGATTCATCAGGAATTATTTGACCAATTTTGTTTAAACTTTATATTTTGCTACTTAAAATTATATTCCTTAAAAAGACGTAAAAATTTTTATACCTTCCATTCTAAATTTTTTCAACTGTTCAAAAATAAATAATAATTAAAAAAAATTTTTTGAATGAAATCCTCGTTGGATAAATAAATTTTATAATTTTTGTAAAAATTCTTCAATTTCCTTAAAAAATTCTCGAAATATAGCGAAACACGCCAAAAAGTCTAATTAACATTAAAAGTTTCACTGTTTCGATTGCTCTCCTCATCGATCTATTGGGAACACATTTCTCAGATTGCAGTAAATCCCCATGTTTCAAAGGTTCAAATCTGTAGGGAAAAAAGTATGTTTAGTCACAGAAATTACATTTTTGCATCTGATTATGTACCTTTAAATATTGTCTGCACAAATCAATTAGCATATTTCAGATCCATCCCCATGAAGCATTAAATTCTAGCGTGTGAAAATATGATCATTAGATTAAAAGTTATTCAGTTTGTTTCATTTCTTTCCACATTTCGTTTTTCAACAAATCTAAATCTGTTGAAAAAAAGATATGCTTTTTCAGAGAAATTACTTTTTTTCTGTCAGATTTTGAACCTTCAAATATTGTCTGCACCAATCAATTAGCTTATTTGAGGTCACATCCATGAAGCATTAAGTCCTAGTATATGAAAATAGGATCATTAGATTAAAATTTACTTAGATTGTTGTTGTTTTTTTCCTTTGTACATAGAAATAAATTGAAATATTATGCCACGTTTATCAACATGCATAATAAATATTATAATAAGATATGAATTGGCAGATCATTTACTATTACACGATAATAATCATCATAGCATTATCATCAAATGAACTTGCTAAAAAATACTGCTTATTAAAGGTTGTTCAATGTAAACATGAATGTAATTTGATGCTATATTAATAACTGCTAGTATTCTTTAAAAAATTGTATGCAAATGAACTTGTAAATTTTTTTTGATATAAAGCAATATAAATTAAAATTGAGTCCGATTATGTGCTTTTTTAAAAATATGTTTAAAATAATAAAAAATAATTGATGAAGAAATATTTTGAAAGTTTTGATTTTGTATATCTAACTATTCTAAATATTTCCTATCATTACTAAATTAAAAAGCAAATCATTAATAAAATAAAACTAAGAAGGAAAAAAATTATATATGAAATTGTTGTGAAGCCTAAATAATTAAAGACTAAAAGCTATACATAAAATGCCGAGTAGTAATAAACAATTATTCAAAGGTTCACAATGCAACAATCAATGTAAAAATATATCAATCCTGATACAATCTGCACAAAAAATATTGCATAAATAAAATTAAAAGACTTGTGTGTGATATTAGCAAAGAGATAGTCCAAAAATAAATTTATTCAATTTTATGAAAATTATTCATTTAAAAATTAAGCATTAAACAAACAATTAGACTTAAAATTACCGTGAAATAAATTCACGATGCTACACAAAGGACTACAAAACAATTTCTAAAAATTAGCTATTAATATTTATATCACCCTGATATTACTAACTATACGAAAGTTGATGAAAAATTCTGAAATTATAAAATAATACTGATGAAACTAATATTTTAAATTGCATTATTAGTTCGTTGCGTAAACATTGAAATTAATGGCCCAAAAGACAGGAGTAATTATACTGCACCAAAAGCATATAAATAATGTACTCAATGTATCAATTTAAAAAAGTGTCACAAGCTAAGTATGATGCAAAAATAAAACATATAAAAGGAATGATCACTAAAACCTCCCATAAAAAATAACAAGATAATTATAAAAAGCAAACTTTTTGAGGAGGTAGCATCATTAACAGTTTGATAAATAAAATATTGAGAGTGATGCAATAAAAGCAAAATTACTTCAAATTATAAATGAAGAAATACTATAGTTATTGAATTTCAGAAAATTTCTTTTAAGTGTAAATAAACTATACAGCACAAGGACATCATATTCATAAAAGAGACACATAAAATTTATTAAAAATTTATTGTTCCTAATATCACCAAATACAATAACGTATTTAATTTCTTCATCATAACTCATCATGGGTATCTGAAATAAAACAAATTTAACTTATTAAAAGTATACACAAAAAAATTATAATTTAAATAATTAAATATAAAGCATTTAATTAACCTAATTTATAAAACTTTTTTTTTGTAAAAAGTCTTTGTGAATATTGTAATATAAAAGTAAAATTTAATTTCAGGCTCTATCTTTTATGTGTAGCTCAAAAATGGCACGAATAATTTTTCAAGATTTAAATTAGTAATTAAAAAAATACTACAGACCTGTGTCTTTGTCCTCTTTTGTTGATTGGGAAATTGTTTTGCTTTTCTCATACTCTTTGTGAAATTCTTTAATTTCAGTATCATAATCTTTCCATTCGGGAATGATACGCATGGCACTAGCAAGTTTGGATTCTTTAGTTTTTGGATTATTACACTGCAAAAGAAGTTTGAGAAGAAGAAAAAATTACATTTGACGCCATTTTATACTGAGATTAGATATTGAATCAAAGAAATCTTCCAGGTTTATAATGGAATACATGAAAGATTCAGTAAACCCTATACATTGAATGCTAAAATGATTAAATTAGACGTACCTTATTTCCAAAATTTAATACACATAGAAAATTTTTAATTATTGTTAATTATAAGAGCAGTTCCAAAAAAAGAAGCATGGGCACTAATCAGTTAAAATAACTGAAAAGGACAGGATAAATAAATTAAAGAAATATTACAATAAGTTCTGTAAACTTACCAAATCAATCGTTTTAGCGTATTTTTTGGTATCATCAGAGCACCATGTTTCGCACCAAAGCCATTCCTGTGGTAAGGACACGATGCTCACTTGATGAATCATGTTGTTAGGCAAATCCTGCAAGACCACGATTCAATTATTAAAATCACATAATTTCCATAATATCCATAAAAAAAAAAGAGATTTAAGCTTACAATTTAAACAAATAGGGGCTGTACAACTCCTGGACAACAATGATATACATTAATGATACACTATAAAAACATTGCTATATATTGTGAGGGCTTTAATATTTGCTTTTTAGAGGCCCTTAGGAAAATGGATAGTTATAGATCCCTTCATGGCTCATTGAAATCAATTATGTGATTATTTTTTTTTTAATTTCTTAGAAGGAACAGCATTTTTTAAACTACTTTCATTTTTATTTATTTTTAAATTTTTAATTATCATTTAATTTTATATATGATACATCAAGTGCAGAGTCTTTAGAAGTAAAGAACTTTGAATTTAAAAATTCCTCTCTGATAATTATAAGAAATATTTGATTCTTATGAATAGAAACAGTTAGTCAACTTTTTTCATAATTAATTTCAACAATCGCCAGGGTAAAGAATAAATCTCTTTTTGCAAAAAACAAATTTGGCCATTTATACTGCACTAAGCCCATTTCCCAAATTCAATAAAAAATAAGCACCTTTAAGGGCTTTAAATGAAAGGAAAAAAAGCACGGAAGCATTTTTTAAAAATCCTACAAGCCTTATTATTCAATACATTTAATTATCATCATAATAATAAACTTTAAATTTTGGCACTGCATTCAAATAATTTAAAAAATGTTATGTAGAATAAAATATACAAATTTTGGTATTTTTTCAAAGAAATTTCAGTACTCTTTTAGAAAAAAGAATCAACTTTAAAATACAAAAATTATGTTCATTTAATTCAGTATTTTTAAATACATTACAATTTGTAGTTTTCAAGATTATTGCACTTTTAAATATATTTTTAGACAATTTAAATTTATAGAACTTGTACATAAGCACTTATGCTTCTTGGCTGAATTCCATAAAAAAAAAGTATCAGGATTAAAAAAAAAATCCTCAATCATCCAAGAATTATGATGTTTTAGAAATGCATTTTGTTTGAATTACTTTGAATAAAATATTCTTTACCGACTTTTGTTATAGATAATATTTTGCAGGATTTATATTTCAGCAGTTTTGTACAAGGCATTGCTTTAAATTTTGAGAACATTAAACTCAAAATGATCCATCTTTACTGACCTGATCCAAATTTGAAAGACTGTTGGGATCTTGACTCAATCCTTGATATTGTCCTCTCAGACGATCACCAGCCGCTATTCTTCTAAACTTTTTTAAATCAACAACATAAAGAGCACTAAATAAAATAAACATTACTTGTAAAAGAAATAAATTAGGAAAAAAAATATTTATCTAGTGAAAGTCTTATAAAAGTTGTTACATCAGTTTTCATTGGTCCTTGAAATATCTAAACATTTTATGTGCATTAGGAATTCAGCAAAATGTTAAAGTACATTTAGAGTTTTTATATCTCAAAATAGTTTAGTGAATTATGACATGTAAATAACAGTTTGTGATTGGCCGAGAGCCAGAATGTACAAAAATCAAACAAATATTCAATTAAGATGGACTACATCTAAAATATATCTTTAATCCCAGTGAAACTTAAAATTATAGATTTGTATATAATTATAGATATCTTAACTAAAAGTAGCTATTATACTAATAATTAATGTTAAATTTTCATATATTTTTTTTAAATAGTTAGCTTTTAAAAAACCTGATAGCTGTACTTGAAACTTTTATTAAGTTATTTGCTATTATATACCAAATAAACAGTAAATATTTTGATAGAACAGTTTTCTTGCTTGCTTGCTATTTTTAACGGAAAATTTCCTTATTTTATAATTAAAGAACTGAATCAATTACTTAATGATTTACACAAACAGTCAATTAATAAGATGCATATATCACGGCTAATTAAAAGAAAATGAGTAAATAAAACATTACTAAATACAGATAACTTCATTTTGGCACTAAGAACGCAAGATTTGAGGGAAACTTTGCATATTGTGGTAAGTGATTAGGCTACTGTTTTCCAACAATCCTAATTTAAACAATTTTGATGTTGCTTTATCTAATTCTACTTACAAAAATTCTATTATACATAATATCTAACAAAAACAGAAAATTTACAAATACACTTTTTTTAAAAATTTGGAAATATGAACTATTCGTAAAATAGAGATGTTAAAACCAAGTATGCAGCATATTTGATATATACGTAATAACACTATAATGTTCAATTTGTGCCAAAAGAATTGCCTTCTAGAATATTCAATTTTCTAAAATAAGAGATATAGAATATGATGTAAAGATACATAATGAACTTTGAAATAATGACTTCATTAGGCATTAGCATACTTTTGTTTTCTTGATTAGAAGTTTTAAGAGCAGCTCTTTTTTCTTTGTTTGAAACTTTTTATTGCATCAGTTATGGGGGAAGTACAAATAGGGAAAATTAAGCAACTAACATAATTAATGAATAAATGACAACTTTTTCGTAGAAACCTAAACATAAGTTAAACAAGAATAATAAAAAATACAATTGACAAATTTTCCACAAACCTGATGTGGTACTTTCTACTCCCTAAATGAGAGGCCCAATAACCAGATTTCCAAAATCTAGAAAGGAAAAAAAGAATTATCACTAACCTGAATTCATCTCAGTTTATATTTCACAAAAATTTAGTGCCTGGAGTACACTGGAATTTCCGGAGATCCTCCGGAAATTCCAGTGTTACTCCGGAATTTCTGGAGAGCCTCCGGAAATTCCAGTGTTACTCCGGAAGTTCAAGAGTAGTTACCGGGTATGGGTAAATATTACAAAATTATAAAGGCAAACAATGATTCAGCAATGATCTACCTATTCAAAATAACTAAACACATAATTTTGCTTTATAATGCTCAGAACTTCCGAAAATTTTCATATATTATTTCTTCTAATCTAGTATGGTAGTAGGTATGAGTCAATTCAATATATATTCTTTATATTATTAATTCAATATATTCCTTCAATTTCAACCTTTTTTTAATAGCATGTTGCAGTAGAAGACTAAACTAAACTAAACTCAGCGGCGCGACAGCCCATAGAGCGCCAAGGTCTACTATGCCCATCTCAGTTTTCTTGACCTTTGGGTTCTGGGGTGCAGGAGCAGATGTTCCTGTTAGGTGGTCAGCCAAACGCGAAACCCCCAGTGTTTAGTTCCCAAGCATGCTTGGTACTCATTTCTCGACCCACTAAAGGGATGAAAGGCTGAGTCAACCTTGCCCGAGGATCGAACCAGGGACCTGTGGCACGACAGTGCGAAGCGCTACCGCTCAGCCACCGGATGTAGCAGTAGAAGACTATATTATCAAAATTTTTGTTAAGAACAAAAAACATAAGGAGTGCTTTATTGGGTAATGGCATTACAGTGAGTCAGGGATATGCAGTTTTAAATGTAATAAAAACATCAGAGAGTTGTTTAATAACACCTTTTCCATTGAAAAGTACATCATTTAAAGAACAGGCTAATTATTTTTACTTGTAGTGTAAAAGAATAAATTTAAAATCTTAACCATAGTATTCTTTTTAAGAGAATAAATTAATAATCCTTATTTGATGTTGGTCATAACATGTTCTTAAATCTGATTGTGCACTTATTATGTTAGCCAGCTGCAGTTATAAAATATAAGCAAACTGTTATTCATTTCAGAAAAGGAATAAGAAATTTTATGAAAATAAATTGAATAAAAAATTTTATTAAATAAAATTTTACTTCCTAAATTTACTTAATTTTAAATTTGCAAATAGCCTTCTACTAGTTAAAAACATAAAAGTTAATCATTGAAGCTTATAAAATTTTAAACTTTCAGATAATTTTAAAATAAAATATAAAAACTGAACAAGTTATTCACACTATAAGACACTATTTTATCATTCCTGTTTGAAATGCATGTAAATTGAAAATGGATAAATCTATTAAATGCATAAACCCAAAAGTAATGGCTAATGAATTATACTATTTTTTAAAGATAATTGGTTGCCCAAAAATTCAATGTAAAAAGTTATTATAGAGTTAACTATTCAAAGTAGAAAGGGATTGAGAAAAACGGTGAATATTTATAGCATTTAACATAAATATCAGTAAAAATTCATAATTAGCTGAAGTAACCTCATTTTCCCCAGTTTTTGAGAAATGGTTATTCTGAATTGTGATATTAGTTATTCTGAAATGACACAATATTTTTTTTTTCCATACAACTTGTATAAAATCCTTTTGCAATTTTTGACAAAGCTAAATGTGATCTTTTATCAATCCTTAATTTGAAAATACAAAAAAAATGCTTGATTTTATGAGATAAAGAGACATTAGAGGTTACCTGTAACCATCCATATCTCTTCTACTATCACAGAAAGGGGTGTAGCCATAAGGTGCACCTTGTAAATCTAGGTCTACTAATTCTTTCATATCTGCACGCACAACCTAAAATTAATTCATATTTAAACTTTAGGTCTTAGTTAGACTCTTTCCCAGCTCTTTGTTACCCTGGAATTGGCTAATCTTTCTTTTCCCTCATGGCAGTAAATTTAAATTACTCATTGAAATGTACTGATGTGGGAAAGAAAGATTTGCTGAATCCATAGTGAGTGATAATCTCGTAAGTTTGAGACAAATCGTATCAATAAGTATTGCAGCATTTGATTTTAAATTGAGAGAATATGAATCTCGATAAGTGGCTTTTAAATCAAGTGAATATGAAACTTGATATTGGATTTCAAAAATACAAATCATGATACGTAATTTTTAGATCGCGTAGATACGAATCACGATGCCTTGAAATTGTGTGAATACGAAAATCGATGTTTGATATCACAACCACATAAACGAATCACAACATTGGATTTTAAACTCCCGTGAATACAAATCGCTACATAAGGTTTTAAAATTGCATAAATACAAATCGCGCTATTGGATTTTTAAATCTCGCAAATAAAAATCACAACGTACAATATTTAAATCGTGTGAATAAGAATCACAATGCGCAACTTTTAAATCAGGTAAATACGAAAATTGATGTTTGGTAATAAAACCGCGTAAATACAAATCGCGATATTAGATTTTTAAATCTCGTAAATAAGAATTACAATGCGCAGCTTTTAAATCAGGTAAATACGAAAATCGATGTTTGATATTATCTGCATAGATAAAATAGCCAAAATAAGCAAAAATGCGGAAGGATTGGCAGCTACGTATATCAAATTTTCTGTTTATCTTTGAAAATCAAAAATAAATATAATCATTTTATTTCAACGACTGAATTTCCAGGTAAAGTGGAATATTTATGAAATAAAAAAGAAACGAAACTTTTAGAGCATCGGAATTTATGGTTAAAAGGCTGAAATTCGAGAGACAAAAGCGAAAAACAGCTAAAAAGCGGAAAAATCTCATCCCTGATGTTTTGGTGTTTTTAAACAGCTTTGATCTGCAATTTTTATAGGTTTAAAGCTGGTGGAGCTGCAATTTTCATAAGCTTATAAAAGCGATTTTGGAGCAGTTGTGAGTTTTGTTCTTTTATAGACCTTTTTAGGAACAATGTTTTTCTACTTGGAACTGGGAAATTTTATGAATACTTAAATAACTTATCTACAATACAAATTTAACTAAAATTAAGAATATTTATAGATTTTTTACAACAAGCATTCATTTTGATTTATTTCAGAACATAGCTAAAATGGGGATAAATTAAAGCTGGATTAGAGCGGTTTGAGAGAAATGTTATGTGAAAATGTCTATTTTAAAGTTGATTGATAGCAAAACAAATGCTGAAGAACTAGAAGAGCAGAACTTATTTAAGCAGCCAGTTTTAATAATGAAATAAACATAGAAAACATAATTGTTTCTTTACTGTTACGCTTATTTTACATCAATCCAGTTATATTAATTTCCCACCAAAAATTCTAAGCTATTTTAATAACAGAGCTAGAAACAAAGAACACCTAATCTGTGGTTCATATCAAAGTCTTCCTTCAAGGCTAGTTTGCCTCAATGCTTGATTAAGGAATTATTTTATCTTCTGGGTTAGGTTCAAAATTACAATGTTACAGAGTTGAACATCGACGGCTCTAAACTAAGAAATCGGATCAACTATCCAATACCGGTTTTGAAATAAAATAAATTAACACAGACTTAAACAAGGGATCAAAAAAACAAAATATCAAACCAGCTTACCAATCCTTTCCATCAATTGCTGCTCTGAGGGGCCAATAATAATTATTCTAAGGTGGCTCAAGTTAAATTACAGTACCCAACGGACCACCATTCCATTTCAAGCCCTGAATAATTTATCTTAAATTACGGATATTCTGTTTATAAAAGCTGGAGACTTCTTTTCCAGTTTCATAACTTTTTGCTAAATGTGGGCATTGGTAGCTCTAACATTAAGCCGCATATATATGTACTTAAGAGTAACGATTAATTATTATTAAGTGGTTCATATTGTGTTGATTGATTAAGATGATAGGGAGGTCTAAAAAATCAGAAAGCTCTACACATTTGGAATTACCATTAAAAAAATTTTTTGCATAACTTAGGTAACTCCTTTATAAATGGCAAGAAGGTTGATAAAATCACTACTAAAAAATATATTTTAGCGATATGAGTTTTAAATAACATTATATTAATTAATGCATAAAAATAATCATTTCTTTTTTTTTTTACTTCATGAGTAAAAGCATCTAACAACCAGTTTTTTTTTCAGTAATGGAAAAATTAATAATAAACTGAAACATATAAATTTAAAGATGATTTCTCTTCTTACCTGATCAGCATCTACAAATATTATTTTCTTAACATCAAGTGGAAATAATACATCAAGGAATAGAATTTTGTATCTAAAAAATTAAAAAAAACAGATATTTTATTTAAACCAAAATAATAAATCAGATAATGGATATTTTGTTAAATTAGAGAAAACTTTTGTATGTAAAAAATTAAAAAAAATTTAAAGGCACTGAAAAAAAATCTAAATTACTAAAATTAATTTAACTTTTGACAATACTTACCTTTATATTCTTTTAATTAATTAATACAATAACTCATGCCTATGCATTTATATATTTTAAAGTCAAGCTTTTTGTTTTTCAAAAAGTATATAGTATGAATCTAGATCAAATAAAATTCTTAAAAACTAAATTTTCAATGCTTTAAAATATTGCAACTGTGAAATATTTCAAATTGTATAGTTTAAAATGCATAAAATATTCAATACTCACACCAAGAAATTAATTTATTTGAATATTAACTGACTATTTTAACTTTCATTTGAACATTTCAGTAATTATACTTTACAGCTAAAAAAACTTATTAAAAAAATTTTTGAAATATTTTGGAATGTAGTTGTACTTGCATAAATTTTTATTCAATTGAATAAACAATATTTACAATTCATAAAGAGTATTAGTTTCACTTTTATTTATAATTAGAAAGAAAAAAAAGAAAAAAAACAAGCAATACTTACCCCCATATGATTCTTTGTTTTTCACTCTGTTGATTCAACCACCTGGGCCATTTATACTGCACTAATTCATATTCAAAGCCATATTTTTTGGACATAAATGGCAAGAAATCCTTTATAAAAAAATTTATTTTAATCCTTAATTTATTAATAATTATGAATACAACTAACTCAATAATTTTATGTAGAATTAAAAACATTCATTAGATATCCATTGTTTTGTTTTATAAAATTTTAGAAGAGTTTGTCTGTTTGCTTCTTGGATAAATAAACATTATTACATATTCTTTTAATTCTTTTCATTTGATTAAAAACGGTATTTAAATAAACGTTTTTAGAAAAATTCGAATTTTAAAAAATTCGAATTCGTAAGCAGTTTATTTAGATTCAATTTAAAATCATATATTTTATTGCATAAGTCAACAATGCAGATATTTTATTCTTTTTTAATATTTAAATCCAAAAAATTAAAACTAATAATATAGTCATGATTAAGAAGCAAGATTAATTTCTCAAGTATATATTATTTAACAAAATTGCATAATTTTGAAAATTAAAGATAATTAAATCATAGGGTTCCCACTCAATCTTTTAAAAAAAATTCAAGGACTTTTCAATGACTTTCAAGGACCTAAAATCAAATTTTTCAAGGACCTATTCGATATTATTGTTATACGCTAAAGTACATGTCAACCAAATTTTACAATTACGTAGAAGCAGAAATTGTATATTTTTAAATCATAATGCTTATTTGACAACAACAAAAATTATTTATTAAATTTATCAGCTAATAATACGAATGGTTGACAGTTACATTGCTGTTTCAAATTACTTTAAAAAATTCCAATTGACCAAAAAAAAACAACAACCTCCAATTGACACAGGATACTAGCCAACATTTAAAACTAGCATCAGTGAAACTTTTCATGACAAATGAATTAGAATTAATGAAACTGAATGAATGAGTAATGCATATTACATTAAACAAGCATAGTAAATAATTGATAAAGTTTGTGTAATTGCACGGTTTTTAAAATATAAATACTTTTTTTAATATGTTAGATCAAATTTTAGGTTACAGGAAATGTATATAATTAGATAAATTATCAAAATATATGCATTTAACATATCTGTTTCAATTTTAATATCAAATTTTCTATGTTCTTACTTAAGAATATCAGTAATGTATTTTGAACATAATAAAATCTATTGTAGAACAATATTTTACAGATAACTAAGACTTACCAAGCTTTATTTTCTTTAAAATATATCCATAAAATGTAAATTTTGTGAATATGCCTAATTTTCACAAATTGCAATTTGTGTTTCGAAAGGTGCTTAATATAGGACAGATATGTGTGATTCTAAAATCATTTTGATGAGAATTGTGGATGGTAATTCTCAAATCTCTCTTTTGTGAATCGCAATGCGTGATTTGTAAACTACTAGAATAAGAATCGTGAGGCATGATTGATAAATAACTTTAATGTGAATCATGATGTGATTTATAAAATACCTTAATACAAATCCTGATGAGTAATTTGCAAATCACTTTAAAGTAATATTCGATATGTGATTCATTGATCACTTTCAGTTAAACCACAATTCGTAGAACATTTTATGTGAATTTCTGATCCATAAATCAAGAATCAGTTTAATGTGAATCACGATGTTTATTCATAATCAATGAAACCTGTAGGACTAAACTTTATTTATTAGCAGTAAAAACTGAATGTAAAAATTTGATTGTAAATGATACAAAATTAATTATCCTTCTTACATAAATTAAAAGAACAAATAGGACAACAATATTAACCTGTCGTAATAATGAAGTCAACACATTAAACATGTTTCTAAATCAATTAAACCCTATATATCATTCGCAAAACTATGCCTAAAAAACCTAAAATTTGCTAGAAATTTCAGCTTTCAAATCATCAGAGATATGAACAACAATCTGGTCTGAAAAATCTAGGAGAGAAAAGTTTTGCATCTTCTTTAACCCCTTTTCACTTCAAGCTTTAAAAATTGCATAATTAGAATTTCTATAATTTTCCTTTGAATTTATATATTTTTTTTCATTACTTCTTTGAAAGAAAAATTAGTAGTATTTTAATTTCTAAAAAATCAAGTACTTTTTAAGTACCCTATGGCAGAATTCAAGGACTTTCTGGGGCCCTGATTTTTTTCAACCAAATTCAAGGACCTTCAAGGTTTTTCAAGTACTGTGGGAACCCTGATCAATAAATCTGAAACAAATTTAGTATTAAGAATATAATTTTTTTCACAATAGTGCAAAAAAAGTTAGCTAATAGTGAATGATAAATTAGATCCTTGTGGTATTCCATCTATTTGAATAAAAATATGTTAAGATAATCATTAAAAAGGCAAATATTAATTAGATTTTCCCAATAATCACAACCACAAAAAAGCATACTTTTTAAATAACAGTAATAACTCAAAAGACAATCTTTTAGTTTAAAAAAGAGGAATGCTATTGAAGAGATCCTGGAAATCAAAAGTTGCAATAGAATTAATTTTATTTCGTTTAATAAATTCTAAAATTAGTTGATTATTAGTGATAATACAAGAAAAACCTTCTTTAATAATATCGTTAGTAATTTTATTTAAGTTGTTAGTGAAAATGGTGCTACCTATTAATTAGGTAAGTATTAGACACAAGTGATTGCCCAAAATTTAATAAGAATTTTATGAAATTTTGCTAAAAATTTATTATGAAAAAGAGATGCTTACATTAAATGGAAAATAAATATGAAAATATTATTAAATTATTTTAAGCTTTATTTTAATTATATCAAATGATGTCAGAATAAAATGCAAATTAGATTTCTTTTTTTTAAAAAAAGAAAAACATTTCAAATCTTGAACAGAAAAAAATATAAATTTAAAAATTTTTTAAACTAAAATCAGCATAATCAAAAAAATATTTCAATGTTTTAAATATTTCACTATAACATACTGAAAATAATAAATCACCTATGTAATAAATCACAGTGCGTAATTTTTAAATGATGTGAATACATCTTACAATGTTTTTAAATCGCATTGTGATTTTTTAATTCCGGCAAATATTACAATGTTTGATATTTAAATCATGAGAATACATATCATGTAGTATGATTTTGAAATATTGTGATTAAAGATATCGTTATATTTTCATAGGGACATGAAAAGAGAATGCTTCACAAAACAATTTGGAAAGTTTATCTAAATGCTTAACTCCAAACAAAACTTGCTGTTTAGATTCTATCCACAAAATTTATTTTATCTTCTCTATCACAAGCAGCAGCTGACATAACAAATATTTTTATGTTATTTCGTTATCTAAATTTTTCTTTCCCTTATTATTCAAAACTAAACACGACCTCACATTTATTATTCAAATCCTGTATATCAGTTCTAAATTTAGAATAAAGAATGCTATAATTAGAGTTTTAAGTTTTTCCCCCAACCAAGCTTGAAAACTCCCTTGATCTATTTTTTTAATGAGTTACAAGAAATAATAATTCCCTATTTGCATGTAAGATTATCGATTAATTAGAAAGATTTTTCCTAACTTTTATAGAGAAGCACTTTGATTGTGTGCAATTTGGATGTTGTCTCTTATCACCATAATGTCTGAATAAACATTGACATGCTTTTTCCGGCCAATGCCTGTTTTCTCTGTTTGCCCCGATTCCCTTCGTCACATACACAGAAATCTACTTATACTGCACNCAAACGTTTTAAAAATTAGGAGTAGTCAGCGGACCCCCAAAATATAACTCATGGACCCCTTAGGGGTTCATGACCCACAGGTTAAGAAACCCTGCTTTAAAGAGAGGAATAATTAAGTCTGCCAATTTTTTAAGTAATTATCTTTCTTGAAGACAAGTGCATGGAAAAAACTAATAATTTAAAAAAAATTTAAGAGAGGTATTTTAACTCCAACTAAAATTTTTGGAGTAGTGAAATTCAAATATTCGAGGTGTGCAATACAGATTGATAACTAGTTGCATAGTAGTACCAATCTAATACCTTTTACATTACGACCTTAAATATGTAATACAATTGAAATTTTATAATTGAAGCATTTTATAAAAAATAAATTACATTTAAACTTTAATTTTTTAAAGTAATTTGTGAAGATGTAACTGATTAATGAAAATGGCACATATAATGAGAAAAGAATCGATCAACATTTTACTGGAGAAAAATTTTAGGCCTATCTCTAATTATTAAAAGATGAATCAGCAATAATTTTAAAAAAAGCAACAAATAAGTATCCATAAAACTTAAGAATAAATAAAAATTCTGAATGCAAACTAAGGCTTTCCAATAGTGGATATTAATTAGTTGTACAAAACACATCAATATCGTGCATGATAATATGTCATGGCTCTCACCCTTGTGTTCTAAATGAAAAGATATTTGATAAAGAAAATTTATCTGAATGTAAATTTTACTGAATTCGGTGGGACCGACATAATGAGAACTATTAAAGCATCACGCATTAGGTGGCTGGGCCACCTCTTCAGAAATTCTGATACCGCCCCTGCCAAAAAAGTGACTTTTTCCACAATTGAAGGGACGAGACGTAGGGGACGACCACCTACAAGATGGATAGACGACGTTGAAAAGGACCTCAAGCTACTGGGAGTCAACCGATGGCAGGCCGTCGCACCGGACAGGGCCAGATGGAGGAAAATCTGCGAGTCAGCCTTGGCCTGTGAAAGGCTGTTGCGCTTATGAAGAAGAAGAAGAAGTTTATCATTACTATTTCATTTTAAAGAATATATTAAACTCTAATTTTATAATTAAAGAACTATCAAAATAAAATAACTGAATTTTATAATTACTACTAAATCAATAAATCACATACTGAACATAGATACAATTAAAAACCCATATTGAATTCTCAATTGCAAATAGNACCGATGGGGGGCCCTCGCACCGGACAGGGCCAGATGGAGGAAAATCTGCTAGTCAGCCTTGGCCTGTGAAAGGCTGTTGCGCTTATGAAAAGAAGAAGAAATTTTACTGAATCTCATTTAACTTGAGATGTTAACAAAAAGAAAAGGCTATTTTGAAATCACTACTTTCGACATAGACATCAAACTTGGCTGCACTGATTTAGAATGTTATTAACTCTCTGATCATTCGGCACGGAAAAAGTCTTAATTTAACCAGCAGTCTTTCCTGCATAGCAAAACCGGAGTTTTTTCATGTTATGAGATAGAGAACCAATGCACTGGGGAAAAACATTCAACAAATTTTGCCCATTTGCAAAACTGCCGATGGGTTAAATAAGCTTAAGAAGAAAAAAAAATCCCTTTTGGAACTATGTAGTGAAACTAAATTTATGAGAAATCTTGAATATATTGAGAAATAAATTATGTATCTGAATGTAAATTTTATAGTACATTCAGTATAAAAATTTACTGAATCTCATTTTACCTGAGGTCTTAATCATAAAAAAAAAGCTAAACTATAGCTTAAAAGCACAACGTAGGACATAAAGAGTTGCACTGGTTTGGGATATTATTATAAAATGTTAAATAATGTTCTTTTTTTTTCATTATGTATTAAAATAAAATTTATGACAGACCTTGAATGTCGGCGACAGAAAATTTTTCAGGAACCAAAATTTGACAGGTGTTTTAGTATTCTTCAAAACACTTAGCATCATAATCCTAAAAAAAAAAAAAAAAAAAAAAAAAAAAAAAAAAAAAAAAAAAAAAAAAAAAAAAAAATATTAAAAAAACTAATATAATAATAAAAACAAAAATGAACTCAAATATAAGTATGTTTTATAAACAAAGTGACAATCATATATTATATCTCACTTACAGTATAAATATTGAGAAAATTTAATTTTTAGTAAAAGAGAAAATAAAAATTGTTAGGCAACAAAATTTTAACAGGATATTTTGTTACAATCATGTTATCATACATTTGCACCATTTCTAAAAAGTATGGCAGATATATTTCAAATTGGTATGTATACCTCAGAAGTCTCTCGTACAGATGACCTGATGCCAACGAAAATATGTTTATCTTATCATCCCCCTTTTCTTGTTCACTTTTGTTTCCTGTAAAAGTACTGCAAAAAATAATATATATATATATATAAATCTGACAAAGAAACAATTTTTAATATTAAACATATAAATAAGCACATTTGAAAGTTAAGTCTCTTTATAACAGTTTTCAAAAGCAAGAAATGCATGTGCTATCATAGAATGAAAAACAGCACAACCTATGCTAAATGTAAGGCAAAAAATTACAAAAATAAAAAACATAAAACTATAAAAGGTTGAGTAATCATTAAAAAAAACTGTTTGAAATTTGCTAGTACTATTTCAAAAAACGTGCAAAGCCATCAAACATGCCTATTATTTTAATTAGGGAATGGAATGGGACAGATTTCAAAACAAGATTTCTATCTAGGATCAATGGTTGATAAATTTTCGCATCAATCTAGTATTAGAAAGCAAGAAACGTAAAAAAGGGGACTATTCTAATAAGGAGAAGCTTTTCGTCTAGGAACACTGATTGCCAAAATTTCACATCAATCCAACAGTAGAATGCAAGAAACTTGAAAAACTGGGGCTATTCGAATCAGGGGAGCCTTTCCATCTAGAATCAATGGTCGCCAAAATTCGGCATCAAACCAACAGTAGAACACAAGGAAAATAAAAATTTATAAATAAAGATTACAATTCTAACAACTTAAAAATGATTTATACGCAAAGTGATACATTAATTAACCCTCAAAAAGTTTTTATCTATTAGGAAAGACATCTTTACAAATAAAATATAATTCATTCTAGGTTTGGTTTTTAGATTCCTTAAATCTATTTAGCTATTATTTTAGACATTAAAAAATGTGTTACAATAAATTGTCTTAAATCTTGTACCTAAACCATTAAATGACTCTATCAAGACCAAAACTTTTCTGAAAAGCAAAAAAAAAAAAAATGGTTTCACTGGCCGAAGGCTTAACTTTTTCTGGGAACCTGGACTCAGCAGAATTTTAAAACCTAAAACCTGGTAGAGCCATCATCCAGTCTTAACACCCCCGTGACAGAATCGTTGCGACATGGTGACAATGTCAGAGAAAGTTGAATAGTTCTTGCAGAAAGATTTTTCTTCAGAAAAGTAAAAAATTTTACTTTCTTTTACTGCATAAATGTATTTCTAATATTTGAACACTTAGATAATCACTTTCTGACACGCTTAATTTACGCCGATAGTAACGTAAACCAATGTAATGTTTCAATTGTATTTTCGGCAGTTACTGATATTGATTTTCACATGTTTTTCAAATATCCTTATATATTTCAAACAATATGGAAAATTCGAATTGTGCATTTGAGTATTTACTTTCTAAGGCAATAATTCTATCGAATTTTTGGCAATTATTGCTATTGATATCTCCACAGTTTTTAAATCCTTTATTTTTAATGCGATATTATTTATTACAACAACTTAATCTTGAAATGAAACACGCAATTGATTAGTCTGATTCGCTTGATTTCGCCATCGATCTTTTTTTTGACAATTACTTCAATGGATTTCATGATTTTTAATAATTTTTTATTGTGGCGATTATTTACAAAATGCAAAGAAGGAAATAATTCCTGCGTCCCCCCCCCCAACAAAATGCGAGACTATCACCCATAATATTCTAATAAAATATTATTATATGTTCAATTAACAAAAATTATACATAGTTTTCTTTTTCTTTTTCCTTTTGTAAACGCAGCGCTTTTGTTATTTTAAATTAGTAAGATATGTGTTTGTTATTATTAAATGTATCTTGCAGAAAGACATTAGTGTTAGAGAGTTTTGTTGCAGATAGCTCAAAAAAATTCTGCCACAGAGCTGAACACCACTTCCCCCAACCTACCTGAATTTTTCCACCCCTAAACCACAGGGGTAATTAACTTAGAATGAATTCCAAACCACTAAGGACACAATTGCAATCCTATCAAACAACGTTTAGCTAGGCAACATCGAATCAAGCCATAATAGGAGAGGGCTAAAATCACCAGGCATTAGAAAAATAAGAAATACATTTTTAAATATAAAACCAAACACACCGAACAGTTTTATAATTACTGAGCTAAATTACTAATGTTGGTGCTCAATGGGATATTTTCCAATGATCTTGGCCTTTTTATCTATCATGCCTTAATTATGTTGAAATTCCATATTTTCCACAAAGTTTCTTCCAAGTTTTCACAACATTGCAATACAGTGTAAAAGTTTCACTTACCATTAACTTAAATTTTTTAATGTAAATTTGAAAGATTCAGTACAACCTCAAATATTTAAAGGAAATCTTAAAGCTTTTTTTTTCACACACCTATTTAATTTTGTCTCTTTTTTTTTAGATTTCAGAAAAATGCTGTTATATTTTATACATTCAATCTTTAAAATAAAAAGTGCAGTTTATGACCACATAGATTCGATAACTTTACGTAAGTAATGCATCTATATTTTATTAATTGCTGAGGATGATAGCTGACAGGGTGTTTCTGTTAAAAGAAAGCGTGTTATATTATTTAAAATAGAATAACATATTGCTAATGGCATATGAAGAAAGGAAAATATATAAATGAAATCAACTTTACATCTAACTAGGATGATAATAAAATTTTAAATTAGAGAAATATTTATTGAATGGCCATAATAAAATTAAACTTAAATACTACTTAGCACTAATTTTTTAAAAAAATGAAAAAAAATTTTAAAAAGAACCCTGTAGCTTCCAAAATTTGAGAATTATCGAAATTAGGTCCCAAATACTTTGGAAAATCATGGTTATATTGGACAGTAAAATTACTTAATTTAATGGTAGAGATGGTTTTGAGTAAGGAATGTTTGATGATACCAAAGATGATGGATTTATAATCTGATGATTTATATTTATAGATGATGTATTTCGTTCAATAAATTTAATTGATGTTGTTATAAGGAGACTCAACAGTAAATTTAATCTATATTGCAAAGGACATCAGGAATGTACCTTTTCATTGCAAGCCAAATATTTCTCCATTCCTCGACTATTCCACCAATTATAGGCATGCTGCTTGCAAAATACAGGAAAAGGAAACAAAGAAAGAAAAGAAAACAGCAGTTTTACATACATGCTATAAACTCCTATATTTACAGCATGCAAGTTTATTAATTACTTTCAAGATAAAAATGAAAGAAAAAATTATAAAATCTATATTATAATAGCACACTCCATAGCTATTTCAAAAAGTAAAATTATGATGCTAGGGTTAAATGATAAGAAATGATTCTACATGATGTTTAAAACAATAAATAAATAATTAGTAATGTTAATGATTCCCATTGAAAACAATTATGTTTCTATAATTACAGACACATGAAACATTATATTTTTATAAATAGAGAAATAAAATAGTTTAAAGTAGTGAGATCTTTCAATATTTTATGAATACTCAGCACCAATTTTTTTTTTCTTAATTGGCAAAAAAGTAATCAATTATGCAAAGAAAACATTTAATTAAATTGTCCATGTCAATGTAACAAGAAACAAGGCAGCGTAATCATGGAAATAAAAAAAAAGCCAAGATAGAAAAATCTTCTTTAGCAACAATGAAAAAGAAATTCTTTATGGAAATAAAACTTCTTTATTTCAGAAAAATGTCACTATGTTATTTACTATATGCAATGCAATAAATAAATTATATTACACTGTGCATAATATAATTTATTTATACAAAATAATTTCTATTTATATATATTATGCATAAATAAATTATATTATACATAACTGTATAATATAATTAATTTTTATTCTCACACTACACCTGATGTTAATAGCGTGCAAAAGTATTTAAAATATTAGACAGATAAAGCCAGGAACAAAAATTTTTGTTTTGGAAACACAGCGTAACAAAAATATGGTTAATTATGGCTTTGAATATCCTAACTTGCAACAAAAAGGCACAGAACAGCTGAAATCTTATTTGATGGTCAGCTGATGTTTTGATTCGTTCTTACAAAACTGAAATAACTGAGTGTAAGTGTAATATTACTTATTATAATGGATTAAGATAATTCTGTTATGTTTTCATCAAAAAGGAATAAACATTATTCTAATCTTAACAATGAACTTGTTACTATACCTTTCTTTTTTGTTTGCTACAAAATTAATATCCCGCTTTATTCTTAAAGTCCTTTCCTGACCTGCTAATAGTGTCTTAAAGATCCTATCAGTATTGAAAACTATTGGGATATATTAACCATGTATATTACCCATGTAATGTTTCACTACAATAGGCAATGCACAGGGTAAAACAGATTTAAAATTTAGGTTAAAGGAACACCATAGATATGTCATCAATAATTCATGAAATCCTCCATTGTCTTGCTCAACCCTTGGGTATAAATTTAATTTAGCAAACCTGCCAACATTGGAGAAATAAAATAACCGAGATTTCACTAGCAACATTTATTGGGCTACAAGTAAAGTTGTGATACATCATGCATAATCATGTAAGCCATAAAGAGAAATTCAAAATTGGAAATAATATCACTTACATTTAGAGAAGTTAAAAATATGTATATATATCATAGACTTAGAGGTTGGACAGCTCTAACGAGCAGGGCACATCGACCAGAGGTCTATTGTACCCGTGTATATATATCATAATCTAAAGAAGATTTTTTTAAAACCATTATTTATAATCACTTGAACTTTTTTATTTTATAATTGTCGTTAAACAGCCGAACCAATTTAGGGTTTACAACTACTAATGTTCAATTCTGTAGCCATGTAATTTTGAACCAATCCAAAAGACAAGGGAGCTTCTGGATCAAGTAATGGAAGAAATTTGCCATCCAAGAGAACTAACCCGCATTTGCGTTACATGGAGAGGAAATTCACGAGAACCTCCCACAGTTAGCCTGCCGCAAGGGCACTCTAACCCCTGATCTGTCTACCACTGAGATTATTTTACATCAGCACTATGGTCGGTGCGAGCCAGCCATTGCTGGGATTCGAACCCGGTTCGCCTCATTAGAAGCCACTACTCAATATACTGCAGTACTGGCAATAACACCATCTGTTGAGGAATAAGAGAAGTATTTTTGCCATCAGTGGATAATTTATCGCCAAGAATTTTTTCTTTTTTTAAATTCCTCAAGAAATACTGAGAAATTAGAGAATATACGGGTAAACAGGAGATAGTCTTAAAATACAGGAGTCTTGGTTAAAAACAGAAGACTTGGCAGGTATGATTTTGATAATGCAAAAGATTTTTCCAACCACGTCACATAATCCAATTTTGATGCCTTTGAATCTTGTTTCATTCGTATAAATTCCATAATTAAGGACACAAGGTGCCCAACACAGTGCTTCAAAATGCACCATGCACAAAATTGTTTATCTTGGCTACTGTGGATGGTATTCTAGTTTTGTTTTTCACAATTATCTATTAAATGAAAAACACTTTTTATTCAGGACAATATATGCAGGATAGTGAAGAAGTTGGCAACTATGTCTTTCTACTTATTTTTTTTTCTCATTGATGTCTGGAGAGTCTCAAAAATGTGTGTGCTCATTTTTGAACTCTCAAGACATGTCAATTTTTCTACCTTTATAATTATTGGAGTAGGGGAGATCGGGTAGCCCCGTTCACTTAAGGAGTATTGCTTATATTTCTGTATAATATTGAGTAATAATCAATATTTTTGTATGTTTCTATTNGATGGCCCATTGACTTGAAAAAATATTCTATACATCTGAAATTGACAGTGGGCAGGGGTACCCGCTGGGCAGGGGTACCTGACACTTCCTTAAATGAAATTTTCGCTTTATATAAAGACTCATAATACAGGGTTGCCACTCAAATCTGGAAATAAAATTCACTGAGTTTTCCCTGTACATATTATACACAATATATTAAGAGGAAATAACAATTACTGTGCTCTTGTGTGAGCTATATTGGGTAAACTATATTTATTAGTTTTAATTGCCGGAAAAACAGCTGGTACTTAAATAACGCTATAGTAAATGAAATAGTTTAGTGCAGCTGTAATACCATGGTTAAATATCCCATAAATTACGTCTTGAGAGGTCACTATTTTTTAAAAGACAAAAATAAGAAAAAAAATTCCCTGTATTTTCCCAGTTCGTAAAGAAAAATTCAAAATTCCCTGCATTTTTCCTGATATTTTAGGTGATTTTTAAATTCCCTGTATTTTCCAGGTTTTCCCTGTGGAGTGGTAACCCTGTAATAAGTGATGACTGACTTACATTTCCTACTAAGATTAAAAATAAAAACATGCATATAAACATATAAATCAATTTTAAAAATTAAGATAAAAAGATTTCTTAATAAAAAATTTTGTTTCCTGTAGTATATCATGAGCAGATATCATTTTGATCTTTTCAATTAATTCCAGCATTATCACTAGTTTATCTAAAGAGTATCACTACCCTATCCATAATTATGAGAAGTTCTTATTTTGTGAGATAAGGGCTCAAGATTTGCAAATTTATACATTCAAAGTGTATGTTTACTCCACATTTTTTATATTCATTGCTAAAAAAAAGTGCAAATTAATTAATATTAGAAAACAATGGCGGGCAAGAAAGTTAGCATTTCTCTCACGTTCACAATTTTAAGTTCATAAGAAATTCATTTTGAGCCAAAAGTCTTGCTGAATGAAAATGAAACTGTAAATCTTCACGAAGATAGCACAATTTATTTCCAGCTGTCGATTTTCAATGGTAATTGTTTATTTTTGAACTGTTTCTTGGGTTTATTTTAAAGTAAATAAAGCACTTTTGGGGTATTAAACTAGAATATAGAAATGCTGCAAAAAAATAAAGAAACAAAAAAAATTTGGTATAAATAAAAATGAAGCATAGGTTTTAGATTATTTTGCTGGTCTAACAATTTTATGCAAGCTGCAGTTTTATTCATTGTAAAAGAAAGAAAAGGAAATGTTTTTGATTTTCTTTTTATAAGGGTACCTCAACTGAGTTAAAATAAAAATTACTTGTTTTACAATTGCAAAAATTATATGTCCTCAAAACATTTAAATATCAATTTAAAAATATACAATATAATTAAGTAGACTAAAGAACTACAGATGAATTATTTTTTATCTAAAAAGACTTAACTCCATATTGAGATAAAAAAAAAAATAAAAAATAAAAAATAAATTAACATATTTTATTTATTTATTTTCAGAAGAAATTTTTTTTTTCAACAAAATTTACAGAAAACTTTAGTTAGACAGACAGCTTTAACTATAAATGAAAAATATCAATTTTTGAATGTTCCAATTGCTTTATGAAAAAAAATCAGCCAACAAAAGAAAGAAAAAAGTAAAAAAAATTACAAAAGCTTTTTTCTTTTTTTGTAAACTGCAATTATTTGTACTTTTTGGTTAATTTACTCTGGATAATCAGACTTTCACTGTAATTTTTAAATTTTTAGTTTTCACTAATTTAATCATAAAATTTATTAAGTTAAAAACTGAGTTTGCTACATAGAAAAATTTCGTTAAGAAGTTATTGGCATGCTTTAAGCATCGAAATTTCAAAGATCATCATCAGGAGTGCAGTATTTTGCTCACTCTAAACATGAACTTTTTTTTAAAGCGAGGAATTTATTATTACGAATTATTTTTGATTTGACTTCATATTGGTTAACATTGTTTGAATTTTATCAATTACCTTGTTATTGTGCCCCAAATTCCTGAGTCAGTCTCCGTATCATCCTGCAGAAGTTCTTCGTACTGCTTTCCGGGCTTTTTTGACACCTGAAACCAAAGTAAATCCCTTTCTGAACAACTATTTTACATAATTTCAATAAAATTGCTGCATAAAACTGTAAACTCATGAATAGTCATTTAAAAAGATAGGAGAAAATTACAACAATTATACTAATAAATACATGGATAAAACAGGTTGAGTACACAGATTGTTTCAGACAGTGATTTCATATTTGACGATACAATTTAGATTGGTTTCTGAATAAATTTTGTTGACTTTTAGTGTTGATTATCTGGAATATTTCAGCAGTAAAATACACAAGTGAGTTTTACAGATGTAAAATAATATTATATATCCGTCATTGTTCTTCATGTATATGCTAATGCATTCTTGGGTTAACTGCCACTTTAGATTAGATTTGTTTTATGATTTACTATAAATATATCATGGGGAACACAAAAAGTTCATCCCGTAAAATTTAAGTACCTTAAAGATTTCAGCAGCATTCACCCCATACCTTACCAATGCAACCATGGCCACATTAGGCAAACCAGACAGGCTTTAAAATTTAGATTAAGGGAACACGAGAGGTATGTTCATCATCACGAATTAACAGGATCATCAATTGCTGTACAGTGTTGGAACCTTGGGAGGGCATTAATTTAACTTCTTCAATGCCAAAAATATCCCCCCCCCCCTTGTCACATCTTAATTCCACGGAATCTTGTTTCATTCCTTGTCACCCTGCCTCTTCATTTTGTAAAGCAAAATTAATGAAGGGAGCTGAATATAACAAAAAGCGATAAAAAATTTATCTGTCACCTGATAACTAATTTTTCACCAAAATGCATTCCTTAGGGTATTTTAGGGTTGCTTTTTTTAATAATTAAGGAATTATTATGAATATTTCATAACATTCTGAAAATTACTTGATGCTACGATTGGTTTTTATAATTTTTCTTCCTTTTAAAGATGAATCTTGAAATGTTTAGATTATTTTGAAAAATGCTTCAAAAGAAATGTCTTGCTTTATGAATATGAATTTCTTTTATTTGTTTAAAATTTTCAATTTTTGAAAAAGTGGCCTCATGTTTTAAAAAATGTCCACTGCTAAAAATGCTTGAACTTTTGGGAATTTAGAATAAGGAAATTTTGCCTTAGACTAATATGGAAATTATACATTTTTTTTCAGCAATACAATGTAGTTACTAAGATGGTGTTCACGCAAAGTAAACAATAAAACTTTGCAATTCAAAATTTAATTTTTGTAAAACAGCCAAAAAAAGAAATATGTCGGCATTATATTACCGTTGGTACAACTGATGGAACCAGAATAATAGGTGTTATCAAGCAAAAGGTTAATGAGAGTGTATAAGAAAATTAGTTGCCAGGATATGAATTACAAGCAAGTTATAACCTTTTTTCTGTTTATATTAAAATGTTAATAATAAAAATTAATAATTTTCAAAAAAATTTCCTTTTTTTATTATTTTAAAGCACAAAACATGCTTAGAGAATGTAGGATAAGATATTATAACATATGTAGGACATGCATACTTTGGATAACTAATGTTACGCAAAGAATGAGATATTTATATTTATTTACACTTGTCTGCATTTGACAGATAAAAACTTGTCCTACCAAAGAGTAAATTAGGAGAATCATTTAAGCTTATTAATCATACACTTGATTTACTTGTTACAGTTACTACTAATTATTATTGATGTAAAGTTACTTTATTAAGTTACTTCATTAATGAATTTACAGCTTGAACTTTTTTAGCAACATAAGATATTATTCTTAAGCAAAGAAATTATGTATTAAAAATGCAGTTATAATAATAAATTTATACAAGAATATAGAAATCAGTAAATATATACCTTCACTTTTATAATGTGACTTCTAAAATCACTTATAAGCACTGCTACATTTGAAGAATCGGATAATGTTTCAGTATTTTCACTTCTAAAGAAATGTTATTTATATTAGAATATTTATATTAAGTACAATTTGGAACATATAGAATGAAAATGCTTGCCCTAAAGCTATTTATAATCATAAAAACAATTTAAAATATTTATATTAAGTATAAACAGTACCATTTGCAACATACAGAATGAAAATGTTTACTTTAAACTTATTTATAATAGTAAAAACAAAAATTTTAATTATCTTGTAAGACATAATAAGGCGATTTCCTTAAAATATATCAACAAGTATTTAAATAAAATCCGTTAGAAACCTTTTATTAAATATTTTTAATATACAAAAAAAACATTTATTTTACAGAAAGAAAAAAAAATTGTTTTTTCAACTAAATTTATTAAGGTTAAATTAAGTGTCCATCAAAAATTTTAAAAAATGTTTAAGAGGTAAAAAAAATTAACTAGTGGATGCGTGAATAAATTGAGTAAATGAGTCAAAAAAAGGTCATCTGCATGAAAAGTTATTATAAAATTACAAACTTTCCAAATCATTGATTTAAATAAGACAAGTTTTACATTATAGAAAAATTTAATAACATTGGTATTCAAATAATAAACAAATTAATAATTTAATAAAAATATAACAAACCCTGATATTTCATAAATTTCTGCTGATCTTCCTTCCCGTAATCTCAAATCCCATGCTCCAGGATTAGCTTTAAGTTGAAAGTAACCCTGTGGGGATAAATTGCACCATAATAATTATGATAAAATTCTTATTAAATAATATTCATCTAAATCTGAAAATGTCATAACTACAAGAACATTATTTTTCAGTTATTTATAAATTTTAAATTCATTAAGAAGGAACATGGATAAGTACAAATTATTTTGAAATTTATTAAAGTTTTAGTGCATAAATGAATAATAAAGTCTTTAAATTGTGGACTATGAATTAAGATGATTCCTCATCTATGGAACAAAGTGTTCTTTACATCAAAAGAATAAAGAAAAAAAATGTAAAATAATAATGTAAAATGTACAAATAAACAAGTTTGTGAAATAATAAGTCATTTTAGAACTATAAGCAAGTATTATCATCAACAAGGAGAAAAAGATGTCAGAAGTATATTCTGCGCATCTGTACAGATGAAGGTACTTATATTGGGTAAGGGTTAACATTATTTAAACCACTTGATTCTATTTATTTTTTTTTAAATTACTGATTTAAATCACCTGATTTTATTTAAATATTTTTGAAGTACAATTTATAAATATATTCTAATGGTTGTAATGTTTTAAAATGTAAATTTTATTGATATTGAAGGTTTTTTTCAAGAGAAATAATGAAATAGGTACATAAATTATTTGATGCTCAAAATGAGTAATAAAAAACAAAAAGAGACTAACTGTGGATAAAAATGGCATGAAACGTTTAAATTATAAATTTTTATAGGCTGCATGTAAAATTTTTTGTTAGATAAACATACTTCAATTGCCCTCATTTCTTTTTATATTTTCTTCTACAAAAGTCTACTTTTAAAACTTATTAAATATATAGTTTAATATACATTAAATATGTATATAAATAATGAGGAAAGAATTGCTCTGTCAGGAGTTATTAGTTCTTCATCATTTTATCATTAGTTCTAAATTTTTTATTACTTCTGTATTGTTTTTTTTAAAATTATTATATACATTTTTTATAGTTCCTGATAAAAATATTTTATTCCTCATTTAAAATGTAACTTTACAAATCCATGAGGGTCTTGAGTTTAATAAATTTTCAGTAATTAGTTTGTAATAATGAATCTTTGAATCCAATGTTTAATTTGTAAAAATTATCGAATATTAACAATTTTGAGTTGTTGACGCCAGAAGCGCCATCTATGAAAATTTAGTGTATCGTATGAATCAGATGAGCTCGGATGTGTGAACAGAGCGTTGCTCTAATTGAGTTATGTTAATAAATTGTTGTTTAATTATTACAGTCCGCTCATGAGATTTTGGAGAACTTTTATTTTTATTATATTGAGAATTTTGCAAAACTGAGCTATCGTCGGACCCACGAGTTATAAATACTTTCTTAATTATACTATTCTCTATTATGGTTCTTTAATTATACTATTGTTTTTGAATAATATCAAGCGTTACTAATATATTTTAACACAATTTTGACTGGTAAATCTAAAACATTAAAAAAAAAACTGTTTCAAATTTTAAAAATAATCATAACTTTTACTAACCCTGGTACCAAAATGAATTTCATCTGGTCTATTTGAAGATTACAGTATTTAACTCTCTAGCCCAAAAGAAAATCTTATTTTTCTTTGATACTTTCTATTCTTTACCTCATGCAATAAAGAAAAATGTTGGAAGGGAAGTAATTATGCAATTTAGCCAGTGTAGTTTAACACCTTAAGGGTTAAAATGTTCTACCAGATTACTAGTTCTATTTACTGTGTAATTACAACAAAACACAAAGGAAAGAAGATTTGAAACTAAAAAACTATGAGGTTAACTAAATCATTCTTACTATATTCAAAATATCATACGTTTTGCTAAAATAAAAATAACACTTAGGTATAATGCATTTTCAATAAAATAAGGAAGGGTTAGTTAAGGTTCTTCAAAATAAAAGCGCACATTCCTCTATAACGGCTAAAGAAATAGATGACTTAAGAATGTTAGACATCAATCTGTGATTATAATATTCATTTCTCACAATGTCTTAAGGTGTGCAAATTCATACCAGCTTTAACATGTAGTTTATCAGTGGTCTGTCCAGGCTGAATTTACTACAGTTTAGCGGTACCTTCACAAATTCAACTTTAGGAAAAACGGCAGCTTCACAAAATACTTTTTCTCAAAATTTTATTTTTGTATCCCTTGAGAAACGATAAATCTATATTTTCGTGCAGAGTTTTAATACAATTTTTAATTTTTCACAAGTTATGTCTAAATTTTCACAAAATAAGTACCTCTCAGAAGATCTTAGACAGACCCCTGTTTATAATCTTGAGTGATTTGTAAATTTGAATCATGACAGTAGCATTAAAAATGCAAAATGTTATTTTTTAATTAGGAACTGCTTTATTCCAGAAGATACCTGTTTTTAATTATTTCATTTATAATTTTATATTTTAATTAATTTTACATTTTAATTTTTATTAATTTCTCACAATTTAGATTTTGAAACGTGCCCTTACTCCCTTCTGCCTTAACAAATGTAAGGCAATGAATTTACATAGTACAAATTTACAGCAGGCTAAAAAAAATAAAAATAAAAAAACAATTGTGAAATTATGATTACTGTGTCTTGACACTGATGACAATGTTTCTGATAATACTGAAATATTTGTCTCTTAACTACAATATTTGTGCTTAACTACAATATTAGTGCTTTCATACTATGTATTTTGCTTCATTAATATAACAAATAATTCATTTGACAAACCAAATTAGCCATGACTATTGTATCCACTACTTCAGGCTTTTTCTTTGTGCCCAATGTGAACTGTAAACCCCTGGGTGGATTTCCTGAAGATTGTTCAAAACAATGCCCTAAAATAAATTATTAAATAAAATCATTCTAGCATTGGTCAATAATTTATAATCTAAAGAATGACAACTTCTAAGTAAAAAGGAACATTAAAATTTTTATTATCATTCTATATTTATTCTAATCATACATAATTTCAATGCATCTAATTCACAGGGTGCGTAGCCAAATCTTTCAACAAAAAATAAGCAGCTTTTAAGCACTCAAAAAATATTTTTAAGCATTATGTACATTGACAAAATGTAAAATAATTTTCAAAGACTTTACATGATCGTGATAGAGCTAGTTTCTGACCAAGAACTCTTTTCTTGATTATATTAGCCATTATAAAATAATCAAGAAATTTTTCGGTTCAATTTCAGAGGGTGGAAATGAAGCCTGAAATCGAGAGTATCTTGCAAAATGTGCATGAGAGTGTAAAAATCTCACCGAACCCAGCTAAGTAGACGCACATGCAGGCTTGCATGTATTTCATCAAACATGTAAAATGATTGGCACTTTCATACGCTACCAACCGAGGGTACACCGAAATAGATTGTTGTCGAATGAATTGCAAAAACGTTCAATAGGACAATGCGAAAAGCAAATTTTTACATAATACATGGCAAAAGCCGACAATACCTTTTTGAAAATCTTATTTTCGAAAAGGCACTTTTAAAACACCAAGCACACACACACAAAAACATTAAGCACTTTTTAAAAACACACAATGAAGAAAGCACCTTTAAGGGCTTTTAAAAAAATGAAAATCGAAAATAAGCACCTTTAAGCACTTTTTAAAAAAATTTTTCACCATGATTCAAGCTTAAATAAAAATTTTCATATTCTATTTTTTAATTTGAGTTTTCTGTTCTTTGACACTTTGTATGAGTATTTTAAAAGTCTTACCTTCAATAAGAAGATGTTCTAATTCAAAATCAGCATGAACATTGCTTTCAACCTAAAAATATGTACCATAAATATATGATTTGAATTATTATGTTAACATCTCATGCACCAATAAAATTTTACAGTCAAGTTCTCACAAGTAGAGTAATATATAAATCTTGTATAAATAGAACACTATTAAACTATTCATTGAAAAGCAGAAATTCATTTAAATAATTTTTAAAATAAAGTTAAAAAATATTAACATAACAGACTTGATGTAAGAAAATAATCAAAGAAACATTCCCAAGGTCAATTGTAAGAAGGAGCAATAAAAATAAATCATCTTTATTGCAATTAATGTAAGATTATTTTAAGCAAACAATGGTTTGATGAAACTAAATATTTACACCAGTAAGAGAGAACAAAGAAAAGATAATTTGTAAGTCAAAATATTAAAAGATTCTGGATTTTAAATAAAAATATTATGAAGCATGTTTACTAAGAGAGTTAATTTTAAAATCTTCAATACGGTTATAAAAAACAGGTTTTGTTCAACATGCAATTGATTTTGGAATTGATGTAATATAAGAATATATAAGAAAGTTAAAAGTTAAGAAACTGAAGTTCAACTAACACAATTCATGACTGATTGACGAAGTTATAGTGAGGTATTTTACTTTTGAAGATAGAAAGATCATTGAAAAAAATATGGGGTAATTTATAATTCGCTACACGGTTTGAGAAGGCTATAGCAAAAAAACTAAGGTGACTACAGTAAACGTTTCATTAAATATAGAAATAATTCGAATTTTATTCACAACTCTTGCCGTGTGAAACCTTTGTCACTAGGCCTACATCAGCACGATCGTCCAGTTCCTGCCAGATCAATGGGCTTGACAGCATTAGTTCTGATTCACACAATATAACTGAACCACGTGACGAAAGAAAATGAAATAAGAAAGAAAAAATCCCACAAGGTGTCAATTTTGTTAATTGAACCATATTGAATATAGTCTGATAGGAATATCATATTTATGTATGCTATGATGAAGACAGGGCTAAAAACTGTAAATCATGAATAACTGATTAATAACATGCACATGAAAAGAATTGAGTGATGGACATATATTTGTCTAAACAAACTATGGCAAAAAGACCTAGCCAACAGACTTATGAGCAAGGGGTCTTAAGACTAACAGAGTAGAACCTCGTGAGACTATTGATAGACATTGAAAATGATAAAAGTAGGTCAAAAATTAAAATTTATAAGACTCTTATTCTACCTGTATTGCTCTATACAAGTGAAACATGGACACTAAACGCAGACACTCAGCGTATTCTTGGGGTTTTTGAAAGGAAAATCCTTAGAAATATTTTTGGCCCAGTACAGGAAAGGGGCTGCTGGCGAATCAGATACAACTTTAAATTATATAGACTCTATGGACAGCCACAGATAGTGCAGGTCATCCGAAGCAATAGATTAAGATGGCGTGGCCATATCTGCAGAGGTCCAGAAAACAATGCAGTATGAATCGCCACCTTTAAAAATCCTTCTGGATCTTGGGCCAGAGGAAGACCTCCAACAAGATGGCTGGAAGACACTACTAAAGATCTCAAAGTAATAAAGATTAACAACTGGAAAAAAGTCGCCATGGATAGGAGGCGTTGGAGGCTACGCGTGGTTGAGGCAGCCAAGGTCTGTAAGGGGCTGTCGTGCTGAAGAAGGTCAACATAAAATGATAAAAATTTACGTAAAATTGTATGAATAATAAGTTAATAATAATGAATAGGTTAAAATATTCATAATAAGTATGAAAAAATTATGTTCAAAAAAATATCTTCTCACTGCAAAAATATTTACGATGCAAAAGGAAGATTGACAAGCATGTTTTTTAAAATATTTGGAAATTTTGGTTTAAACACATTTTTTTCTTCTCAATGCAAACAAACAACTTTCGACATTATTAGCAGATTGCTGTTCATTTTTTACAAGTTTGCGTGATTACAGAAAGTTCCTCATCGTTTCAAACGCTTCGATGCACAAATGTTAGTCTTGATCGCAGTTCTATTGTGCTGCCTTCATTGAAGTTACTTCGCGCTTCTTCAGCCTCTGCAATCATTTTTCGAACCAACAGCATTACCAGTTTCAAAATTTTTTTTAATTTAATGCAAAAATATAAAACATGATATGCAAAGCATTTTTCTAAAAAGGAACAAATCATCATTTTCTTCTTCATCATAAGCATCAGGAGTTACTTTCTTCCTTCTCAATATGAAATGAATTTATTTATTATTATTTTTTAATATCAAAGGAATTCCCAAAAGATAGACATGGGAATAGGCTAGTTTAAAAAACGACCTAAACAACCATTTTTGTTGTTGTTGACGTATGCCTGTCAAGGCAGAGGGGTGCGATTGTTCTTGTTTTCCAGGGACGCCATCTATGGCCAAGAATTCGACTTCTGCCACACCCGTTTATAGGGCGGACCCATTCATACATTCATTCATTCATCCACAGATCATAATTTTGACCTGAATCAGAGAACGATCAATCTCCTATCCAGTATTCTCGGAGGTATTGATTTGTTATGGGAACATTGAGGACTTTGCGACTCGGCAGATCAAACGTGCATCAGTCACCACTTACTACACAGGAAGTCTTCGGCCGGCGGGGTTCAAACCCACGAACTCTCAGACATGGGCCCAGCGCCCTACCGACCAGGCTATCCTGGCCCGCCCAAGTTTGTTACTATTAGATTAGCATTATTGATGAGCCATTGAAACAAGATGATCACGAACAGGAAAACGAGAGATGCGGGTACACTGGATTGATTGAAAAAAGAGTTTGAATAACTGTTAACATAAATTATCAACATTTCAGATATTCAATGAATATAAAATTAAGATGGCATAACATATTAGTTGAGTTGTTTATCACTTAAAAAAGAGAGCTTAATACATATGCAATTTTTAAAAATATTATGTTTAACATAACAATATAATATAACAACATAATATAACACCATAAAATATTATAACAATATTTAATATAACATTTTACGGATATATTCAATGTTTTAACATTTAAATCAACATTATTCACTGTTTAAATCTGAAGAGCCTGAAAAATAAACTTTACTTGTTCCAAATGGATGTTGTCTAAATCATAAGGAGATTTCACTACTTCCACTAACCAATTTTCAGGAGTTATCATTCCAAGGGTAAAGAGTGGGGTCGACGGTAAGCCAGAAAATTTGGCAAACGGAGCAAGACCAAAGTTGCCATCAGATCCAAACACTGGCTCCTCATTTAACACAAAACGGTAAAAGCTGCAAGTTAGAAAAATTGATGAAATAAATTTGCAATAATATCAGCATAAATTAATTTCGTATATAATACAATTCAATACAGCATGCTGTTCTTATTTGTATGTTTCCTAAAATACACATAGCGCATCTAAAAAAAGTTCAGAGATTCACCATGAATTAAAAATACAAGCAGGAGAAATTAAGTAAGAGTAAGGAATTCAGATTAGAGTTGGAATGGAAACACATACAAGATGGAGTCAAATTGAAATGGGGTGACGGAAATTTTGTCCCATGTTGAATAAAATGTACCATGTTCAATAAAATGTACAGGTGTACAAATTTATGATCAACAAAATAAACAACCATGTTACCGTCTTTCAATCAGTGCACCATATTTTCTGATACTCTCAGAATAGGGCAAATTTTATACAATTTAAATGAATTCAAAATGTTAAATAATTGACATTTTTCACATGGATGAGCAATGGTGCATATTTATGGAAGACTGATAGGAAAATCAGGTATATTGTATTAAATTCTGAAATAATTTACTACTTTTTCTAAATATTTAGAAGTGAAAAAAAAAATTTTTTTTAAAATAAAATACAACAAAATTAAAATTATTCACTCAGCATACGTAAAGCACAGGGTGGCCACTCAAATCAGATTTCAAATTTCCCTGATTTTTCCAGGTTTTCCAGATAAAAATCTTAAAATTTCCAGGTTTTCGTTTCCTTTTTCTTATAAAGTGTAGGATGTGTACAAGAAAAGTGTCTGTATTATAGAGTATTTTATTCAAAATGTTATTTTTTTAACATATCATTTTGAAAAAAAAAAATTTTTTTCGACAATTTGGCAAGACTTTTTATTTATTTTTTAATATTTTGGTACAAAATTTTGAATCAAAAATCATATATTGACCAACAAAAGAGCAAAATTAGATATTAATATATAATTGGTTCTTAAAAAAATCTTCTTTTAAAATTAAAATATGTTATAAAAGGTTAAAATGGAATAGAAAAAATTAGCATTAATGTAACAATTGTAATGATTTGTAGACAAACATTGCTTTGAGCGATTGTAAAAAAAATGTGTGATTGGTTGGCTTGCTGAAAAAAATAATTCACAGATTTCTTTGAATGGGAATAGAAAAGACTTCAGAAAAAGAGTGCAATGTAAAATGTATTCTTATTAAATTATAACCAACTAATTTTTGTAGAATTTTACAATGTTAAAAATATGAAAACATTTCGTCAAAATAGAAAGAAAAAAAATTACCACCAAAGCATCGGAACAAACTTGAGTCATAAATGGATTCAGCCCAAGGNAGCCCAAGGACAAAATTTAAAAACAGAAGCTAATATCCTAATCCCTTTTTCCACCTTCACCAAAATCTTTCTAAATTGCACAGTCCCTCAACCGTCAAAGGTTTCTACATTCATTTAGCAATCGTGGGAGAATTTTGGCATTCTAGTTTAACCGAGCTGTAATGGAGCGAATTTTCATGCAAGCGAAGTATCGCTGAGTCGATGATATTTCAACTGTTTGGCGATACATTTCCGTTAAAAAAGTGGGTATAATGGATGAAATAATTTAAATTAAAAAAATTAGTAAATAATTTAAAATAGAGAAATTAAAAAAATTATCCAAGAAAAAATTTCCAGCTTTTCTTTAAAATTCCCTGATTTTTCCAGGTTTTTATCCAAATCTCCCTGATATTTCCAGGTTTTTTCCAGTATAAAAAAAATTCCCTCATAATTCCAGGTTTTCAAGGTTTTTCAGGTGGGTGGCCACCCTGAAAGCATGAGAAATATGTGAAAACACCTGTTGCCAAGAGAAGTTTTTTTTTTCAAATAAAAGAATTTGCAATTAATTAAAAAAAACATGTGTCAACAAGAATCTAGTGGGTATTAACGTAAATATAAAATTGTAAAACAATAAAAAGTGTAAACAAAAGATTTTTTCTGTTATGTTAAAAAATTTATCTTCCATGCAAAGTTTTTTTTAGAACATCCCAGGGGTAGTATTTTTATTAATAAAACGATGTAACATTTTAAAAGTAGTCATGAATAATGTATCATCCTTTTACCAACCTGCGAGTAGACTTGATCACACAAAATGCAATTTCAGATCACTGTATCACTTCAATGAAAGATAATTAAAATAAAGCAATGTTTAAATAAGAAAAAATTCGAACAGATTCAAATAATTTAACATAAGATACAAACTTAACAAAGTTAAAAACACACAATTTCTATTTTTGACAACAAATGGGAATGATATAGTATTTTACGAGCAATGTTTTCATTATACATTGTTTTCGTTCATAAAGAAAAGCTTCATCTCTTATTTTAGCTCATTGTAAAAGCATTACACAATGTTAATTACACAAAAAATTGAGAATAAAACAAAATTCAAACTTTTGAATGCCAGACTATTTGTTCAATGGGCTATACTAAGGGTGAAAAAATGAATAAATGTTAGTCTATAAAACAAGGAGAAAAAATAATAACATTTACTTTTTTAGTTTTCAGCAATTTTAATTTTTAATTTAAATGATCTTATATTAAGTTATAAATTAAAACTAAGTTTAAATTTGAGACAAAAAAAACTTTTTAAAACTAAATTATGCAAATTCATGCATAAGAATTAAGCAAAATTTACCTTTGTAAAGGCATGGCAGAATGCTTATCAACACAGTTTAAGAAAATAGTGAAATGCGCGTTAATAACTCTTTGTAGCACCATAAGTATCGAAGACAATTTTGCCGCCCCCTTAGAAACAGGGTCAACAATAACCACAACTTCATGAGCAGGCTCCTCAGTATCAGCAGCAGGTATTTTTACCACACTAAAAAATAGTAAAAAAATCTCAATAATTACATATTTCATAGTTAAAAGGACTAAGGTTCAGATTTTGATGACATTCATATTTTACAACAATTTTTTTTTCTTTCAGAGCATTGTTATTCTTCATTTTTTTTAATATTGAGACTTTTTTTTTTAGTATATTTTAAGTTTCAGGAATTTCCTTTTTTCAATTTTTTAGTATTTCTTTGGCTTTGGGCTTTTTATTACAATTTTGTTTTGAGTCATTTTCAGAACTCTGGCTTCCAAATAATGAAGAAAATCTCTAGTATATTAATAGGTGAAGTATAAACTCTTCGAATAAAAATAAAATTGTTTTTTAATAATACCATCTGTTAAATCCGATAAAATTATAAGCCACTAGATGGTATCTTAGTTATGGAAATGTAATTCCAAGCCACTAGATTGTATCTTAATTATGAAAATGTAATTACAAGCCACTAGATATCTTAATAATGAAAATGTAATTCCAAGCCACTAGATTGTATCTTAAATAAGAAAATGTAATTCCAAGCCACTAGATTGTATCTTAATTGTGAAAATGTAATTCCAAGCCACTAGATGGTATCTTAATTATGAAAATGTAATTCCAAACCACTAGATTGTATCTTAATTACGAAAATGTAATTTCGAGCCACTAGATGGCATTTTATAATGTGAATATAATAGATTGTTTTAAGAATTCAATGAAGGCATATGTATGCTTAATGTATTAAAAAAAACTTTGTTATTGTTTTAATCAAGAGCTCATCTTTGAATTTTACACCATCTTTTTCATAGCAATCACTTTAGAAGACATTTATTTAAATACTTTTCCCTAAATAATAAAGCATTTCTTGCATTTTTAAGAGAATTTTTTAAGGGCATTTAAAGGGATTTTTTAGGTCATTAAAATGTGGGCTCTTTTAATGACTAAAAATGACCGGGCTCAAACTCTAAATATATATGAAATGCTAACAATAAGCAAGATGCAGTTCATATACAGCAATATCACATAAGGAGAGAAGTTGTAGCTTCTGATAATGTTCAGCTTCTAATTATGAATTTATGCATGCAAGAAGTTTCTTCAATAATAAAAAAGAATGCATGCAAATACAAGTATCACATTTGTTTTCAGTAAAAGTATTAAAAACTGGAACCAATATTTCCAAACTTCTTTTTTCTGACTGAAATGGGAAAAACTAGAGAAAGAAAGAAGAAATTGTATGAAATTTTACAACTTATTCAAACATTAGTAAAACTGGTTAAAAATTAATGCATTCCATTTTCAACTAAAATTCTCTTTTAGTGTTTCTTATTAGAATATTTTATATGGATCACTTTATCATAAAAATGCATCATAAAAATATACAGTAGAATTTCGATCGATCGTCATTAAAGAAACCATTCATTACGAATGAAAGATGCAGAAAAATTATGAATGCGGGTCAAATATCAAATAGTAACGGGGAAATGTATGAAGAAGAAATAGATTTGAAAAATAAATATATTTATAATTAGTCTAAAATATTTTAATTAAAAAAAATTATGTACTTAATGCAATCGTTTCTATTATGCAAAAGAATGATTAATAGAACACATTTACTTATACTTTAAAATGTTTAAAAATTTTGGTTTGAACACATTCTTTTCTTCTCAGTGCAGACAATAAATTTTCAACATTTATAACAAATTGATGCTCATTTCCTGTAAGTTTATATGAATACAGAAAGCTTCCTATTGTTTCAAAGGCTCTGCAAATGTTTTCAATAGTTTTGGCCAAGTTCGCTTTCTCCATCGTTATCACGTTGCACTTATTCACCTTCTGCAACCATTTCCTAACCCAGTAACATTTTCCTTATTTGAAGTATAATGTTTAAATGTAATGTTTGAGGTATTTTCCCAAAATCCTCATTTTCTTATTCATCATTAGCAACAGGAATTAGTATTTTTCATCTCAAAACGAAAAATTTATATATATATTTTAAATTCAATAGAATAACTGAATGATAGAAGTGGGAATCTTCTTGCTTCAAAATTGATCTAAATGGGTATTTTAACATTATAAGAACAGTATTTGTAAAGGGATCATTCAAACAAAAAAATATATAGAGGAAAATGAAATATGCGGGAATAACAGATCAAGGTTCGACTACATATCCTTTTGCCTGGAAAACTATTAAAAAAATGTAATCAAATCTTAAGCTTGACTGCTTAATTGATATTTTCTTTTTGGGATAAAACTAGAGAACAGAAAATTTTTTCTTTTTTGAATATTATTACAGCTTATTTCACCTTTTTAACTTATGCTTCAATATTTAACAATTTATAGTTAAATATTATGCAAAAACAGAACTTACCAAACTAATTTTACATTAAAGTGATTGATATAAAGAGATTCACTAAGTGCCAAAACAACTTAAGCAAATTCAAAAATAATAGAAGTTTCGGCAGCACCAAGCAACATGGACTCAGTAGCTCAAAGCCCAATGTAATACAGGGTTCCCACTCTATGATGAGATTGAAATTCAAGGACTTTCCAGGACTTTTCAAGGACCTCAACAAAATATTCAAGGACCTTAATCTAAGACCAATTTTAAAAATTATTTTCTTCTATTTTACTAGAAGCAACAATGCTTGTTGTGGCAATAATTAATTTCAAATATAATACCTAAATGCTTTGCCTATATAGAGAGAAGAGAGTATATGTATTATGGACTAAAATTTATATTTTTTTAAAAACAACCCTACTGGTTTTACATATTAATTCACAAAATCATTTTCAGCACAATCTATAACTAATGGTAATGAGGTGTTAATNATTAAGGATAAATTATAAGAGTTGGCACCTCTGCAAAAACATTGATTATTTTGTGATAAAGTTAAAAGTAAATATAATTTAGATGAACTTACCTATTCTTTCTAGATTTTTCCACACCTTTTTCTAATTCTGATACTAGTTTGTCACTATACAAGCTTTTAGAATACACTTCTAACAAATGAAAATCTTCTTGAATGAATTCTTCATCCTCATCAAATGGACCAACAATCTAAAATTTAAACATTACATATTTGTTTAAGAAAAATTATGCCGAAAAATATGCATGCAATTCAAGGCAATAGTTTAGAATCAATTATGTGTAGCAGGTTGTTCAGAGACAGAATTTTCTCACTAATAATTTAAATTTCATAATAATATAAATTTAAAGCTTAATCTCAATAAATAATTAGGTTTAAAAATACTCATACACTTCTTTAGCAAAACAGAATTCTCTCACACTAAAATAAAATTTAACAGACTAATAGTCAAAATTGAATTCCTATACAGAATTAAACATATCAACAATCTAAATTTTGAACTTAAAATCCTTAACCAAAAATTTAAACTCAGTACTGTGCTCTGAATACAGGCTTTATGAAAAAAGAATTTCCTCTCACTTCGATTAACAATTTTAGGTATCAAAACTGCTACAACAGATATATACTTAGAATTTATAATAACAATTTGATACTACAGTAGGGAACCGATTATCCGGAACGATCGGGATCATCGCTATTCTAGATAACTGATTTTTCCGGTTTTCTGAATCGCTACAAAAAGCCGTTTTTTTATTGTTAAATCCAACTAAAAAAAACAAATATTCGGAAATAATTTTGAGAAGAAGGAAAAAGGATGAAGTAATACACTAATGATTATTTCCAAAATGATGGTAAGGTAAACATCTTTCAAAAAAGAAAGAAAAATCCTAAAATCTTTGAGGAAAAAAAAAAAATTTAAAAAATGGCGGGAAAATTTATCGAATTTCGTTCCAGTTTTCTGATTTTCGGATAACGGGTTCTGTACTGTACTACAACAATCCTGATGAAACTTTTTACTAATGATACTTTTTTGCCATAAAAAATGTACTTATAATTCATGAAAAGGCAATGTTTGAAAAATAAAGAAGGAAAAAATTTTGTATAAGACCTAGGCATAAGGTCAAAATTTTTATGTAACAGGATTTTTTTAGAGAGTCATTTAATGTGAAGTGGAATAACTGTTTCAAGTTCTTATGCAATCATTATTATGCAATCATTCATATGCAGATCATTATTATTTTTATTTTAAATAAACAATTTTTTCAGATCATTTTGCTACAGGAAAAGCAAAATATTTCTCATCTTCATGAAATTTCTTACAGATTATCATTATTTTTTACATTAACGAAAAATATTGAAATATCTCAGAGAAATAAATTCAATATTTAGGGAATTATACAAACTAAAATTACACTACATTCCTCATCAAATATAATAAAATAGACTGTTTATTAAGTTAGGAATTTATATTATTACATAATTTAATATTTATATTTAGTAGTGATGGGCAATAACAGGTATTTTCAAATAACAGGTTCCAGCTGTTACCATACAAAATAATACCTGTTCCAAAATAACAGGTCTAAGGAAAAAAATTTCCAACTTTTTTACATTTGAAAGATAATTTAATTGTTGTTNTATATTATCACATAATTTAATATTTATATTTAGCACTTTTACAAACATATCCCAGCTGTTGGGTTTCAGGAAAAAGCCAATAAAAATAATCGATCACAATTTTTTTGGAGCTATAATATTTTGGCCCACCCAACAAACAACCTTAAATTATCCTTACATAGGTTAGTTAATGAATTTATTTAATCACTATGAAATTGCTGTTATTTAAAAACCATCTTTCAAAATGGAATAATGGTTATAAATCACAACTTATCACATGTGTCATAGTTGAAGGTGTTTCCTTACATCTCAAGAATTCAGCATGCGAATTGAAAAATGTTTGCACACAATTATAAAATTCATTTATCCCAGAAAAATATGATGCACAAAATCATTTTTTATTTACTTATTCACTTATTTAGTTATAGCCAAAAAACTCTTAAAATGAAAGGTATGAAAATTTTTACATCATTTTAAAAATTTTAATTTTAAATGCAGGGATGAGAGTAGTCAGAAAGTAAAAGAGAGGAAATCCAAGAATTAATATACAATATATATATATATACATACAAAAATTTGACAAAAAGTGTGATTTTTAAACTTGTAAACCATGTGATTATAAATCCCGATGATTAATTTTAAAATTATGAATATATGATCATGAATCACATGCATGATTTTAAATTGAGAGAATATGAATCCCGATATGAGGCTTTTAAATCACGTGAATATGAAACTCTATATCGAATTTAAAAAATGCAACAATACATATCATGATAGGTGTAATTTTTAAACCACATAAATTTTTTCTGCGCAAATTAGCGGGAAAAATCTGAAGGGAAAAAAGCGGAAATCCACGGAAGAATCACATCCCTGTAAAGGGCAAAATACAAAATTTATGAGCAATCTGTCAAATAGTTTCTGAGTAAACAAATTGTCCAAAAGTTGCACACTTAAAATTTGATCATTACTCCAAAAGTTATGCAGAGTGTTCCATTTACTTTGCACATTTTACATGAACATTAGGTAACCTTATGTAAAGACAATAATACGTACATGAACATAATGTAACAGAAGTAATTAATTAAAGAATTAAAAAGTAATTAAAATAACTTTTGTTTTAAACCATACATACTCTTCCATTAATAACAACAGCTCTCTGTCCAGGCAAGAGTTTCAATACGGATTTACAGAAAGTTTTATGCAGAGCAATATGTTTATCTTGAAAAGTATCCATGTTTTTCAAAAATGATTCAACATCCATATTCTGTATTAAATATGAAAAGAATATACAATACATAACTGAATATATTCAAGATAAATAGAAACTGTTTTATTGTAACCAAAATATTTTTTTACTTACAGATATTGAAAAATCTGTGATTGATTTTTCCCCATCAATGATTTGCTGAGCATTTCCAGTTTTAAATAGTTTTGTGATAAAAAGCTTGGAAGTATGCAAATCTAAAGTTTCTAAAGCAACATCGACAGCTTTTCTAAAATTTCCATTCACATTTTCATCCTTTGGGTTATGAATCAGACCAATACGCATGTGAGGAGTAGCTTTCTAAAACAGAATAACAATATGAAATTTTAAAAAACATAAAACACTTTTAGGGGAATACTAAATACTTACAAATGATTATTTATTTAGAATTACTAAAAATTTATGTTAATCATAAAAACTAAACCAAGGCAGGAATAATAAGTAACAATTTTAAAAAATATGATTTTTTTTTATCGGAAAAAGTATAGGACAACGAAAAATGTACTATTTCAGGCACATTTTTTAATATAATCATTTAATAATTAAAAATCAACCTTAATTAATAATTTACCTCAAACATTAATTTTATGAACAAAATTACAAAGATTCTAATAATAGATTACTAATATCAAATAACAAATTTTGTTTTTTTCATTTACTTGCCTGGATTAAAATATGTACTTGAAAATAATACAATTAAAACCCTCTTAAAAGCTTTTTTTTTTTGGCAATTTTTAACTTTTTCTGGTCAGTATCTATCATGGCTGGATCAGCTTCTATTTCTTTCATGCATTTTTGTTCTATTTCAGTTATAAGACATCAGTGGCCTTCATCAATTACTGACTTGGTGCTCTTTCTTTATCAGGTTAGAAAAAAGCTTATCCGATTTTCCTTGTGGTATCTTCTATTTTACTTATGGTTTACTTTTCTCTGCATTCCAAAGTCTTTTAGGTTTTGTATTTAGCATGTGCATCTTTATAAAATTTACAAAAGGATGCAAACATCTGTAATCTTTCTTTTTAAGGCATCTTTTATAATTCCTATGCCTTTGATGGTGACCAGGATCATTCTTAATTTTCTAGTGTGGCAATTCTTTTATTATACTTCATTCCACCTTAAATTGGCACTGGAGAGAAGGGTAGGCAGACCAGATTACAGCCGTTGTCATGGAAACTGGGTTACTTTTTAAGTCGGTTGGGGGATGAGGTAGCAAAAAAAGGAGAGAAAGTGACCAGTATTGGCGTTAAAGAAAACAAAATGCGATTTTTTTTTTTTTTTTTAAACCAAGAATCTTACTAAAATTTTGAACAGAATACAGAAAAGAACACGATTNACTAGTTGTAAGCTGATTTCTTAATTAGTATTTAAAAAGCAGATTTTCTTATTATGATTTTTTAACTAAACGAAACTAATTTTAACAGAAAAAAAATATATATTTAAAAAGATTTTTTTTTGCTGAAATCTAAGTAAAAAAAAGAAATGCATAGATGCGCATAAATACTTTGTTTTAAATATTTATTTTTATATGCTACTTATTTATTGTAGATTAATGTACATTTAATGTTAATTTGCCCCACATTGGCATTTTGTGGGGAAAGGAAAAGTCAATATAAGCAGGAATTATTGATCATGAAAAATATGGTACCTATGCAAATATTTACTGTTCCTTTTTTTTTTTTTTTTTAAATAAAAAATTCAAATTTTTTTCAGAAAAATTTTTTTTTTTTTACTATAAAAGTAATTTTTTTCTGATATATATTTGCCTGCTGAAATATATTTAAGCAAACTAAAGATTAATAACTTACAAAAGAAAAAAAGCTATTGATTAATAAGTAACAAAATAATACAAACTAACAAAAAAACATGCTAACGTTTAGTAATTAACAAAAAAAAAAATCTAACAAGGAATTACAACAAAAAATTAACAATTGATGCAACAAAAAAAATTTATAACTATAAAAAACGAGCTAACAATAAACAACTGGTAAAAAACAACAAATTGTAGATTAACATTGTAAAATTAATTGATTAACAGTTAATAACTAATTAAAAACAAAACAAAAGAACAATTAAGCGATGCGAGTGAATGAAAGCGAAATAAGAACTACACAAGAGATAGGACACTTAAGCAAAGGTAAAGATAATGGAAAGAGCTGGCTGACCAGCGTAAAAACATAGCCAACGTGGCAATATCCTTGGCCTTGAAAACTAATTCAGCGCCAAACTAAAACACCTCCTTCTCCTTTGTACATTTGCTTTACTGAGAAGGTATTTATAAGCTAAATACATTTAGGCATGAAAAACTTTTAATGCATGTTTCAAGATAAACTTTTTTTATCATGCAACATTTATTTATATTTGTACGCACAATTAAACTGCAATTAATTGCAAAATAGAGAAGAACTACTTTTCAAAGGCGGAGTATTACTTTCCCTACCCTTCCCTGCAGTGCCAACTTAAGGTGAAACGTAGTATAGCAAATTCTTTCAGCAGAAGCAATTCCTTCATTAGGTCTTCAAGAAAAATGTAAGACAGGCTTTGATAAGAATAGATAGAAGGGAAAGATCTTGAACACAGGGTTCATGCAGAGATAAGAAAAAATTCAAGGAGCCTAAAATTTTAACGACTATAAAATTATAATATGATAATTTTTACGATTTGTCAATAATTTTGTTGGTAGTTATTAATACAGAACTTTACATGTTTTTTTTAAAAATCTCTATGTTATAATACGATATTATTTCATCCGACAAACTTCAAATTGAGAACTTTCACTTTTCTTCACATATTTTTGACGAATTAAGGTGGCTTTATTGATCACATTTGGCTAATTAGTGAAACAAAGTTCTTCCAGGATTTTAAAAATCTTAATTGTTAAAATACTATATTGTTTTGAGCGGGTAATTTCAAATTACGCGTTTAAATAATCCCTTTTTGATGAACTCCATTTACTGCGACCTTGTCGCTAGGATTTTTAAGTTATTGTTACGGATTTCCACATAGTTCCTAAAATTTCGATTTCCTTTTGATATAATACTGTTACAATCCGCGAATTTTGAACTACCTATTTGAATTCTTACTTTATAACACGCTTTGCGACAATTCCATCTCAAATCTTCACATTTTTCTAAGCAGGTGAGTTGTGCACATTTTGAAACCGAGTGTATGATATTTTGTTCTTAATATTTATTTTACGAAAAGACAAGGGAAAAAAATTATATTTGATGACATGTGGCAGCAGTCATCGCAAAACTCTGGATTTCGCTTTCACGACATTCAAATTTTTTGCTCACATAACAGTGGGTACCAGATAGAAATAATTTTTAAAAAAGTCAGGTGAAAATCATTCCTATCATCATCAGCATTGGCACGACAGCCCTTTGTGAGCCTGAGCCTTCCTCAGAAGCTTTTTCCATTCTGCTTTTCTTCCAGCAATTGATTTCCAGTTCTTTACTTTTAGGATGGCAAAATGTCATCCCTATATTAGTTACAAAATTATTATATATTAGTTACTATATTACTCATCCCTATATTAGTTACAAAAAACTTAGTATCGAAGTAATCTAAGAAGTTTCCAAGGGATATTTTATAAAATCTATGTAGTTCCAAGTACTACTTAAAGACTTTTTTTTTTATTTCCAAGGAGTTTTTAACGAGTATACAGACTCTGAGCACACCTGTGATTATCTTTTAATTTAAAACTTTTGTTTGAAAAATAATTGGTGGATAGCCACGAATTGCTGGAGTAGCTAACTAGTTTATCACCATTCAAAAAATCCCTCTATGTAGAGATTCCACTCTTCTATAACTTTATCAACAAAATCTTCAATTATTACTTGAGACAAAATTATTTGAAAGATATCTAATGAAAGCTATCTCTAGATTTCACAGATTTATTACACATCATGAAATGTAAAATCTGCATCTTTTGCACAATAACATAGCTGAGTAGAAATAGAATTTATAAGACTATTTTGGTAATTTGGGACAATATAGGATATTTTTTAAGATTTTAAAATATATAAAGGAAATATAGGATTTATAGGAGGAATTTGCGTCCTGCCTAGGGAAACAGGATGAAGTACTTGTAAAGATTATACTAAAGTACAATTTAAAAAACAATGTGTAGCCATTGGCTTTAATTATGTCAAAGATGTAGAAGTTCAATTCAAATACATAAACAAATTTGACTAGAGTAAACAACTGCTAAGGGCAGAAATTAAGACCAGTAAATAAAAGATATTATTAGTCGGTATACATTTTTACTAGTTCATTTAAACGTCTCAATAAAATATTTTTTTAAAACAAAAGTAAATTAAAATGAAAAATTATGATAGTGTGAATATGTTATGTTAACAATTACAGTGAAATATGCTTTTTTGTGACCAAAACATGAAATGCAGGGCGCTGGCATAATAATATAAATGGGGTGCAACCCTCTAACAAACTACCCCCCCCCCCAAAAAAAATTAAATTTTTTTTTTTGGTTGAGGCAAGCTATTTCTACATGAATTTTCTTCTTTCTTACACCCTAAAAAAGCAAGAAAAAATATTGAACATTAAATTTTTTCTTTGTGACATACTTTNTACGAATTTCTTGTACTTGCAAATTTTGGCACGAGAAACTGTATTGATGGCGCTGGCATAGCTACTGACTTTGAAACAAAAATAACTGCAAACCGTAGTTTTGTATACTAGCGTGCTTGTGCACGCTTATCACTGGTATTTATTGTGCTGATGAAGTTTTGCAGTTGTGAGAAGTCAATTTGTGTTTTACATCTTTGTTAAACTAAATAACTAACAGAAAATGTAATATTACTTATATTTCATTAAATGAAATTTAAAAATATAGCTTAGATATCTGCCAAGTTTGTGTATGCTCAGTGTGCATAAGAAAAGAATCAACGATGACTCAGAATTTATTGAAAAAGTTATAAACAGATTTGGACAGCAAACAAGACGGTTACAATTCTTGTTTGATTAAACAATTTTTTAATTGTTCTGTATCAATAATTACTTAATTATTTGTTTTAGAATAAAAATATTTTTAATAGAAAAATTTCATAACAGAATTGTTTTTCTGTATCTTTTTAATTGTTTTTAAAAAAAAGCCAGGCGGTGTAAGTGCACCCCGCTGCCGACACCCTTGCATGAAACCAAAGCAACTCATCATCATTTTTACTGAACTGTTGCTCCTCAGAACTACTGTTGATTTATGTTATGGAATTATACTGGTGTCAGACCACTAAACATGTATTGTTTCATCCATTACAATGATAAATCATAACAACTATAGGTTTCAGTCTTAATATTTCTGGGAAATACATTTCATAGTAGAATGTATGAAATGTGATTAGTAAGGCCCGGATTTTGATGACATTTGCATTTTTTGCATTTTTAGACATTCTTTGTCCTTTAGAGCATTTTTTGAGATTTATAGGGCATTTTCTTTAAAATTTTGGGGCGTATTTTGCATTTTAAAGCATTTTTTAAATTTTTTGTTAAATTTTTCTAATTTTTATTATTTTTTATAATTTTTTATTATTACACTGGCTTCCAAACAATGAAGAAAATTTCTAGGATATTAACAGGTGAAGCAACATCTTTTCAAATTGAAGAAGAATTGTCAGTAAGTGTGACCGTCCTTTTCAAGTACGCACCAATAACATCAGTAGACGTTGAAAGAAGCTTCTCCTGGTATAAAAATTTGCTTTCAGACAAGAGACGCTCGTTTACATTTCAAAATATTAAAAAAAAAATTAATAATCCACTGTAATTCTGATATTTAGTAATATTATGAGATGGAAGTTGTTATATTCATTTAAGTTTCTATACAAAATGAAAATGTTTTGGAGTCAATATATTTTCCTTTTTTTTTTTTTTTTAGGATATAAAACATATTTTTCAAACTTTAATGAACGTAGAACAAGTATTGCATTGCTTTATATTTTTTGAAACGACTCATAATAATTTTAAAGAGTAAAACATTGTTTTAGTTCAATATTTTTACTTCTATTTAAGTCATGTCATAAGGCATTTTTAGCGCAATTTTCGCATTTTAAGGGCATTTTTTGCACTTTTAAGGGCATTTTTTGCAGTTCATAAGGGCATTTTTTGCACTTTTTAAGGGCATTAATTGAGATTTTTTAGGTCATCAAAATCCGGGCTCTAGTGATTAGCCTTCAATAAAACGTGAACTTATGTAAGTTTGCAAAGTATCAATGTAATTGGAATAAACATAACTTTGCTTCTCTCAAGCATGTAGTTAGAGCAAATAGTCTCTGTAATAACATCTAATTTTTAGAATCTGAATTTTACCAAATGAGCAAACGCTGAAGAAACCAATGCACGACCTTCAGAGGTGTCTACATCACCAACAACCCATGCTGTCAGAGGCCGAAACTCGTCATCATCTGCACACAAAAAATAAATTTCACATTTTACAATAGTGAAATACATTTTTATGATAAAGTGAATTATATCAGTTAACAAGAGAAAGAAATTTAAAGTGTTAAGTTATTTTTAATGAATTTTGTTTTATCACTTTTCCGAAATTCTACTTCAGGGTTCATAGCATAAGTAATAGAAAGAAAATAGTTCTCTAGTCACTTTTCTTAAAACCTATCATGAAGGACAATACGTTGTTTCTTCAATTGCACGGCAGTATACTGTGCTTATAATAGTTAATCATGTGAAAAGGTTTACAGAGTCATCTGCATATAGTTAGAAAGTAAGTTATATTTTATATTGAGTTTCCTAGAGCAATCAAAATTTTTTAATATTTTTAAGTAAACACTTAACAGGACCTCTTTGCCTAGAATACAGAGATCTAAATGTACATCATCTAGTTGAAAAGAAAATTAATTTTTCTTTATGATCACATACATTTTATTAAAAAGAAACAGAAATTTAGTGTGATGTAATACTAACATAAAATAATTTGTGTTGAATTGAGTTAATTTATACACAAAAAATCTAAATGTGCAATTTTATAAAATTATTATGTATACATTCATTACTAAACAAATGAAAATAATTATGATGGTACTCTTTTCATTAATTTCAATTTTATCTGTATTAAGCCAACTTTTCAAAACATAAAGATCAATGTCTTTACACTTAACTACCATTAATAATTAAGAATCACAAAATAATTTATTTTATTTCCTTCCATGATTAATGGATAATGAAAAATGAAAAATTTTTAAAAATATATATGGTTGTTGTAGTTAATTTATGTCGCAATAAAGTGACGTAAATTAACCACAACAGACTAAACAAAAAATTAACTAAACTAATAAAAATATATATAAAAATTAACTAAATAAAAAATGTACATAAAAATTTATAATGAAAAATTAAAAATGCCTCCATCAATCAAATAATCTGAATATGTATATCAATGAATCTTTAAAATATATCAGCATCAGTATTTTGACATTTTTTCTCATTGAATACAATAACATATTAGTCATGCAATTAAGGAACCTAAAACTCCATGAACTTTTGTTCCTAGAACTGATAATTACAGAAATACTATTACCAAAATATATAATACAAAAAAAAAATCTTAGTAGTATACAACTTTTTTTTTTAATAAAATCGAAATCTTTTTCCATTACTACGAAAAGTTTGTTTTAAATATGAATGAAAAATGAAGTAAAACTAAGATAAATAATTATAAACATTACATAAACTAAGCACTAAAGATATCTAATAATTTTTACAGTAATTATACAACAAAACAATTTAACTCACCACGTTTCATGAAATATTTCATATCCTTGACTGGAACAGTTTCAGCTGGAAAAAATGGATTGAAAGTTAAACAAATCATGAATACAATCAACGTAAGATATTTACACATTATCTATTTATATATTTTTGCTTTCATAACTTTATAACTGACACAGATGGTTGTTAGAGATTAGTGGTCATTATTCTCATAAAAGTTATTTAGAAATTAAATGAATAACAGTTACATGAGAATTATTTTAAAGAAAACAATTTTGTAGTTAGTTTTAGAGAAACAAACCTTCAGTAATTGTTCCAAAATAACAGATATCTGCACCTCATGAAAAAAAATTGTTTCTTTGATTGCTACTATGAGAAAAACTAACAATGAACAATTACTTTTTAAATATATTTTTTCTTAACTAAGGCAATAGCTATCAAACAATTTTGCAACAAAATATGGTTTGCTTCTAAACATTATTTGAATACTAAATTTTGCTTAGATAAATTCCGATTCAGCTTATATAATTGAAAACTTGTACAAAATTGATAAATGACAGTACATAAACTTAAAAAATATTTCGATAGGAATCTATTTGCATAATATCTACTGATAGCATTATGCATTTAATACTAAAAAATAAAACTTTTTAAAACAATTAAATAGAAAAAGAAAGATAATTTATAAAACAGATTCCTTATAACAATTTTTAACAATTTTGATTAACAATTTTGAATCCGATTTTTTAAATCTTGCCTTTTTTTTCAAATCTTATTTCAGCTAAGCCTGTTTAGTTGTATTTTTTTAAGAAACTTTTCCACACCATATAAAAATTATAGAAACTTAAATTAAAATATCATTTACAGTATTATTATAAATAACTGCAATATAAAAAAAAATTATAAAAAAAAATAACAGAAAAAATTCTAATATCTCCCATGTAAAAATTGACTTAATTATTATTAAACATAATATATATATAATTGATTACCATTTTCTCCAATTAAATCAACGAATTTTGAATCGGAACTTAAAACTCTCTGATTAAGACGAGGCATCACATTTTTTTGTTCCATAATAAAGTCTAGAATGTTTTGAGAATCAGATAATTCTCCCTGTAAAGTACATAATAAATTATTATCATCATTATAAAGACAATTTTTTTTGTTAACATAAATATTTTATTAAAAATAAATGGAAAAAACTCATTACTGATTTAACATATTTTGAGAGCGAAATTATGTTAGAAAATGAATGCTGTAAAAGCTAAGAAAATATTTCAATAAATTTAATTTTATTGATTTTAACTTACTGTGATATCTCGAGGTACAGATAATCCTGGAAACTAAACCAAAATACAGTGAAATATTCCATTTTTACAATTTTTGTACTATTTTTGATTTTGAAATAAGTAATTATTAAAATTCAATTTTTAAATTATTATTCAAAATTGTATAAAACTTTTTGCTATACATTAAATATTTTCTAAAAATGATACAGAAAACTGTTACAAAAGATGAAATGTTTTTTTTTGTTTTGTTTTTTATATATTATAATTATATTTTTTAAAATGTTTTTTTATAAAACTAACATTGTCAGTCAAATGTTGAGAATAAAGTTGTTGGGAAAATAAAAAAGAAATTTAAGAAAAATCTATAGACACAAAACTTATATGAAAAATTCAAAATAATTACATTTCCGCACACTTTTTTGCTTCTAAATATAAGAATAAAATTAATTACAAATTCTAAAGAAATGAAAGAATTCTTCAAAATAAAAATTATTAAAACATATTTCAATAAATTCAGCAAAAAATTCTGCTGAATTTTAATTCTTATACCTTAGAGTACCTTATATAGAGTTCTTATAGTTTGATTAAAAAAAGTTTGAAGTTTGATTAAAAAATAAATAAGTAAACAAAATATTAAAAAAGAAATAGAAATAAATTATAGAAAACTTTTAATGGCAGAAAAATACAACTTTATAAAATCTAGAGTGAATCAAAGGTTTAAATAAACGGTTAAAATAATGTTTTAAACCTAAACGAACCAATGCTTACGGACCATACAAGTGCACTTTTATTAAGTTTAATGCCACATATATGGTGATGAAAATCATTTTGTTATTTTTATTACTCCTACTTTCTTATTAACAATTAATTATAGTTAATTAAACAATTATAATTAATAATGATTACAGGAATACTTCCAGATTACAGAAAGTTAAAAGAAAGAAGTTCTTAAAAAAATCAAGTCAAAATCTAAACACAAAATGAAGACATGATGTATTTAAATTTATTAGAATGTATGCACTGTAGCTATTCATTTTCAGCAAAATACATTCCTAAGAAGGTAAAATAAAACAAAATCATGTAGAAAAATAACCTTTAATATTCATATTCTTTGTGAGAATATAACATTTTTATATTCTAATGAATGATTTTATCAATATTGATATTGGCACATGGCATTTTTGTACAAAATAAATAAAAAGACTATTTTAATAAACATGTTTATAAAAACACTTAACAATAAACTTCAGTATTTATGTTCAATAACTGTTTCATGATCATAGAATTATGAACTGCACTGAATAGTTTTCTTAATATGAAATCATTTGTTTTGAATAAAGTACTGCTAGCAAATAAAGTATAGATAAAAACATAATATATCTATTAAATATATGGAATTAACGCAAAGTTGTATCCATTCCTTAAATTAACGAGCAAATAAAAAATTTATAAATAATGGGATAAATAGCTATCAGATTGTACATTATTTAATTTGATAAAATAAATATTCATGGAATTAGCAATGAAATAAAGTAATTTATAGCAAAGCATAATTGATGTATTAAAATAGAAGTGAGTTGATTATTCAATTACCTTGTAGACACTTTTCTGTAGGAAAGGAGTCTGTCTCATAACTTCTGTTAAAATTGCCTCTTCAAACATGTCTGCTGTTAGCTGGAAAGAAAAGTCATACATTTAGGCAAAAAAAAAAATTAGGAAAAATTGAATTCAAAATTAGGACACTCCCCATGCTTCACTTCAATGAGGCATCATAATCTGAAGGTACAAATCCAATTTTGAAAAGATAACTTATTTTCCGGACATAAATATTTGATAGCCAATGGCGAGCTGGTGAGTGAAAATTTTATTCCCCGATATAAATAGTCAAAATATCAATATAAACACATTTTAAAAAATAAACAGAAAGCAAGAAAATACCTGTTTTTGTTTGAGCATGACTCCATTCAGAAGTACTTGAGGTGGCTTGCTCAAACCAGTTTTACTTATGAATTCCCAGGCAGCCTATAGAAAATAAAATAATGAAAAATTCATGCAACATTTTGTACCATTTGTGCAGTAAAATATAGTCAACGAAAAAAAAATGACACACATTGTTGTGTCATTCTTTGGTCATTTTTTTTCGGTTTTCAGAGTTTAGAATAGATGATTTAGGTCATGTGATTTAAAAGCAATAACACAACTCTTGAAAGAAGAAATCCAACACTCTAATAACAAGATTCAGCCACATTTATGCTGAGCAGTCATTGATAATTTTTGAAAAAGAGTGCTTATATATCAAAAAAAAAAAAAAAACAAGGGAGCCCATTTACCATTTATGCTTTTCCCTACATAAACCTATATGCATAATTAATAAATAAATTCATCAATCATAATTCAAATTGTTTAAATCGAAATTATCACTTTAAATGAAAAAAGACACTCTAAGCTAAAAGAAGGAAAAAAAAATGGAAATTGATCTTGGTTAATAAGTTTTTTGATGAAAGAGATTTACGCTGATAGTCAAAACATTATGACCACCCACAAGATTTTCAAAAGACTCGCCCGGATAACATGAAGGACACATGATTAAGTTGGAACAGTATCGAGTGCTGCTGGAAAAGGTAAGGAATCATACTTGTATTTATTTTTGTGAGTAATTGGAAAAACAATTGATTTAAGCAAATTTGATATAGGGCAAATCATATACTCAAAGATTCTATGAACTGAAGAATATTTTGAATGAGCTAGAAGGTTCCTAGATTCTGAACGAGTGTCTCCGAAACTACATTAATGGTAGATCGCTCACAACGTGATTGCCATTATGCAAAGAGAATAAATGACGGTGAAACAAACAGTAAATGCCAAGATATTGAATATCTCCTCGTCATCAAAGAAAAAGGATGCTGGAGACTTCCCTGCTTGGTGAAACAAAATTGGTGCTAAACAGTGGCTCAGCTGACAGCCCAATAAAATGCAAGTCCAAGTATTTCACATGACGTAGTTGGACTGAAAGTCTAAAAGAACCACTTGTTGTGTACTGGTCTTAACCAAGCGTCAAGTATGCCTACAGTGGGATGAAAAGTACAGATACTAGACTAAGTAGAAGACAGTTGTCTCGTCAGATGAATCACTATTTCTCTTTCATTACACCAATGGTTGTGTCTTCTAAGCAAACAGTTGCTGGCTTCCCATATATACAACAGGTCATACATGGGCTGGCGGTATCGTTCTTTTGAGATCATTTTCATGGGCTGCTCCAGAGCCCATAGCTGTGGTCGAACAGACGCTAAAAGCTGAGGACTATCAGAACATAATGGTGGATCAGTTGTAGTCATAAATTACATCTGTTTTCCCTAATAGAATCATCTAGCATGACAATGCCTCAATTCCAAAAGCTGGCATTGTGTTGGAGTGGTTCAAAGATCATAAGGATGAATTCAATTGGATGTTCTGACTACCTAACTTATTATTATCTGATAGAGCACATTAGAGATGTCAAAGAAAGGCAGGTCTGAGATCAAACACAATCAACACCATGACAAAATATATCAACTTTGTGTGACCGCTGCTTTAACATTTGGTAGAACCTGTGGCCATTTATCTACTAAGACCTTGTAGTGTCCATGGCAAGACGAGCCACAGCTGTTTCGAAGGCTGAAGGTGGCACAACGTATTGTCGAATTTAAGTAGACGATCATAATGTTTTGACTCTTTAGTGTAGATAATTAAGGCTATACTGAAAATTTTGAACTATTTATTTTTTAAGCAAACTGCATTAAAAAAATTATTAAATTACCAAAGAAAGATCTAGATCTTAAAAAAATTATTTTCAATTGAACTGACTCAAATTACCTTTTTGCCAGTATCATAATCTGAATCTGGACCAAATATCAGCTCATAATCTTCAGATGGATACATTGTCTTGAACTGAGATATGACTTTTTCTGATGTAATATCTTTGTCTTCAACATTTGCATAAACCTGTAAAAGTCACTTATAATGTTACTATGTTTACATTCTTCTAAAACATATTTTTTTGAGCCTTAAAACAAAGTCATAGTAAAATTATATTACAAAAATATTTTTAAAAAATTAACTTACATCAGAAGAATATTGATGAATAAATTACTAATAAAAGAAAATTACTTGCATCAGAACAATACTTAAAATTCTATGTTGAAGAACTAATTCAGGGGTGGTAGTGAGCCCAAGTCAAAATTCCAGAAAATTTCTTAAGTAAATTAAAAAAAAACAGTTTAAATGGAGAAAAAAAATTCAACAAGGTTTTTTTTCTTCCTTTTTCTCAATCTTTCTTAGTTTACTTAAAATATATTTAAAATTTTACACATACTTATACCATTTACACATACCTACGATAACCTGGAGAAGAAATTGAAATTTACAAATGTCTTTCTTGAGTTTATGATTATAATAACTATTTACTGATAAAAAATTAATATTAATCTTGAATATAAAGCTAATCTGGCTCTCCCTTACAAACAAATAAAATAAACTGTGTTTTTAAGTTCCACCGTTCAAAATTTGATTTCCGGAAGCTTTTGTGATCAATGATTTTTTGAAACGTCTGGACCTTCGATATCCGAAAACTTCCGGATCTCGGTTAGCGAAAAATCCGGAAATATGGATTTTTTCCGAAGCACAATTAGCTCTGCTAATTTCAAAAGAATATCAAGATAAAGGAGAAAAAAATATGAAAACCAATTAAATGTACACTCTTACTGTCTGGCAATCTCACTAAGATTCCATCTTGTGATTGCTAGACAGTATTTATCCCATCTAAATATAGGGTAAGGTTACTTGAAAACTTGTAAAACATGGATAATAAAAAAACTGCTACTTTACATATACTATATTTATGAGAATTTATACAAAAAGAAGTTGTTCTGAATTAACTGCTTATTTAAATAATTATAAATAAGACCGAAAAATTAATATAAATAAAGTAAAATGAACTTCCAAATTATAAAAAAAAAATTAACATACACATAAAGGCGTATGAATTAGGATACAAAAAATGAAAGTGATTAGATAATAAAAAAAATCTGAACCAAATTACAAATATCAAAAGTATTTTAAAGTTAAAAATAATAAAAAAGAATTGTTTAACAACAATTTAAAACCATCTGAAGTGTATTACTTCAGTAATAAAAGAGAGTCCATCATAAGGTGATTTATCTTGGCTGATGAAGTTGAATGCATTTAGAAATGCAACTCCACCATCATGTAAACCATCGGCAGACGAATTCACAGAAAATAAGAGACCAATCCTACAACAAAAAAAGATAAATTTAAAATTAAAAACAGAACTTATAATAAAAAATGTATTTACCTCTTTTTGAATCTCAAACTATTATATAAAAATGTAATGAAAAATAAATCTTTTTTTCTATCATTCAATTAAAATGAAATTGACTGAAATCTGATAAATTTTCTTTCCTTTTAGTTTGACAAAAATTTTAATTATTAATTGTTTAGATTTACAGCAAATTTTTTTTGTAATCTTATATGTTTTTATTTAATTTTAAACAATGATATAATAATAAATTTTTTTCTCCAAATTCTGAGCAATAATGTAATATTAAGTTTATATTGTGTACAAATTAATGTCTACAAATATGGATAAAATTTAGTACAATTGTGTTAAGTTTTCATTGAGACAATAATGAACAACTTAAAATTAAGCGCAAATACAAATTTCTTTTTTTAAAACAATTTGATAGTTATTCTAAGTAAATTCTAGGTGAATCTAACATAGACATAAAATGATTATTAGATTAGATATTTTATTTTCATTTTACCTCACAGGTGCTTTATGAACATAAAATGATTCAGCAAGTTTAAAGATATCTCTTGAATCTTCCTTTGAAGGGTCTGCAACTATGACCTGAAAATTAATACCACAGATAAAATCACAGTCAAATAAAGAAATTTTTTATAAAAACTGTAGTTTACATCTACTAATGACAACAAGAAAAAATAAATAATAAAATTAAAAAAACTATAAATAGAAAGCTTTCCTTTTGACTGAACTAAAAAAGCTTATTATGCAGAGCTTATGTATGCAGGATATACAAGTGAGTTGCGTATAACGTTATAAAGTAAACAAATTAATACAGTTTTTCCAACTACATAAAAAGAAAATGTCTTTAAGAAAAGTATATCGAAAAGCTAAATAAAAAGAATAACACTTTAGACAGATGATATAAAAATAATTACCAAGTGATATATATTTTTCTTGATACTGCGTAGCATCCCAGGATAAGTTGGCCGCAACAGATCTTGAACACTTGATGGCCAAGTGCGATACTGACGATCATTTTCAATATCATTTATGTACTAAATATAAATTAAATTATTTTTTTTAAATGGGTGAATTCCATTGCAAATTAAATTAAGAATGTAAATTCATTTATTTAATTCTCTATAATAATGTAAGTCATAAATAAAAAGACATTTAGTGAAATTATAAAGAACAGTGGAATCTCATTTGATAAAAATGAGTTCAAGGTCTGTATTAGAGAGGAGGCCGCAACAGGAGACTCACAACATTTTTTACGCCTGAGTTCAACATTATTTGATGCATAGTGATTGATTGGCATTACAAACTCTCAATGGAGAACATTTCTTTTATTGCTATAACCAAAGATCCCATTAAGTAATTTAAATTGAGTAAAAATAATAAACTTTTTTTAATTGACTACTTAAATTATTTGCTATTTAAATCCACAAAGGGGACAGTTTTTCCTTTCTTTTACTTTTTGAGAAAACAATGCCCGATTTTCAGAAAATTATGAATAAATTTTTCCAAATTTCAGAAAAATAGAATTTTTCTCAAAAACTCTATAATGCCCCATGACAAGGCCCATACACAATTTATGTCTAATAGGAAATCATACTTCTTTTGGTTTCAACTTAACCAAAAATTAAAATCTTAGTTTTATACTTAGAGAAAAGAAAATTGCTTTCATTTAAACGAGAGTTATACCAACTTACAAATATAATCTAGTTGGTTTGATTTCATATAAGGCTATCATGAGTTGTCCTGGTCACTATGGGAAACTAGTTCTCTATGGCTGAACTTTCAAAAGCTTATAATGAAAATCTTATACTGTTCAAATGTTGCTCTTTCATATATTTAAAGTTTGAACAAAATTATTCTCTTATTGCAATTTAAAAAAAAAAATAGAGAAAATATTATGCTTTTTTTCTATATCAAAAACAATGTTTTCTATGGCTGAATTTTCAAAAACTTATGATGAAAATCTGATAAATATCGTTCAAATATTGTTCTTTCATACATTAAATGTTTGAACAAGATAATTCTTACATTGTAATAAAAAAATAGAGAAAATATTATGCTCTTTTACTACTTAAAAAAAATATATATATATATAATTTAGTATCAGAAATCAAAATAACCTTAAAATTCATAAACGTGCATGAATTTCGATATTTAATTGTAAAAATCAAATTAGCATTACTTGTATAGAGAGATCCCTTATATCCACTGCATACTCTTCTTTGTCTTCTGTGAAATCCATTTTCAAAAGATTTGTCAACAATTTATCCTAAGAAAACACAAAGTTTATAGATACATCAAAAAATATTAATTTTTTTACTTATCTTAAAAATTAGTAATTAAATCAATCAAACACAATTATTCTCATGACAAAAATTGAGTCAAAAATTCTACCTAATAAAGTGGATAATAACTAGACAGTACAGATTGAAAAAAACATAGTCTAGTATAAGACAAATTTGAATAGATTGATAAATTTGACAAGTCATAATAAAATGAACTAAAATACGAAAAACTAATAAAGTTTTCACCAAGACATGATTAAAATGTGTTCAAATTTAAAACTGGAATATTTTTGTTAACGAATTTTCAGAAGTCTCTAAGAAAGAGAATATTTTTACCATGTTTAGAAAAAAATATCAAAAACTATATTTTTCTACAATTTATAAATTCAAGATAAATTACTTAAAATTTTAATTAAAAAATAAAAAGTACTTTGAATTAAATGAAATTAAAAAATAAATGATGCAATAAGATCTTACTGAAATTTTAAGCTTGTGCAAAGCTTCAAGAACCCTAGTCTCTTGCTTCAAATATTGCAGTAATGTGAAAATATCTGTAGTTTCCATATCGAAAAAAATTCCATTCAGAAACAATCCTGCATCTGCTGGACCAATATTATGATGGTGCATGAACGTCTGCAAAATTTTATTTTTATATATATATATAGTTAAAATGTAGAGAAAACATTGAAAAAAATATATAATAAAGATTAAAGAAAAGAAAAAGAATAAACTAATTAAAAATAATAATTTTAAAAAATTTTATTAAAAAAATAAAAAGCTGAAAACAAAATAATGAAAAGACATATCTAGTCATCGGGTCACATGATTATATCCGCAAAAAAAAAAATAGTGCTTTCTAATACTGTATTCAAAGCATTGTCAGCCATAGCAAAATACATCAGTACAATAGCATGTGGAGCACAAAAAAAGTTAAACCAAAAAAAAAATAACAAGTTAAGCAAAAAATGCAAATTAAAGAATCAAGCAAAAACAGATTTTAAAAAAATCAAGAAAATAGAGAACAAAAAGTAATATATAAAAATCAAAGAGCGAATTCAAATGTACTTATACGCAAAGGCATCTTAAAGAATGATTTAAAATACTTTCATAACAAGTTGGCCAGATTACAAAATATGAAAATAGAAGCATATGAGTTTGAGGAGATATATTTATGGCACGTTCTTACGGAAGTACAAAAACACATAGGATTTGTTAGTTCTTTTCATTATTTCTTTTCAGCTTTTTATTTTACTTTATTTATTTCTTTATTTTAAATAAATTTTTTCAATAATATTTTCTTTAAATTTATTATTTTTAATTATATTTTTTATTCTATTTTCATAAATTTTTATTATACATTTTTTTACATGTTTCCTCTACCTTTTTAACTTGTTTTATGAGTTCTATATATTTGCAGCTCATACACAGCAAATAAAACTTATTATATACATATATATATGCATCCTAAAAAATATATTAAAACAATATTAACAAGATAATCAATGATTACATTATTTTTATTATTATTATACAAGATGATTATTATTATTTACAGAGCAGAAAAATATATGAAAAATACCATTCATTTTAATTTGTTCTTTAATTAGAATTAAAAACTGCATTTAAAATGCAAAAATTGTATAGGCATTTTGTTTTCTTTTACTTAAAAAAAATTTTTTTTTCCTTCTCAACACAAGTTTTAATGCAAATGCCATGAAATAAGGCTGAGGCTCCCTTGATGCATGTTACTTTATCTCTTAAACCAATTTTGGTAATTATTAAACCTTTTTTTTTTTGCTTTTTTATCAGAATTTAACAAATTGATATTTATATCCTTTTTAATTGTCAGTCCACAATTATTCATTTTTAAAAATAATAACCATACTTGTTGGTTTCTTTCAATTTCTCTTTTCATGTCATTAGAAACAGAGACATGAATCAATGAGCGAGCCTGAGTAGGAAAATTTTGTGCAATGTCTCTCATAACTCTTAAAGTTTCTTCAATGGGTGAATCAATTATTCTTTGTCCGGCTTGCAAACTCAACTCTAGAAAAGAAAATTAAAACTTTACACAATCAACAAAGGAATGTTATTAACAAGGGCGCCTGCCGCGGGGTGCAAGAGGTGCACTTGCACGCCCCTGGCTTTTTTTTCAAACAATTAAAGAGGAACAGAAAAACAATTTTGTTATAAATTTTTTTATTAAAAATATTTGTATTCAAAAACAAATAATTAAGTAATTATTTATATATAACAATTAAAAAAATTTTAAATCAAACAAGAATTGTAATCGTCTTGTTTGCTGTCCAAATCTGTTTACAACTTTTTCAATGAATTCTGATCCATCTTTGATTCTTTTCTTATGCACACTGAGCATGCACAAACTTGGCAAATATCTAAGATATATTTTTAAATTTCATTTAATAAAATATAAATAATATATTTTCTATTAGTTATTCAGTTTAACAAAGGTTTATAACACAAATTGACTTCTCACAACTGTAAAACTTCATCAACACAATAAATACCAATGTTAAGCATGTACAAACAGGTTAGTACACGAAACTACTATTTGTAGTTATTTTTGTTTCAAAGTCAGTAGCTATGCCGGCACCATCAGTACAGTTTCTCTTGGCAAAATTTGCAAGTACAAGAAATTCGTTTTTTTTTTTAAATATCTTGTTAACAATGAAGAAATGTATATTGAAAAAAATTAAGAGATGAAAGTATATGTAATAACAAAACAAAATGTAATAACAGAATATTTGGACGTTTTTTTTTTGGGGGGGGGGCAGTTTGTTAGAGGGTTGCACCTCCTTTTATATTATTATGCCGGCGCCCTTGGTTATTAAGTTAACAGTATATTGCAGATTCATATTTAAAAACTTAACTTTTTACTAATGAAATAAATGAAGAATTTTGTAGAAAAATAAGTATAATATATATATATTATTATTATTAAATTCCATAGTTAATACAGTTGCAAAGCTATTGAACTGTCTGAAAGCAACTGTCATAATTTCAGGTTAAAATAATGAGTAGCTTTGTCTAATATAAAAAACAACACAAATTCAAAGATGAACATTATAAAACATTACAGAAAATCATTATACAAAAACATTACAGAAACACATTTATAATTTTGTTCAGTTTTAAAAAACATTAATGAAATGGAAACTTTATTTAAAAAAAGGAGAGATAGAACATATTTTATTAAAAATAAAAGTTGTTTTACCTTGCAATTCCCAAACTTTGAGACTAGGAATTTCTTTTGAACTCTCCACAATGTGCTTTTTCAACTGTTCTAATTTGTCTTTTTTAGATGGATGCAACTCACTGTCGGGGGGAAAAAGATAAATTTAAAAGAAATTTTTAGAAAGTTTTTTTTAATGTATTTTAGGTAGGGTTTATTAACATTAAAGTGGTAAGCAGCTCCAACACAAAATAAAAAACTTACTTCAAAAATAAAACTATCACATTGCATTAGATATAAACTCAACATGAAAAACTATCAAGATATATGTGATGATGCTATCGCAAAACTCTACATTTACAACCTTTCGGCCACCATCCTTACTTTCAGATTACATTTGCGCCTAATGTCTAGGTAATTACGTGATAATCGCTAACTTTGCGCTTAATGTCTAGGTATTTAAGTAATAAACGTTAACTTTGACTGCCCGGATGTATGCACATTCCATCAGTGACGATACACTAAAGAGGAGAATATTTTTTTTAAGTTTTTTCCTTCCACACGTGCTCAGGAAGTAAAGACTTTTATATATTTTTAGTAATCTATGTCCTTTCTTACCTTGCAGGTAAGCAGCATTAATAATTTTTAAGTAGCTATTAATTTACACATTAATTTTGGAGGATATGGAGGAAGAGACACAAGTTTTTAGATGACAGGCCTTCAGTTCAATGCTTGCCCCAGATATTAGGATAGAAATAATAAATTTTGAATTAAAGAACCTTTTTATGATAAAAATTTGCTTTGTAAGCCCATTTCCATTCTTGCAATGATACACCTAAACTGAGCAGCTCGAAATAATCGAGGGTAAGAACCTGGAAAATATGACACCGACTCTTCATTCACCGTCAATTATATCTCGTCTTTAACCGACAACAGTTACATCTCCATATAAAACTTACATATTAAATTGTATTACATATAAACTGTGTTTGAATCTATAAAGTAAAAGAAGAATAATAGAACAAAAAAAATTACTAGAACAACACAAGACCCTGATTCCTTATAAGTTAATAAATTCATATACTATGAATTTATTAACTTATTTTTAAGAAACCAAGCATTGATCTCAAATATCCCCAGTAATAGATAGGGCCATATTCTGACTGATTAGATAATAAAAGGAATATTTATCCTTTTTAGACCCCTTCAAAAAATTCTTTTAGACAGAAAATAAAATAACAGCAGGCATAATTTTTCAACCCCCTACACAATAAAAATAAGATAACATGAAAAAAAGAAAGTTAATGGCAACATAAATTTCTGCATCATATTTATTTTAATTAAGAATTAAAATATATTTTTATAGTTGCTTTATTCCTTCCTAAAACATAAATTGCATTTTAACAATACACATTTTCCTTTTGACAACAAGATTATTGCTAAAACAAATAAAATAGCTTTTGAAAAATAAAATATTTTTAAAAGGTGGCCCATTGCATGTTCAGATTTATAATACAGTAATTTCTGCTTAACATAATTTTCACTCACTTTAATTTACTGAAAATAAAACCCTCGAGTTCTTCATATTTATCAACTTCTTCTTGAACCGGACCTTTCTCCTCTGGAATCATTAAATAAGACTTTTAAAAAAAGTATGAGTTATATAAATAAAATTCCATGTTCAACTATTTTTTTTTTATTAAAAACATTAATCTCAAATTATGACTCTTTAGAACAAATTCAAAGTTTACCTTTAACTTTTGTGTCATCCTGAGCTTTATATTCTGTGCTTTTCACTGCCAATTCTACCCCATAACCCGACAATCTAACTTTTTTCAGTTGTCTCTTCTGTAAAACAATTTTAAATCAGATTTTTATAAGTTTCATTCAATTATTTATTGATGCCAAAAATATATAGGTAGAAGTGATGGTAGGTATTTTATTTACATCGCTCTAGAGCTGCACAATGGTCTATCGGCAACAGACGAGAAAAAATCCATAAGGATGGTCCGTCATCACAATTTTTATCCTCTATTTAGTTAGCTCGACAACCTGGGCATGAAGTCGAGCATTTTACGACAGAACAGTTTAACAAGGATCAATACTATGCAGGCTGATCAAAGTGGTCACCCACCCGCTTACTGACCACAGCCAATGATACGGTGTTCTACTCAGAACTGTGTCCTTTCTATCAGTCTACTGTGTAGGTAAGTGGTATGAAAACATAAAAAATTGCCAGTCAGATAACAGGGTGCGTAGATAAATCCTTCAACAAAAATAATAAAAGCACCTTTTAAGCACTTTTTAGGCACTATACATTAACAAAATACAAAATAATTTCGTTTTTGTTCTCATCCCCATAACCAGCAGAGCTAGATCAGGTCCATGAGCTCGTTCACTCTGAGAAAGTCTAGCACCAACAGGGGAGCTTGAACCAGGTCCTGCCTGGTAAGTCCCAGACAAGATAAAATGTGGTCAGGGGAGGCCTGGGCAGCAGAACACTTAGTGCAGACTTCGAAATGTTTATTACCATCGACATAAGTCATTGATGACAGATGTCCACAGAGGAAATGAGTAATGGCAGTTTATTCTCGTCTACTGCTGCCCGAGACAAGGAGCCCTCTGGGCACTTACTCTGATACCATGAGTGTACCGGCGGAACCATCCAAATGGCCATATTCTTTGCCTTACACCTAGAAAAATGCTCCAAATAAGTAAGAGGAGAGATAGTCATAATAGCCTCTTCAGCACCTGCTTTGGCCAAACTGTCAGTAATCTCATTTCCAGCTATATCGACAGGTGACGGAATCCACTGAAAGTGGGTCTGATGAGAAAGGGAAAGATGTTTTAGTTTCCTAAGAATGTCAGCACCAACACTGTCCCTGACATTATGTCAATCGGCCAGGTCCTGGATAGCACTTTTACTATTCGAAAAGATCCAGATATCAGTGAACAGCGAAAGCGACATGATGGAGTCCAGACCCTCAAGAATTGCAATAAGTTCGCTTCGGAATACCGAGCAGAAGTCTAGATTTCTTCTCTTTATTTTTATTTCCTGATGCTGAAGTTTAATATAAATGCCACTACCAGATCTGTCACTATCACAGGGTTCATACAGAGATCAGAAGAAGAAATCCAAGGAGTTCAAAATTTTAAGGACTACTCAAAAATTTAAAAACTTTGTGTAAAAGATAACTTTTTTTTTTATTTTTATATTTAAACGACTTAAAACTCCTTATGCACCACAAAGTATAGCATGAGGCTTACAGATGTAAGTTGAAAACAAAAAGAAGAAAAATTTACAAATTTACATTAAACACAAAATTCGCAAGGTCGCAAGACTTTCAATACTTTTGACCAGTTCTGATAAGACAGGAGGCCAACAAATAGAAAGACGTCTCAAATCAGTCTTTAAATTCATTCGAGCACTCGCATACAGACTACAATGAAGAAGAATATGTTCAACATCACCACAAGCACAAATTCCACTGATCTGCAGATGGAAACGAAATAAATATCTCTTAAAATTTCCATGGTTTGTTAAAATTTGAGTCAATTTAAAATCAGTTGCAAAGAATTTACATTGCAAACGGTGAAAAGTAAAAGATAACTGGAATTTTTTTTTTTTAATTAAAAAGCAAATAATATAAGGAACTTGCAAAAATGTATATTTTGCATATTTTTTCTCTAACCTTTTTGAAATAAATTTTGACTTTATCAAGAAAAATAAATAAAGTTATCACTTTTACACATAAATACATTTTTCAGTTTCAAATATTGTAATAAATCTTATTAAAGTACAGATGTTTAAGATTAACATAAAAACCTAAGAATCTTATATTTTTAAACTTGAATACACAAAAAAATCTAAGGTATTTCATACAAGAAAATAAAAAATTTTAAAAAAATCACAGTAAATTATTAAGTTTGCTTGTAACATGTAAAATTAAAATTATTTGCTGTTATTTTTTTCTTCTAACTCTTGCAACTCAATTTTTTCTTCTTATTAAGTTTTTTTTAAACTATTAGATTTTGGCAGCTAAGTCATCATTTAGTTTCCCTACTTGGACAGCAAATTCATCAGCGGACTTAGTTCATCTACGAAACGCAATAATTTAAGGAGTTTCTAAGGACTAATTTGGAAATCCAAGTAGTTCCAAGTATTCCTTGGGGACTTTTTTTATTTCCAAGGAGTATAAGGAGTCTGTACGAACCCTGCTATCAAATCTACTGCCATCTGTATACAACTGAACAGCGTCCATGGGGACATTATTAATTCTTTCAAGTGCTAGCTGTTTCATGTAGCACGCCAAATCGATATGTTTGTTAACTCGGACAGGAAGGTCAACATGAAAGAGAACCCCTTCAAGACCCTCAGAAAGGTCGATAATCTGTGATAGTCTGTAATGTTCTACAGAACTGGCAATAAGGTTACCAGAGACAACTTGTCCAAGGGGAATACCACGCTTGAGTCTTTGGTTACTGCTCCATGATCCCAGAAACTTCAAAGTACGGTTTTGAGAGCCTAGACTGGAAGAGCTTACTGTAGTACTTCAAACATGCATTTCTCCTAAGTCTCATAAGGTCTAAGTAAAATAATTTTCAAAGACTTTACATGATCATGATAACAAAATAACTAGTTTTTGACAAAGAACTCCTTTCTTGATTATATTAGCCATTAAAAAAATGATCAAGAGATTTTTCAGTTTGATTTCAGAGGGTGGAAAATGAAGCTTGAAATTGTGAATTATCTTGCAAAATGCGGCAGAGTTGTACACTAGAGTGCAATAATCTCACCGAACCCAGCTTACTAAACGCACATGCGGACTCGCAAGTGTTTAATCAAATCTGTGAAATGATTGGTGCCTTCATAAGTTATGGACCAAAGGTAAGTTGAAATAGTTTGTGGTTGAATGAATCGTGAAAACACCGTCTAGAACAATGGGGAAAGCACCCTTTTGCATAATACGTGGAGAAAATTGACATGGTTAAGAAAAGATTCTCATTTTTGAAAAGGGAAAATTAAGCACTTTTTAAAAACATCCAATGAAAAAATCACTTTTAAAGACCTTTAAAAAGCCAAAATAAGCACCTTTAAGCACTTTTTAAAAACACTATGCACCATGTATAAATAGATCTTTTTTATCATAAGCAATATAATATGAAAGGGCTATTATTTGATAGAGCTATTATTTGATTGAGCTTTAAATTAATAATGATTTAAATTAATAATAATTTAAATTAATAATAAAAATTAATAATAATTTAAATTAATAATTTAAATTAATAATAATTTAAATTAATAATAATTTAAATTAATAATAATTCATTAAAGCTTTAAATTAATAATAATTAAGAGTCCCAGTCACTTCAGGTGACCAATTGTTCAAACCTCTCTTATTTTATTGAGAGCCTTATGAAATTTTATCTATCTTACTTCATTCTTTAAATTAATGTAGTGTCTTTTGTTCCCCTTTGGAACTTTATCTATCTTAATGAATTAACTTAATTACTTTAAGATTCATTGACCTGTTCATAGTTATCCAAAGTCTTAAGAGCAGTTGATCAAACCTTTTTTATTTAAATAGGCACATTGCTCTAAAGTAGAGCAATTATGCTTGTCAGAAATGAACTTTCATAAAATCAAAAAAAAAAAAAAAAAAAAAAAAAAAAAAAAAAAAAAAAAAAAAAANAAAAAAAAAAAAAGAGTGAAACAAATATAATACATAATATAAATTTATGAATAAGGTGATATCAGACAAATCAATATAAGAGTCTTTGCAATGCATATTTATTTTACATAAGGCTATAATTAATGGTATTGACTAAAAAAACCATTATATTAAATTGTAGAAATTTCACACTGAAACTGCCTCTGGTTTTGAATTGCTTTATTTCTATAAGAGGAACATTTGTTTACAACTCCATTAAGTAGGGCTGACATCAAGGTTGCTTCATTTTCATAAAACTCAATAAGACTTTATTTTCTTATTATTATTTACAATTTTTAAGGAGTTTAGGTTGCTTGATTACAACGAAAAATCATCTATGTACATTTTTTTTACTTTATATAACTTAGCTAAAATTTAACTTAGGATTCTTTTTTACAGGACTTTTTACTTTTTTACAGGAGTTCAACATAAGCACAGACAATATTCAAATAAAAACACTTTTGTAAAATATAGCAGAGAACTTCTGTATTTAAATTTTCTTCAGAGTTAAAATTTAAAGAAAAGAAAGCGATGCTATGACATTTTGCACGCATGATCAAAATCTAAAAAATTCTGTTAATAACTTGAAATAAAGATATATATAAACTTATTTTATGAGTTCTATATACTTGTAGCTTACATGTAGTAAATAAAACTTATTGTTATTTTCTTAATTTGCTTTGTCTTCCTTTACATTTAACACATGAGGGAGTCCTTAATTTTAAAATTCCCAGAGTCAGAGTTATACACACAACAACTAATAGTCCAATAATACCCATATATTATTAAAACACAAAACTTTTGAATTAAATAAATAAGACATCAATTTTTTTTTTTAAAAAAATGCTTTCTTATAGAATTGTTGGATAAATTTGATTTGATTTTCCTCAGTTTCAGACAATTAGGAATAAACAAGGCAGATCAAAAAACTTTTTGCGTAATACTGGAAGCTAATTTAAGTTTTAAAACAATGTGAACAAAAAGTTTTCTTTAAATTCTAATTTTCAGAAGTTTGAAAGTTAAAATTAAATAATTAAAGAAAAGATAAATAAATATTCTAAGATAAATGAAAAAGATATAAAAATACTCAGCATATGCTTTTAAGAAATAAATAAAATAATACTAATTGTACTCACAAGTACAAAGTGCCGCACAGCATATGATATTTTATTTTGATCAGCATAGCTTTTCAATATTCTGTTCAGTGTGTTAAAACTAGTAGATCCTATCTGTCCATAGAGGATTGCTGAGGCAGTGGATGATGAAAATGGGTAGACATGATCAACCTCATACAGAGACGAAGCATTCCTGTAACAAATAAGATCAAAAAGCCTTTAAATGGGATTATTTAACATGGTCCCAAATAAAATAATTTTAAAGGGAAATGATTTTTTAAAGGATCAATACAGAACAGGAAAAAAAAATATTAGGTGTAACTTATAGAAATAGAGTTGATATATTCTCAGTTTCCAGATATTATGTCATTTTATACACATTTGGTCTTAAAATGTGTTCTAAGAATAAAATTGCTATTTGTAAAGCATTAACTTTTCATCTGTTTTCTTTAAAAATTTTATAAGAAATTTTTGCAGCACATTTTAAGATAAACTACATATGAAATTAACATAATACCTGAAAAATTAACTGAAATTGTATGAATTGCATTCCTATAAACTAAATCCAATATTTCATTTATTTATTTCTCGTGCAAAACAATTGAGAAGTTTTTTTTTTTCATTCATTTCCATTCATTTTCTGAGAAATTTATAAACTTACAATAACTAACAGCACATACAAAACTCACAGATGAAAAAGATTAAGAAATGAGATAATGCTGAATAGTTTTAAGAAGTTTTCAGACTCAAATAAACTAAAACTTAAAATGAAATTTTAATATCAACCTACTTATTATCAATGTGTGGGACACATGTATATGTATTTATTCGAAATTTATATTTTTATTCTTTTCAGTCCAAGTAACAACCAAATCTGGAATACATCTTGATTTATCTGACTCAAAAAAAAACTTTTTCGACCCACATTACATGCTTCTGAGTTCAAGGAAGTAATGTATAAATAAACATATCTGATCAACTCAACTTTAGTACATGATAAGCACTTTAATTTACTTAACATTGTACTTAACACGATACTTACTTACTTTACTTAACAGGATAGAAAAATATCAAATGTTTTTTTTCTTATCTTTTACTCTAAACATCATAAAATATATGATTTCAAGATGAAACATAAATTCCATAAGAAGGCTACATTCAATAAACTACATTCTTAGAATTACAATACATTGACAAGAATGATATAAGTGTCATTAAAAATGAAACAAACAAAAATATCTACTATCATTTAAACAAAATATTTGTTTACCTGTTAGATGAATCAAGCAATGATTTCAAATGAGCAACATCACATGTGTGTTCGCCTGCTACATCGACAATAGCCTCGCAATTTGAAGGGAATGTTTGATCATAAGCTATCTGCAGTAAAAGAAAACATTTTAAAAAATTAAATAAGTAAAAACTGCAATGTACATTCTGCCTACATAAAAATATTTTAAAATATATGCAAATTACCAGCAAAAGCAGATCATAAGGCAAGAAATAGATAATTGCATAAATAGAGGCCCCTCGTTGCAGAGGTTATTTACAAGGCATAGTTAATAAAACACAAATCCATCTTCAATCAGAAATTTCGAAAAGATGAATTTTTTAATGTGATAAAAATACTAATATTGGAATTTCTATACATTTACTTGTTAGAAAAAAGACTTAAGTTCTTAACACAAATAAAAAAATCTTTTTTGCAACAAGCAAATTCTTACATATCTTTTGAACCAGTGGAGTTTAATTTTGGTGCAAACAGAACAAAAATAAATGTTTTACTAGCATAGTACTAATCACAATGTGAATGTGTTTAGGGTTCATAACACTTTTATTTTTTTATTGTAAAAGATAAGCCTAAAAATGTGTAGCAATAAGTTTTTACATAAACCAGCTTTAAAGTTTGCAATTTTTAAAAAGAAAATCTTTCAAGATTACTTATTTAAAAGCATTATTTTTACTTTAATTCAATGTATGAAATAAATTAGAATTACAAAAATGATAGCCTTAATAACAGAACTAATGTTGTGACCTTGGCCAAAGAATACCTGAAAAGGCCTTTCCATTTCCTAATTTTTTCTTTTAAATTGATTTGCTAATTTGTAAAACTTTTTATGTTAAAGTAAAGCTTTGAGTTAAAGATTTTATTTTTTTATTACTTTTTTAATTTGTTTCTTTCAATTACAATTCAAATACATATATTTTTCATAACCTTTTTTTTTAAGTTTAATTAATTTTTTTCAATTTTTTAAAAGATTGTACCAATTGTAAAAATAAATTATAATATTTTCGACTAATAAGCTGAAGTGGCAGTTTAAATTTATTTTTCTAACAGATCATTTTGATGGATCATTAAAAACAATGTTATTTTACATTTTAATACATAGATTTGTGAAGCTGCTCACTGTAATTAATATAAAGATTTATCAAAATAATCTAAATTAATTTATAAAAAAGTACGATACCGCAATTTTTGAAAGAAAAGGCATTTAGTGATTTTCATTAAAATTTACAACATAACAGCTTGAGACAAGTCTACTTTACAAAATTTTATCACTAACCCTGGGAGGTTTTCGTGTTTTTCCTCTCCATGTAATGCTAATGCGGATTTTAATTAACTATAACTACACTAATTAAAGTTCACAGTGCAGAAATTTCTACTCAGAAAACTCTTCTCCATGAATGGCAAAAGAGGGTCAGGGAAGAGAAATTAAAATAACACATTGATTACATACTTTGTTCTATCAATATAAAAGAGCAAAAAATTGTGAATAAAAATTACATTATACACTTTTAATATGAATTCAAAAAATTTCTCGTTATTAAATACATAAGATATTGCATATTTACTAGTTTTAATATATATTTTTAGAATATTGCGAAAAAAAGTTTTAAAAAGTGTATTAATTAGGAATTACAGATTAATGTTAAAGCAATAAAAAGAGACTAATAGTTTCAAAATCTAGTGAATCAACTAAGGAACCAGGTCTGAAAACATCAAAACCAGTTTGACTGTCTCAAGTAACAAAGAGAAGCTTAACTCTAAATATTAAAAATTATTTTTATTTTTTAATTTATCGTGATGAAATTTCGTGGTGTTTATAATAATCACATTTCTCATTCTTTCTATTTCATCTGGCAATCAAACCGGTTTCAATATTTTCAGTGTTGCGTTCCTAAGCAGCGGTTCATTATATTTTGAAACCGTTTGTATTTTTCTCTTGTGAATATTAATTATGTCCACTAATGTTCTTTTACTTTAAGAATTTTACAATACATGCTTATATTTTCATATTTTTCTTCATTTACTGATTTAAATAAAAATTTCATAATACTTAGTGTTCTTGTGTATGTACATTAAAGCCCTAAACATAGGGCTAAGTGCTTGTTGATGTTTGGATGATGTGTGCTCTTGTGTACTAGCTATTTTTTTTCCTTACCGTGGAAAAAACTATCCCAGCTATTGGAGTAATTAAAACTATTTATGGAATGGAAAACTTGCAACCTTTTAAATTTTTATAATGTAAATGTTTTTTTAAACCTACAAATGAGTGTATGATATATATATATATATATATATATTTTAAAAAGGAAAACTGCAGTTTTGTGATGCTTTCTAGAATATTGGAAGATCTTTACGTCACTGTCCCGATTTTAATTAATCTCACTTTATTCAGAAGCTAAATTTTTTAATTCTGAAACATCTTTAAAAAACAAGGAAAAAAGTTTTAAAAAAAAGGGGCAATAATGTATTTAAAAAATAAATTCCACTCTCAAAATGAATAAAAACAAGAAAAATTATTACTACTAAATAAAAAAAATGTATGTAGAATGAACGAATTATCAGCGAATATAATTTCCATAATAAATTACAAGCTTATAAAAGCTCCCCATATCAGTTCTTCAAAAGGACAGAGAGAGAAAAAGATTTTCAAAAAGAGTTGAACAGGGGAAAGAGCAAGACCACCTACCGAGAAGATTAGATGCAATCGTCTCTTGGAGAATGAACTTGGGGGTGGAAGTTGCCTTCCTCCCTAACTCAAAGGTAGAAAGTGACTTGTGTTTCAAAGGCTATATTAAACTAAACTCAGCGGCGCGACAGCCCATAAAGGCTATATTACAAAAAGTAATAAAGATAAAAAAAAAAAATTGACCTACATTTTCTTGGATAGGAAAGATTGAAAAAATTATTAGTATTTTTTTTTTTAATTAATCACTCCGATTCTTAAACAAGAAAAATTGATTCAAAGTATGACAAGCCCGTCATAGACTTTACATGTTAAAAGCAGAATTAAGGAGTCTTCTTGATTCAACACTTTTCTCCGGGCAACCACGATTGTGGACCCGACTTTCTGATCATTTGAGCTCGCCCCAGGTTCTTTGTTCGCCAAGGTTGTGACACTATGATCCTAGCATCTCAAGGTCACAGTTTCTACCTTCTTCACCTTGGCAACGATGTGACAGGCTACTTTTTTCCACCACAGCAATTAAGTAGTATCTATAGTTTCTTTGATTATTGTAGTTTGCTCTCTTGTTTTCCTTTATTATACACCATTCTGCTATTATTAGTTATTAACCACAAAATAATTATGTTAAAATATTTATAAAGCTCTTCTTATAAAATCATTAAATATAACCATGATGCAAGTATATTGCAGTAACATGCAAGTATCAGCTTTCAAGCTATAGCCAACTTAATAAAGTATTAAATTCTTTTCCCAACTTCGTACTGAAACGTACTGACATAAGGAAAAAGTAGGATTTGCGGATACCATGGTAACGGAGAGGAGAAAAATGTAGACAGTGAGAAAATTATATAACCTTGAAATGCCCATTTTATTTACAAAGACGGATATACTAAGATTGTTTTTCACAGCTTGTATGAAATGATAATTATCTCCTATGAATTTTATATCACACTTAAAAAAATGGTTTAATAAAAAAAAATATTAAAGAGAACAATTAATTTTCAAGATAGAGAAAAAACATCAGGTAAAACAAATTAACTAAGAGAATGAAAATTAATGAATATAATACACTTCAGTTAAAATATTCTTACAAAAATTATAGCTCTGACCTAAAAACTGCTACAATTATACTAATTATAAAGCAGGGTTCGTGATTTTTTGATTTTTTTAAAAAAAATCAAAAGAATCAGATTTTTTTGATTTAANTAAATCAACAAACCCTGTTATAAAGTAAAGTAAAGCATTTCTGCAACAGCCTTTTATACTTATTTTAAGTTTATTAATTTACAGTCCTACTACAGTTACTTCCTTACTACTTTTCTTTCAATTTTCAAGCCAATATTTAGTTGATTTACCGTATCTATCATTCACAACAAATAATCTCTCTTTCTCCCGAGAAACGATCCATCGAGGTTTCACTGAATTGTGTTTTTACATCTTTTATTCGAAACCATTATAATAATCTCTTATAAAGGTTTAAACATAAATATCATACTTTAAAAAATTGTTAATAACAAAAGCATATTCAAAAAAGCAAAATAGCTTTCAAGATAGAGAAGAAAAAAATTTAAGTAAGATATTTGCACAAAGAGAAGGATAAAATAATATGCTTACTTGGTGGAACATTTCAACAATTGGAGAATAGGCACGTAAAGCTAATGCAAACTTCAGTAAAGCAATTTTTGTACTGGATAAGTAGTTACTTGCAATATCGGTAATAGCATCATATTGTAATTTATGTGATTCTACAAAGATAAATATCAAATGTTTTTAATAAAATATTTTAAACATGCATTTGTATAAACATCATTTTCTTATAAAATCAGTAGATATTTGGCATTTTGTAGAATATCAAAAACTTGCGTAAACACATCACCTAAAGAATACCTACACTACTTCACAAAAATATTTTTAGTTACCTCTTGTGTTATTTTTACACATTATACAATGTCGAGTCTCTCTAGAAAAAAGCTTTTTCTTTTTTTTTTACAATAAAGCAGACTTTATTTTTTATAAGTTACATTACTAACAGCAATTTTTTATTTAAGAGTATGTAAAATTATATGTCATTACATTAGGAGGCTTCATTATAATATGATGCAAATAGTAATTTCGCAACAAAAATTAAAGAAAATAATAAAAATAAATTAAAACAAGCATCTAATTTTACAAACAACTTACTTGTTTGAAAAAAGTTGTTTTCTAAGTTGGAACAATCATCTACAAATCTCCAAAACAACTCAGGTTTTTCTTCAGCTAGGAATTCACTGAAAAATAAATCAATTTTATAGATACTTATGAAATTTAATAACAGTATTAAAATATTTTCAGAAGCACAGAGTTTACTGAAAAAAGTTATAAATGAAACAAGAAACATCAGGACAAAAACAATGCTGTTTACATTCCTTATGGTTACATTAGATTCTGGTAAAAAAAAGAAAAAACTTTATATATTGCTTTTAGACAATGGCTATTTATGTTACTGCCGACCAATTTTTTTTTTTTTTAAGATAACAAACTTAATTACAATATTAATGTCAAATAATATAGCATTTTGTTTTTTGTTTATTTATTTTTGAAAGAATTCTAAAATACTTTTGATGCAGAAATCACTGATTTGAAAAAGACCACAACAGCAAGTATAGTTTTAAAAATAAAATCATGAAATGTACCAGCTTTTTTTAACATTTTAACTGGTGTCCTTAAAACAAATTACTCTTATGCACTAAAATTGTTGTAATATCAGCTGACCTTCTGTCATTATTAAGGAATCAATAATGACAGCCTGAGCTGCCTCACCAATCCAGAGAGTATATCAATATGTTACTAATAGATGTTCATACTAATAGAAAGCGTTACTAATAGAAAGCGTGCGACTCTTTTAGCTGTTTGTGGAATTATAATATTGTCTATAATTTGAACTTTAGTTTCGCCAAAAGAAGTTACAGCATTTAAATTTCAGGATTTGATTAGGCTTTTGAAAGAACATTTTTGTCCTTAATCTTCAGAAATATTTCAGCATTTTAAGATTCATAAAGATTTCAGTCAAAATCAGAATCTGTGAGTGCTTATGCTACCAAATTAAGGAAGCTTGCCAAAGATTGTAATTTCGGAGTAACCTTGTCAGGACGATTACGAGATCAATTAGTCTGCGATATTCGTGATGAAGAGGTTCAAAGAAGAAGATTATTGGATAACATCACAACAGAAACAAGCACAGGCATCAATAAAATTTGAAGAAGTCTGGTGTAAGGGATTAGTGACTAAATAGAATTCAACTTAAGGATAGAATCCAGGATAACAGAATCCATCTAAAAACTTTTAATAGTCCATATGCACTTTCATACGTTTGTTCACAAATCTCTAAAAGATATTAAAGAAATTGATAAAATTCATAAAAATTTATAAAACTAAAGTAATTAACAAGACAAAAACAATTTTCACATCTTCATAAACTAATGAAAGAATGCAAATGAGGGAATACAAATGATGAAATATATGAGCAATCCTATTGAAAAAAAATATTAAAGTGACATCAGACAAAAAAAAAGTACAGGAAAAGAGTAATGTTACAAATTATAAATATGATGATTGACTGAACAGTGAACATTATTTCATAGTCGGCTTGTTCAGATTTTAGTGGCTCCAAAGCAACGAATCACCATTAATTTTAAGCTCTAAAAATAATTTTAATAAGCAATTATTTCAATTCCAGATAACTCCAAGTGCAAGAACTCTAATATTAAAATAACTTCTTTTTTTTTCTCATTCTGACCCCTTTATTTTTAATTTGATCTTAATTTCTCTAATTAATTCGATTTCAACAAAAAATGTTGGTTTTACAAAAATGTGAAATTCAATTAAAAGTAAGGTTGAAAATTTTATAACCTTGTTCATTTTTCTGAAACTTTCTTTGTTCTGAAATAAAAAAAACTCATTATTGAAAAAAAAAAGAATCTATATATTAATTATAATATCCAAATTTAATATACATTCTAAAATGAAAACTAACAGTAAGTCGAACTTTCACTACGTCAGGTTTTCTTCGATCTGCTCAGATTCAAATTATCATATCAAAGCACAAAATTTAAAATTCGTAAATATCTTACACCTCATTTCAATTTTATAATTGTTTTCAACATATGTAGCATTGTATAATAAACATACCTAGCTTCTAAATGTAAAGATGTGTAGATCCATTTTGAATCTAGTACAACAGACACAGATTTGTGGAGGTTTTGAGCAATTGTGGGTAAGATAAGTACTATTAGAAAATAAATAGGTTTCCATCGAACTTGATTCAACATCATAACCTAAAATAAAAGCAAAATATTAGATTTTAAATATGAAAAAAAAAAAAAAACATTAAATCTTTGGTCAATTTTTTCAACAAAAAAAATCAGTTAAGGTAATAAATGTTTTATTCGCTTCAAAGTGTTAATCAACTTTGAATCAGCATTAATGTTACAGGGTTCCCACTCTTTAATCAAAGCAAAAATTAAGAACTTTTTTCTTTGAAAAATTAAGGACTTTTTCGAAAAATTAAAGACCTTAAAAATAGTATAATTGTTCATCCTCGAATATACCACCAGCGACAGAGACAATTAATTACCTTTCTTAAAAAAAGACAATAAATAAAAAAATAAGAAGATTTTTTTATTATAATATTGTAAGTATACTGATATAATTGTATTAATTAACATGGTTCGCCAAAGTCCGACCAGGCAATTTTTGCAAACTGGGGTTGTGTTTTTTTAATAATATTTTCAGATTGCTAAATGTTAACATCTATGAAACTTATTCATATTCTATTTTTAATAATTTAATTGAAATTGAATAGTAAATTTAAGTGTAGAAATTACGATTTGCAAATTTTTTTCATAAATTAAAAAAAGAGTAATAAATAAAGAAATTTGGAGAAAAAAAAACATTGGAAAAAATTATTAAAACAAGTTTTTATATTTTGCTGCTAGACATGCATCACATATTCAGTTATGGGCCAATCATGCTAAATATTCACTTATGCCAAAAACGAAAAGTCAAAAATGCTCTACCCTCAATGCATGGTCTCATTCTAAGTGAAAAAAGAATGACTTTTTAAAAAAATATTTTTTCTAACAATGAAAATATAGTTTTTATTAAGCATAGCGATACTGAAAAATTAAGTACTTTTCAGGGCCCTTATTTTCCTAAATAAAAATTAAGCAGTATTTAAGGAAGGCCCATGGGAACCCTGTATTGAACGTATGCTGATTTAATGTTGATTCAGCAACTGTTAACCTGTCAGTCCAAGAGATATCAATAATAATTCCAAACTAACTGAGGTCAAAAAAATTGATGTGTTTTAAGTTATTTAATAAAAACATTGAGCTATTAAATTCATGTTAGGTTTTAAATTCAGTTATTATACAATATTGTAAATGGAAAATTTAGTCTATAAAATCTCAAGGCAACAAAATTGATAATAATTTTTTAAAAATTTGATTTTTTTTAAAAAAAATTTCATGGACCCACCCCTAACCATTATTTTATTATTACTTTTTAATTTTTCTTTTTTTTTCATAAAGAAATATTTAAAATTTTTAGCTTTTTAAATCTCACTTGAAGGTAAAATTAACAAATCAATACTGTACAATTAATAAATGAAAATTTACTGTCACACGTTATTCAACAATTTTCTATCATCAACAGCATATATTTCCTCCAATTTCCTAGATAATATCCCCAAATTTCTAGCGATAAAATTGCCTCAAAGTTAATAGTTAAGGTTTGAATTAGGAATCAATAGTAGTATGCTTGCTAACTTTATTGTGCACATGCTAATATCCATAGAAAATATTTTATAAACAATATCTTTCATAATTGTTTTTCTGCTGGAAAAAGTAAAAACACTATTATATATATTTGACCTTTGTTTTGGTACATTCCATTAAAAAAAATTGTTTTATTAAAAATAATCAGGTAAGAAGGAAAAGGCCAATTTACTTTTTTTATTCCTCAGGCAACTAATTATAAAAAGTAAAACTAATTTGGACCATAACGGCAAATATAATACTTTATGAAATTCGATAACAACTTAATTAATTAAGAGAATAAGTTAAATAAATAGTTGATATCATGACAGAGCAGATGTAAATAATAAACAAAGCGGCTTTCCAAAGTGAAAACACAACCAAATCACTCAGCTTCTTCATTCGATACGTGTCAAAACAAATTTAACTGTAAGAAGCAAAATAACGCTTTTCATGCTTAAAATAACTTTTTTTTAAAATTTGGAGCAATAAATATATTTTTATTACAACTATTTCATTTTTAAAAAAAATTACTGACATTAGCTGAAAGAAGAGCCTTTTTTTTTTTTTTACTAAAAAGTTGTTAACTTCAACTTTTATTTCAATTCTTCGCATTGTTTTTGTTTTGAAATTTTTTTAATATTTAATGCAGATTCTAATTTCAGAGTGACTTGCAACTTGCTTAATACGTTTATAGGAAATATTACCTAAAATGGAAATCTCTCATCCTAACATAAAGTACAATCGTAATTTTAATATTTTTCTTTTATTACAATAAGCTAAGAGCGCTATTTAGGATATCCTAATTGCAGAAATATCTAAGTTCTGTTTTTATTTATTTATTAATCAATTTCATCTTTCATACCAGTCAATTTTGCAACTTTTCTTATTTTATTTACGCTTGAAACAGTGATGACTGTGTAATCTAAGTTGATAAACTCATATATATCTTCTAATGTTGTGTTATATCCATTAATACGATTTATCTGTGTACGATTTAGCCTGTGTTTTTGGCGATAATTTTCATTCACTTTTGCTGAAATCCCATTTGTGGTTACTAAGAAATACTTTGCTACTTATGTTTACTTTTAAATGATTGGTTTATTTACATATATATTCGTTTATTTGGAAATCTCCAAAAATGAGATGGGCCCCGATTGTAAATTATTACTAAATGAGGTTTTTATTACAAAAAAGAAAATCGCAAGAAATTTGCATCCTTTCCCCAAAGACAGATTGAGATTTCTAAAAATTAAAAACACACGAAAAATATTCATTCTATTCTTCAAAAGGCTGGTCACTGAGGAATTCTTTTTTTGTACGTCTGCTTCAGCTTGCCATTTCATGTTCAACTGGAGTGGAGTAAAATAAAATCGCCCCGCTTTAAGAGAAATAGAATGTGTTTTTCCTTCTAATTTCAATGAATGTTCAGACACAAGTTAAATTCTAAATAGTATTAATAAACTACTAGTTGAATCACTTGTTTATGACAGGGTTGCCACTTCACAGGGAATTTAAAAATCACCTTAATTAATAGGGGAAACGCAGGGAATTATGATTTTTTCTTTACAAACTGAGAAAATACAGGAAATTTTGTTTCTTATTTTTGTCTTTTAAAAGATAGTGACCACTCAAAGCGTAATCTATCGGATATTAAACCATGATATTTCAGTTATACTGAACTATATCATTTACTATAACATTATTTAAGTAGAGCTGTGTTGTGTTGAAACTAATAAATATAGTTAGCCCAATATAGCTCACACAAGAACACAGTAATTGTTGTTTCCTCTTAATATATTGTGTATAATATGTACAGGGAATTTTTCTTTCCAGATTTGTGTGGCAACCCTGTAGGAGAAACAGACAAAATTTTTAAAGTTCTCAATTTTTTTCATTGAAAAAATTCAAATTTTCAAACATTAAAACTTTTTGAAAAATAATTATGTGTATCTTTTAATAGCCATGGTAGGAATTTCATGTAATTTTAACCTTAGTCAGATGATGTGAGCTTATTCAACTTATCGAAGTTTGAAAGACTGTTGTGATAATTACAGAAAAAAATTTCTATAAAACCACACAAATTTACATTAAATCATTACAAATTGCATGCGTGAAAAATGTTTAGAATAAATGACAATTTTTGATTTTAATAATATTTTATACAAAATAATTTAAAATTGTGAAAATTATTGATAAAAATTATTTTAATTAGGCTATTATCTTGAATCAAAATCTATCTTAAAAAGAGATTTCACCTTTGTTTGAAAACCTTGGGGAATGGCCGATGCTAAATGAATTCCCAAGAATAATCATAAAATGTCTTAAACATATATGATGCAGTCTTTGAAATCAAATATAAGAAATCAAATTTAAGAAGTTATAATTCAAAATTTGTTTGACGTAACACCATTGTATTAAAAATATTGCAATTTAAAAAACTCTGTGGAGGTAGTTGAAAAAGGACTGGATTTATGATTAAATTGTAGTTAATTTGGCACGCTATGAATCTAAACAATCCAATCACTCCAATTTCGAAATTCAAATGTCTTAACACATATTTCATTTTTCTCGAAATTTGAGCATTGACAGACGTCTGTCCAGGGTAAATTTAATACCGTTTAGCGGTAGCTTCACAAATTCAACTTTAGGAAAAACGGTAGTTTCACAATATACTTTTAAAAAAGCAAGTTCTCGTTATTATCTATGGAAAAGAGCTTTTCTGCCAGCTATCTTTTACGAAAAGGTCAGTTGGTGCAATGTGGTGAGCCTAACTGGTTGCTTACCAATTCAAAGTGAGCTTTTTTTCCGCTGAGATTTTAATACTTCAAGGACCATTTATTAGAGAAAACTTTTTTAAAATCATTTACCAAAAGAGTTTCACTTCACATCATTTGAAGATATTTTATGCAATGTGCACTTTGAAAGTAACAAAAATACATTTGTAGTAAAAAATATTTTCTATAGAGAGTTTATTCTTGTAATATATTTTTGTAGGTACGATTGGTATCAGTCAGATACACATGTTGTTTTAAACATCATGGTGAAGCAAGTCAAACCGGAAAATGTAAGAATCGACCTAATAGATCAACAGGTGTGTATTGTTATTCATTTTGCAACTAACTTTCTTATCAACTTGATTTCACCGAAAGAAAAATAACCAGTAACACTTATCTAAATTGAACTTCAAACCCAAATCATAAACACAGTAGAGCGCCGATTATCCGAACTGCTCGGGACCGAACGGATAATCAGATAATTGAAAAGTTGTTTAGAATCTAATTTAAATGATTATTATTTATGCACTAACTTCCCTTCACACTTTTTCCAGGTTCGAGACTGGCAGTACTTTCTAAAATTGCTCTGTTTAAAGGTTTTTTTTTTTTTTTTTCAATTTTTAAATATTTCTTACTTATTATTATAAATTTTTTTTACTTTTCTTCATTTTGAATTTTTTTATCATATTTCAGCATTTTATAATTTCTATCGTCAATTACTGATTTTACGACATTTTTTTATTTTCTATAGCAAAAGAAATCCAACAAAGATTTTTGTTTCAAAGAAAATGCTATTTTTTGAGCAGCCATATCCCTTATTCTTTTTAAATAAATCAGCTGAACTGGATCAACATCATTTTGACGTTCTAGCCAATTCATTGCAATATCTGATGAATTGCATTTTTCTATATGAGAAGGTTCACTATCTTGAACTTGATCACCTACTTCTTCCTCTTCGTCTGTGAAGTTCCGATTTTTATTCAAAATTTCAGCAACAATTTCATCATCATTTAAAATTTAATATTCTGGGACGTTTTCAGTGTCCCGACGCCAGTCTTTAATTTCTTCTGCTGCATAACCTGGCATCTTTTCAGCCGGTAGATCTACTGGCTCAGAAATTAAAAAAAAATTGTATTCTAAACTTTAAAGAAGAAAAAGAAAACGAATTCAGACGTTGTTCGGATAATTGGACGTTCGGATAATAAGGGTTTGGATAATCAGCGCTCTACTGTATTGTTAATACTGATAGATCATGCATTATTAAATTTGTACTAATTGCTTGTTGATGTTTTTTGACCTAATTAGCAAGGAGGAAACATGTACAGGGGTCTGTCCAGGCCGAATTTACTACCGTTTAGCGGTACCTTCACAAATTCAACTTTAGGAAAAACGGTAGTTTCACAAATTCAAACTTAGGAAAAATGGTAGTTTCACAAAATACTTTTACGTAAAATTTTATTTTTGTATCCCATAAGAAAAGAAAAATCCATATTTTTACCATATTTTTGCGTTGATTTTTTAATCTAATTTTTAATTTTCACAAATTACGTCTACATTTTCACAAAATAGGTACCTTTCAGAAAAACCTAGACAGACCCCTGATGTATGTACTGTCCTTTATATGCATTGCTCAAGATGTACGAAAGTAAAATTTGAAATTTGTCAAAATAATAATAATAATTTGAATTTATTTAATTGACTGTGATAATCTATTGAATGTTACCAACTCTTCCTATGAATGGAGTTGCTTTCTTTTAATTGAATTTTATTGTTACAGCTCAAATGCACAGCCAAACTTCCGGATGATTCAGATTTTACATTCTGTGTAAATTTATCGCACCAAGTCTATTCTAATGAAATGAAGTGGAAAGTTTTTTCTACAAAGGTAAAATTACGTATAAAAACTTACACTTAATATTATACATTATTAAAAACTGAAGGGTGATTTTCTCAAAGGGTTATCTTAACCTTTGAGAAAATCACCTTGCTCTTTTGCTTAAACCTGTTATGAAAAATCCATCTCATGATTAATTCAAGACCATACAATTAAGTATAAATACAATAGTCTCCTCTTAATGTGAACACTTACCACATTTTGATAACATTAACGGATTAGTAACAAATCCCAAAATTATATTAATTTAAAATACTTGTACTGATTTTTGAAATAAATTGAAGTGATCTATTCCTCAAATTCCTTTTTGTCAATTTGAGCAGCTAAATTTTCATCTTTTTGTTGCATAAGCAGTCTGTTGATTACTTTCTTAAAACATCTCGAACCACTGTCTTTGTGTTTTTTCAGCTAATCATAACCAGCTGTATTTTATTTGCAATCTGGGCTTTCAATTTCTCTTCTAATTAGATCTTCATAATTTTTCCAAATTTTGTAAAGCAGTGGCTTAGAGACGTTTAACTGTGCTGCAGCATCGTGTTGACTCATTTTTGGAAATCTGCCGTAACGATTTAAAATATCAATATTTTATTTTCATGTTAAATCAGTTCTCTTTTTACCAACTTTATCCACAAATTCTATGTAAGCTAACACTTAACAGGGCATAAAACTTGCCTTTTGGAGAGGTAGAAAATCACATTTCATTAACAGCCAATCAGCACACTCCTGTCCACTTGCAGTTGAAAAATATTCCTTCTGAATACTCATAAAAAGGATATAATGATCACGGACGGCAATTATTTTAACATACGAATTAAAACAAAAAAATCGGGACCGAATAATTTCAATAATAATAATCGATTGTAAGCATTAACAGCAATCACATGAAGCAGAAGCTGCTGTATTTTGTAACATGAGCAAAAAACTAATTTTTTTCTTTTATTGGATTAATTAATTAATAATTTTATTGGATTTTACCTATATTGGATTAATATCACTAAAAGTATATTTTGAATGTAAATATTTTTTTATAACCGTCGTTGAAAAGCCGTGCGACTACTAATGCTCAACTCCGTAGTCTTGTAATTTTTAATCCACTCCAGAAGTCAAGTGAACTCCTGGATCAAGTATTAGGCGAAATTTGCCTTTGTGGCGGACTTAATGATGGAACTAACCTGCATTTGCATGAGATGGAAAGGAAGACCACGAGAACCTCCCACAGTTAACCTGACTGCAAGAGGACTCTAACCCATGAACCGTCTACTACTGAGGATATTTCACGTCATCACTGTGATCGGTGCTAGCCCAATTCGGATTCATATCAACCAGCCTTTCTGGTTCTTGAACTCAGTTCACCATTGGAAGGCGAACGCTCTATCCCCTGAGTCATTGCGGCTCAATGTACTTAATATTTTCTTTTATATTATATCTGTCGTTGAACAGCCCACCCAATTTTGGGCTTACGACTACTAATGTTCAACTCCATAGCCTTGTCATTTTAAACCAATCCAGAAGACAAGGAAACTCCTGGATGAATACCCTCAGAGGTATTGATTTGGTATGTGAACGTGGACTGGTTTAATGTGCATCTGTCACCATTTTCTACACGGGGAGTCTTCGGCCGGCGGAGATCGAACCCACAAACTCCTTGGCATGGGTCTATTGCAATGCGAACCAGGCTATCCCGGACAATGTACTTAATATGTAACAAATTTCATTTGCGTGTTGTATTCAGGAATGATTAATAAGTACAAAAGTAATAATATTTAATATAAACTGTAACATGCAATGTGCCCACTTCGCAGCTCATTGCATTGTGTTGTTCAATGTCAGCAGAGCCAGCTGCAATAATTAAAGGGTTATTAATCAGAACATTAAAATTATGTGATTACTAAAAATACTTTTTTTAACCCTTATGGTTGTTAGTGATTGAAAATCGCCATTCAAATTATTATTTTTTTCCAAAATGTTATTCAAATTGTATTGTCATTTTTTTTAGATTGAGATTAAACTAAAAAAGTATGAGCCATTAAAATGGAATTCACTTGAGAAAAAACAGACAGAAAACTTTTCCAGCTCAAAAGGAGGTAAGTTTGCCCTTAATAAATGACAAAATTCAATAAATCTGTTTGTTATTAAATATGGCATAAAAATATGGCTACCATCATATCTATTATACATAATATTTTTCATGTTTTAAATACTTATCGAAATTTAGTTCAGTATAGTTTGTGTTGAAATTAATTTGTTTGTATTTAGTTCATTCAACAGCATGAGGCAAATAATTTAAAAAATTAATATTCAGGCTACTATTTGATTTATTTTTATTTCAGATTTTAACTACTCCTTATATTTAATTTGATGTTTTGACGCATGAACATTATATTCATAAAATTTTCTCTTTGACATTCTCTAAAAGTAAAATGCAGTTTTCTAAATTTATTAAGGAAAATTTCCTTTTTTTTTTTATTCGGTTAATTTATTATTTATATAGTAAAACTACATTTATACATTTCTCTTTATGTGCATTATTAAAATAATTTGTTTATCTGACAAAAAAAAAAAAATTCAGATTTTCAGACCATTATCAGAAAAAAAATTAAAATTATTAAAATTAAATATTTTTTTTACCTGGATTTGAGAAACTTAAAAGCGAATCTCCGAAACGGAATTTCTCCTCACAGAAAAATTTTCATTTAAATGTGTACTTTTATAGAAAGAATTATGTGCAACTAAAGGTGTTTGTTGTAGAAAAAAAATGTCTCTTGGCAGTTGTATTGTTTCCAATTTTAGTTACTTCATTTCTGTGCAATAAAAAGTTTTCTGTTCAATAACATCAAGTGCCAAATTATTACTTTATCAAAATTAGTGTTTTTACTAGGAATTTCGATTTACTCAGGATTTCAGAAAAACTAATAAGAGTTGCTTAAATGTACTTTTATACCAGTTTTTAAATCCTTTACCTAACAATTTGTAATTATTTGACAGAAATCCTGCAAATCACATACAGAAATCAAATTTTAAACCTTTTGTAGATGCATTTTTTCTATTAAAATTGTTTTTGAAAAAAAGGGTATTTATTGAAAATGACCTCCATCTTTTCAGAAATATTCTATTCGTCAAATTGAGTTTAATGTTAGCAACTTTTATTTTATGATATATTGCATCATAGTAATGAAGAATAAAATTATACCTTATTTGATAATAATTTTTACATTTTATTATGTAAATAACTATATTTTCAGGCAATGTGGTTAAAGTGTATCCTTCTTCTAAACCTAAGAAGAAAGATTGGGATAAACTGGAACAAGAACTTAAGAATGAGGAAGCAAATGAGAAACTGGAAGGAGAAGCAGCTCTCAATCAACTCTTTCAAAAAATATATGCAGATGCATCGGATGAAACTAAAAAAGCCATGAATAAATCATTTGTAAGTGAAGACATATCTTTTAAAATATCCTTAAAAACAAAAACATTACATAATTATTCTGTTTTTTTTTTTTGTTTTTTTTTTATAATTTTGAGATTTCTATTTCATAATAAATACATATACCGTTTTTTAAAACCATCTATTGCGTGGAATATAGCAATAAGCCTTTTTTCTTGTTTACTTCATTATTGAATTGGTTCAGCATTCTAAGAAGTCCCAATCTTCCAATATGTGGACAAATACTTCAAGTCAAAGCCGATGAATTTGCTAAGCGATTTGGTGAGACTTTTTTAATGTGCTCGAATGGCTGATTAGACATGTTTAAAAAGTGGAATAACATTAATTCAGGAAAATTATCGGTGAGTCGGGATGTATTTCTATATCTGATGTTGAGGATTGCTCATCAGCTAAAGATTTTTAAAAAATTTTGGATGCAAGACAAAGAGTAATAAAAAATAAAAGTTAATAAATTTTTTTTTACTACATATTATGTTTCAGTGATTTTTGTATTTCTCTTCGTTTATTTAAATAATGTGTAATAAAAAGGGGGAATTTGGAACCACAAGTTAAAATTGTTTGCAGAACGGATATAGTGAAGTGATATAGGGATAAAGTGAACAGAAATTTCAGTCCTTTGAAGGTTTACTATAACAGGGTTTGACTGTATATATAAAGATGAATGTATGTGTGTGTGTGTAAATGGATGTGTGTAAAGTATTTTTTCTGTAATAACTTTAATGAGTTTAAATTATAGTAATGTATTTAACTTTTTTATAATTACTATTTTTATTAGTCTTTTTGAGTTCTAGATAAATTAAGTTTAAATATTTAGCAAATGATTTCACTTGAGAAAGTTTCCTGATAGCTTACTTTTAGATTTCAAATTTTCTGAACCTTTAACAACTACTGTTAAAAAAAATTAACCGAAACCATAGTATAATCAAAATAAGTAAATAATAATTTTTGAATAGCTTGCTTAGAATATGTGTTAAACGTTGATTTTGTTCAATAAATGCATGTAAATTTGCTAGTTTAGTTTTACAGTTTATATTTATAAAAAGATGTTACGTTGCAGATTTTAGCGTCCAGTTATGAAGGGTAAATTTTCTGTTCTTGTAATTTTCTTGTAATGTAATTAAATTATATATTTCTTTGAACATAGTGCACGTTTCCAATAGTCTATGAAAGTGATTGTTTTCTATTGAAATGTTTATTTCTTTAGAATATTTATTTCCTTTTGGAACTAAACCTTTTTTTAAAAAAAACTTTGCAATTTTATACCTTGTACGGTGCGGTGATAGCTCAATAATTAAAATTGAAGGTAATGGACTGTATAATAATTAACAAATTAATTGATTAGTTCACTCATGAACTTACATTAGAGATCGACCATACGCTCTTAACAATTCAATCAAAAAGAACAAGAGTGAGTAGATCAAAAGGTTACATTATGATGAAAGATGGCTGGCGACATGCAATCTTGCCAAACGGTAAATCAACACCAAACATACCTCAATCAACTGATTTAATCTAAGCACTAGACTAGTAATAAATTGAAAACAAGTCATCTGAAATCATTATATTTATACGTGCTTATATTTTTTCTGCTTACATTTTTTAAAAAAAGGGAATGGATTTCAATAGTGAAAGAGGTAAACGTAAAAGTGTACCCAAAAAGTTTTTTTTTATAAACTACCATTTTTTAGTGAATTTTGTTTTTTGCTAATTTTAATTTTTTATGTAATCTTGTGAAATTTTCCTGCACTTTCCTAAATATGTTTTTGAATTTCAAAATAAACAAAAATTAATACACATGTACCATTCTGTATTTTGTGATAAATCACTTTTTTTTATTATTGTTCTAAATTTTAAATGAAAAGAAAGAATCTTATTTAAAAATGTGGTTAGAGAATTATAAACCAAAGGCAATTAGAAACAAAACATATATAGCACTTTTATGGTTCTTTTTTTTTTTTTTTTCTTAAAAAAAAAGGGGTGGGAGTGTAGCACTGGTGGGTTTATTAAGACATTTTTTATATTGCATTTCATTTTGTATATTTTTAAAACGACTAAATGTTTTGTTCTTATGAGTTTGAATTAACTATAATGTCTCATGGTTTAATGTCATGTTTTAATTGTGAAATATGGCTTCTATGATATTTTAAATCTTTATAAAAGGCTTCATTTTAGTTAGAAAAATAAATAAGATGTAATTATAATCTCATTTTTTTTTTGTCTCTGTGTTTGTGCCACTAGAGCAGTGTATAAATACTGTAATAAAAATTTTCTCATAAAAAAAAAATTTATATTGCATCATGTATGTATTTAAAAATGAAAGTTTAAAATTCTTGTTTTAAATATTAATATGTAAAGGGCTAACTTATGCAAAAAAAAAGCTTTTAAGGTATAGATTAAAAAAAATTTAACACTTTTTTGACGGGCAATTCTGCACAAAAACTACATCATGTCATCGTCTAGTTTTTCGTAATTGAATGTGGAGATAAAGAAAAACATTAATATACAGCATATTAATACGTATAATAAAATGGACTAGCTTTTGCAATATTCTACCTCACCTTGTGTTTCATAAATTGAAATAGATAATGCAAGTGCTGTTTAAGTTAACGCGTTGTCTGCCAACAATATGTTGAGGTATTTTCTTACACTTTCAGTTCTCACTGAACAAAGTATCTTCTTAGATTTTTAGATTAATGCATATGAACCTTGTTTTTCCTATGCATGTTATGAAAATACGAAATTAAGACAATTTTGTGAATGTTTTTCTACCAAAATATATTTTATAGTTGTCATTGCTGTTATTTTTTAAGGTCAGTTCTGAATTCATTAAAGTGTTTTATTTACAGCTTTTGAAAATTAGTTATTTTTCATATTTTATTCTTAGTTTTTTATGCTCTTTCAATTTCTTAAAATGTGCTATTTTTTATTCTCAAAATTTCTAACTCACTTTAAAGTTCTTAAAATATTACACCTTTTATCCTTTATTTTCTTAGAGTATTAGTTCTAAGTTGTTCTTACTTTTTACATGCTGCAGAAAATTCATTTCTACTGTCGATAATGTCTAAAGAAAAAGTCTATTTTTCCTTATCTGCATGCACATGAAACCCTGTTTACATCTTTATTCATTTTATTTGTACTTTATATAATTTAATTCTCTTCTTAGCTTGAATCGGGTGGTACAGTACTTAGCACAAATTGGAATGAAGTGGGTGAGAAAAAAGTTGAAGTAAAACCACCAGAAGGTATGGAGTTCAAGAAATGGGATGATTAGCTCAAATTTTGTTTCTGTGTAAATAAAAAATAATGTTTTTCTGTGTTGTTTTATTTAAATAAAGTCATTTTGCTTTCATTTCAAAAGAGTTATGCTTTTGTATATTGCTTCATTTTATTGCTTATTACTTACTTATACTTATCCTCTACGTGCCTTTGGGCACTCAAGGCCTCTAGCATATCCATCCAACGCCTCCTGTCTCTAGCAATAGATCTTGCTTCCTCCCAGCCAGATATTCTACATTCTTTTAATTCGCCCAAAAACATGCGCTGGATGGTAAGTCTGGGTCTTCCTCTTGTTCTTTTACCATCAGGGGCCCATGTAAGCGCAACAGATGTAATTTTTTCTTTGGGCATTCTAAGGATATGTCCGAGCCAGCTCCATCTTCGTTTTTTAATTTCATCTTCGATTGTTTTTATTTTAGCTTTCTTTAATAGATTTTGATTTGATACTTTGTAAGGCCAGAAAATTTTAAAAATAAATCTTAAACATTTGTTTTGAAAGGTTTCTAATTTTTGTATTTCGATCTTAGTCTGTTTCCAGGTTTCTGCGCCATATAATAGTACTGCTCTAACAATAGCTTTGTAAACAACTATTTTTGTCTTTATTTCAATATTTGACTCTCTCCAAAATTTATGTAATCCCTTAAAACATGTTCTTGCTTTGATTATTCTCTGTCTAATATCTTCACTACTTCCACCTTTTTTATCTACAATAGAACCTAAATAGCTAAATGACTCTATGTCATCTATTTCGTGATTTTCGATTTTAATTTTGTCATTTTTCTTTTGATTTATTCTCATTACTTTAGTTTTCTTCTTGTTTATGAATAAACCTACACTATTTGAATATTTGTTGAATTTGTCTGTTTTAAGCTGAAGGTCTGTACATTTGGATTGCTTATTAATTGTTTAATATTCAATAAGATTGTAACTTACAAATGTCTATTATTTAAATGTTTAATCGCTATTAAAAAAATTTATAAGTTTCCACTAAATTTTATATCATAGTTGAAGTTTTTTATAATGCAAACTTGAGACATTACGTTTTATGGAATCTTGTGTTATATAAATTTCCTTTATCTTTATACTTACATGCTAAATATGGCAATATTAGAAACAGATCAATCTTAAAATTATTCGAAATAATTTTTACGTAGCAAATACTATAGAATTTAAAATATGCGCTTAAGTATTTCTTATTTACAGAGAAAGAAAATAATTAATTTTCTGCGGCATTAGAACTAGTAACAAGCAAGTGAATCAATTTTGGTTTGCTTAGCTTTTGAAATTGTAACCTCTTAGCAAATAATTAAACAAATAATGTTAAAAGTTCTTACTTAGTTATAGAAATATCTTAATTTCAAATTCCATTGTTTACACACACAAAGCTAGTGTGGTTTACAGAATAATGTTTTACAGATTTCCTACTGTGTTTTTATCTTATTTCAAATATTCATAAATATGACTTTAAAAAAATTCAGAATTGTAAAAGAAAATTTTTTAAAAAAAAATTAAAAACTAAAAGTACGATATTTAGTGTATTACTACTAAAAATAGGTATTCGGTCAAGTTACACTAAATTTAAATGTCAGATATTTTATACCAGGTTTTGTGATATAAGATTCTGACATTTAAAAAAAATTATTGAAGTTTTTTTCTTTTACCTCAAGAAAATTAAAAAGCAAGTGTATAAATTCTTTGTTGCTAATTTCCTTTTTTTTTTCTTTAAGTTAATCAATCCGGCGTAATTTTTGTTTCATTTTGTGTTCTAATAAGAAAAATTTATAAGTAATTTTCTATTTGATATTTTTTGTTGTGTGTCTTATTGTGAAACTAAAATCGAGTCGTATTAAGTTCTAAAGTTGTTAAGTAATAAGTTTAACAATGTGATGTTGTTTTTATTACCTAATTAAAAAAATAAGTGTTTTACAAGCATTTATCAACAAAAAATGAAGGCATCACATTTATTATTGAATCTTATTTTTATTCAAAGAATTCAAATCAAGGATTTCGGGTTCATTCACATCTCTGAGATATAACATACATGCATGTGTATAATATGTATATATATACATAACATTTAAAACACATTTCCCTAAGTATAAGTTGTGCGTGTTTCAAAAAAATTGTTGATGTCTACTATATCCTTTGTTTTAGATATCATAATACTTGTTACTTTAAAACGTTTGTTTTTTTTAATTGCAATGTTTAGCTCTGACTATTTTACAAAATATATATACCCTACTTTTTTTTTCGATGTGATAAGTAAATCTTTATTCTAAATGGTAAGGAAAACTTTAAAAAAAGTTTTCTGTGTCACAAAGTTACCACCTTGAGTGAAATAACTTTGAGACATCTAATTTATTGCCTTTAAATCGACTTAAGCATATTATACTTGTTAATTGAACACATTTAAAATACAAGATTCACTGCAAAATTTACAGTAATTTATGAAAGAAATATTAATTCACACGCAGAATGTTCGTAAAATAAAATTACTAAAGGAAGAAAAAAATAATTAACCTTTGAAGGTAAATTGCATTTATGATCAAACTCCTAGCTGAGGTTATGAGCAATTTTTCTGTGCGAGCGAAATAAATTGTGGTTTTAATTCGAAAATTTAGTTTGTTAGCTTTCACTTAGTAATGCAAAAATAACAACTAAATGATTTTAAAACCATATGTATAGATTTTCAAATTGGTTATTTATTATTATGGAACATTAACATCTTAGATCACATTAATAATTCAAACGATGAAATAATTTTGTTAATACTTTTTAAAAGCTAACTTTAGTATTTATTGGTCTACACTAATATAAAATTTAGTTACTTTTTTATAGCAATAATTCGAAAGATGTTTGATTTTACTCAAAAACCAATCCTTTATTTGTTTGATTCTTTTATTAATAAGGGAACTAATCTTATATGAAAATACAAATGTGCACAATGTCATATCCATTATAGTCCTTATTTACGTCTCAAAATTAATTTGAAAAGAAACAAAGTTCAATACTTTTAATTTTTCATATTTTATACAAACTTTATATGGATACAAATGACATAATTTCTAAAAGATTCGGTTATAATTTTTTCGTATCATAATCCTAGTAAGTTAAGAGTCGTTATCAAGTGAAGAGTAACAGAAATATGTTGATATTTTGGGGGAAACTCCAATTTCTGATTTTAACAATGTGACAAAGTACTATGAGCATAATAACTTTTGACCTAATGATCTGGTTAGCTTACACTAAGATGTAATCTTTTTGGTTTGAAGGCCTTCAATTAAATAAGTTAATTAATTTGTGCAGACAATATTTTAAGTTACAAAATCATGCACAAAAACCTTTTTTGAATGAACTCCACTAAATTAAATAGGGTCACAATGGTCCGAAAGTTTGGCATCTTTAAAATTAGTTAAATTTTTCGCCATATTACTGAAAATATTTAAAAGAATTTTGAACACAATTTTAAACTCGTATATCTGAAGATAATTTCATGCAAAATATAATTTTTAAAAGTTTGTTTTTTAAGGGAGGTTATTTTTAGATAAGCAAGTTTCACGATAGTGTTCAAAAACTTTTAAACCCTCTTAAGTAGTTCCGGAGATATAACAATATACGCTAAAACTGAAATTATCATTAAACGGGGCCCAAAGTTTTCAAATGCTTAATTATTGGGATCCTGTTTACCAGATTCCGACAATCCTCCTTAGTTTGGCTTACACCTACCAAAAATTGTGGGGAAAAAACGCAAGCTTTTTCCGAGTAAGTACGTTAATTATTTAATATATTAAAATTCAATTCTTGGAATCATAATTGTGATATAATCAGATCAAAAGTTATTAAAGACTTCCATTATATATGTACACTGGTGGACAAAATTAAGAGATGGAAAGCATTTTCGCACATGCAAGATGCCCACACACAGCTCCATGTGTTTGACAATGGTTCCGTGAATGATCAGAGGTACAGGCAGGAAGTCCTAGAGCTCTATGTGCGTCTTTTCAGGGTCCCGCAGTGGACTGATCGTTAAGACACGGTTCCCAGCAGATCACCGAAGTCAAGTATCACTGGCTGCGGTCAGTGTGCGGGTGGGTGACCACTTGGATCAGTCTGCGCGGGGGCCGAGGGTGTGCGGTATTGGTCCTCGTTAAACGGTGCTACCGTAAAGTGCTCGACTTCGCCCGTAGGTCGTCGGGCTACAGAAGCAGGGGTGCCACCCCCTCCGCAGAGGATCAAAATTGTGATGGCATGTCTTCGGATCATCCTCCGGGATGTTTCCCAGACCGTCGCCAATAGCCCATTGTGCAGCTCTAGTGCGACGTAAATTAACTACAACAACGTCTTTTCAGGGGCGCTGTTGGCCCTGAGTTCATTTTTATGGACGACAATGTGCGACCACATAGGGCTCTTATGGTTGATGAGTATCTGGAAAGCGAGGATATTCAACGAATGGATTGAACAGCCAAATCCCCTGACCTGAATCCTATTGAACATGCTTGGGAGAGCTATTGCGATGCGCCAACCTCCCCCCAGAACCATTCTGGAGTTAAAAATTGGTCTGGTGGAAGAATAGGAGGGTCTTCCACAAGTCCTCCTTATCTCCCTTATTAACAGCATGTTGTGCATGCTGTCTGTCTGTCAGGGGTGACCATACACCATACTAGAGGCAACACACACTATACAAGCCTCACTTTTATTGTCATCTTTTATCCTTAAGTTCAGACTACATTGGATTTATTGGCAATAGGTCTTGCCAGTGAATGGCACTTTCATTTTTGTTTTGCATACTTTATTATCATGGAATAAGCTATATCCATACCAAATTTCATTTATGATTTAATTTATTCAGTATTTTTTTAGATATATGGGAAAATGTCTTCCATCTCTTAATTTTGTCCACCAGTGTATATTGTGCACAGACAGAAAAATAATTATTAAACGTTTTCTTAAACGTACTTGCAACGAATAAAAGAAATAATCTTTTAATTTTCTTTCTTTTTTTTTTCTGATGGACGAATCTATTTATGACGGGTTTTTCCAAACGGCAGTGATTTTAAAGTGCATTTACTGAGG